GGAGCTAGAGGATTGAACCGGGACAATTGGAGCTGGAGAATTGGAGCTAGAGGATTGAACCGGGACAATTGGAGCTGGAGAATTGGAGCTAGAGGATTGAACCGGGACAATTGGAGCTGGAGAATTGGAGCTAGAGGATTGAACCGGGACAATTGGAGCTGGAGAATTGGAGCTAGAGGATTGAACCGGGACAATTGGAGCTGGAGAATTGGAGCTAGAGGATTGAACCGGGACAATTGGAGCTGGAGGATTGGACCGGGACAATTGGAGCTGGAGGATTGGAGCTGGAGAATTGGAGCTAGAGGATTGAACCGGGACAATTGGAGCTGGAGATGGAGCTAGAGGATTGAACCGGGACAATTGGGCTGGAGATGGAGCTAGAGGATTGAACCGGGACAATTGGAGCTGGAGGATTGGACCGGGACAATTGGAGCTGGAGGATTGGGCTGGAGAATTGGGCTAGAGGATTGAACCGGGCAATTGGGCTGGAGGTTGGACCGGGACAATTGGAGCTGGAGGATTGGAGCTGGAGAATTGGAGCTAGAGGATTGAACCGGGACAATTGGAGCTGGAGGATTGGACCGGGACAATTGGAGCTGGAGGATTGGAGCTGGAGAATTGGAGCTAGAGGATTGAACCGGGACAATTGGAGCTGGAGGATTGGACCGGGACAATTGGAGCTGGAGGATTGGAGCTGGAGAATTGGAGCTAGAGGATTGAACCGGGACAATTGGAGCTGGAGGATTGGACCGGGACAATTGGACCTAGAGAATTGGAGTAGGACAATTAGAGCTGGGCAATTAGAGCTGGACATTTGGAGCTGGACGCACATGGATCTGAACCAAAAATAGATGACGTGGGCCTGGGTTTGGGATTGAAAATGTTCGAATCGTAGTCTAAAATCAAGAGGCCAAAAATTTCCATTTAAAGCTTATTTACAATATTGTAAAGTCTCAAACTTCTGAGATCAATTTCTGCATTTTGCTGGATTTTTGTTAAAAATTCTGTAATTTTGTTTAAAAACCATTGCAGTTAAAAGAGATCAAGAAGAATGTGATCTGGGTTGAAATTTTTGTCAAATCTTTATCGTAACCTTGAAGAAAAACTTCAGAAAATCTAAGAAAATCTAAGAAAACGAAGATTTTATCGAAAAAAAACTTGTGCAACTGAATTCTTGTAGATAATCTGATGAAGATGCTAATGCCGATGCCAAAGCCAATGCAAATGCCAATGCCAATGCCAAAGCCAATGCAAATGCCAATGCCAATGCCAATGCCAATGCCAAGCCGCAATGCCAAGCCAATGGCCAAGCCAATGCCAATGCCAGTGCCATGCCAATGCCGCCAATGCCAATGCCAATGCAAATGCCAGCCAATGCCAATGCCAATGCCAATGCCAATGCCAATGCAAATGCCAATGCCAATGCCAATGCCAAAGCCAATGCAAATGCCAATGCCAATGCCAATGCCAATGCCAATGCCAATGCCAATGTTTCACCCACCCATTCCCAAAAAAGGGAAAATCTGTTCTTTGAGGCGATTTCTTATCACAAAAGGATTACAAATAAAAGTAAATATTGCTTTTTTTTGAAATCGATGTGTCATTGCAAATGATTCTTTCTTTTTATTACCATTTTTCTACGTCATTTCCAAACTTTCCTTCAAATTCTTTTCATTTTTCTGAATTTTTCTGAATTTCTATTCAATAATTCTACAAAAAACAATTCTTTAACTGCATTTTGAATAAATGAAACGATTATCTATGTTATTGATTTTATTGAATGGTTTGTTTTTTGTAGCCAAGTGTACTTTATCTTAATCTAACAACTTTCTAGTGCACTGAATCCTTTTCAACCCTAGAAAACACTGTAAAGAAGAATTCAGTGCACTAGAAAGATTGTTTTTACATTTACTTGATTATTAAGTAGTTGGTTCGTTTTCTCTAAAGATTTGGTTCCTTTTCGGCAGAGATTTGGTTCCTTTTCTCTAAAGATTTGGTTTCTTTTCTCTACAGATTTGGTTCCAATAAACCAATTGCCACTGGGTGGTGGCTTGGGCGAAAGGTGTTAGCAAGCAGCCGCCTCTTGCTGCTAGTGGCCCCTTTCTGGGTGAGAAAATTGCCAACCAAAACGTTTAGCGGCTTCACCATTTCGTACACAGTTGTCTGAAAAGCACACATAGCCAGTGGGGTGTACGGGGCATCGTGCAAGCATCGAAGTTGAATATTAAGATCAGTCGTGATTTGGTTCCTTTTCGGTACAGATTTGGCTCCTTTTCGGTAGAGATATCGGTACAGATTTGGTTCCTTTTCGGTACAGATTTTTCTCCTTTTCCTTTTCTCTAAAGATTTGGTTCCTTTTCGGTAGAGATTTGGCTCCTTTTCGGTAGAGATATCGGTACAGATTTGGTTCCTTTTCTCTACAGATTTTCTCCTTTTCCTTTTCTCTAAAGATTTGGTTCGTTTTCTCTACAGATCTCTACAGATTTGGTTCCTTTTCCGTACAGATTTTGATTACAGTTTAGCTTCAAAAGGAAATGTGCTCTATAAAAGTTAGAAAAATATCTAGCTGAGTGATTGATTCTTATAAATTTTCAAACGTATCTTTTCTGGTGCATTTAATTCTTCAATTTCTGATAAATATAGTGAAAGAAAAAAGAAAAATGAAGGCTTTCAATGCACTAAAAAGATTTTATTTACGTTTAGCTTAAAATATAGAAAAATTTTAGGCACCTTAGCACAAAGAGTATACAATTTAACTCAAAATGCGCCAAGTTACGCCATTCACTCGAATCGACTGCGATTAAATCAAGTAAGAATTTGTGAATGTTTGGGAATGTTTGGGAATGTTGGGAATGTTTTTTAGATTTCATACCGTAATTCTTGTTTTAAACTGGATTTTAAACTGGCTTTTAGACTGGCTTTTAAACTCGTTTCTAACATTAAACAGACTTACTATTAGAACGGTTAGATTACTATTAGATTAGAACAGTTAGATTACTATTAGATTAGAACTATTAGATTACTATTAGATTAGAACTATTAGATTACTATTAGATTAGAACTATTAGATTACTATTAGATTAGAACTATTAGATTACTATTAGATTAGAACTATTAGATTACTATTAGATTAGAACAGTTAGATTACTATTAGATTAGAACTATTAGATTACTATTAGATTAGAACGGTTAGATTACTATTAGATTAGAACAGTTAGATTACTATTAGATTAGAACAGTTAGATTCCAAAAGCGTCAATCCTAACCAAGTGGTTTCTTTTTTCTTTTGAAAAATGAAATAAAAGCTAAAATACATAAAACTACTCAAAAGATTCAAAAGAAAAAACCAAAAAAGTCGCGGAGGATCGAACTGACAGTGGAGATGATAAGAATGGGAGACCGCAGCCTTACCACTGGGCCATTTGCACCACTGGGCCATTTGTTTAGCTAGCGATGTCCTTAATAACTCTCTCAATGCATTCGAGGGTCAAATTTCAAATGCCTTTTTGCGAAATGCAATGCATTGTAATGCACAGCAATGCAAAATGCCTTTTTTTACAGAACTCAAAAGCATTTAGGCAAAAATTCAAAAAGCCATCGTGTTGCCGGTATCCAACTTGCGTAAATCATATAGCTTGTGAAATCTGATCGTTCCTGATCGCGAAATCTGATCGCGAGCAAAAAAAGCAGATCTCTAAACTTGACTATCGCTCTGTTCTAAGCTTGAGAACTCAAATCTTTAGCCAATTCGTGTGAATAGTTGCGAGAATTGCACGCTTCTCATCGACGCCTCTTGTTGGGGTTTCAATGGATATGTGCCATTTTTTCTGAACGGTGCATCACCCGATTTGCGGCAATGTGTTGATGATGAGTGAGTGAAAAAAGAAAAGTAAAGAATGGTAAAGATTTCGGAGGATTCCCTTCGGAGCCAAGGGTTTCCTTGGCTTTTTGCTTTTGTCTTTTGCTTCTTGTTCTAACCACTGAGCTATCCGTTATCTTGCAAGGGAAGAAAGAGAGAATAAAAGGAGAGAAAGGAAGAAAGAGTTTTCTTGTTATCAATTGGAAATTGTGAAACTTTTTTTAAGGATTCATTGTCATCAAATGGATGAAAAGTTTTGAAATCAAGAAAAAGTTAGTTGTTAGTTAGTAGTTAATTGATTAGTTAGGGAATAGTTAGTTAATAGTTAGTTAGTAGTTAATAGCTTAGTTAGTTAATAGCTTGGTTAGTCAATAGCTTAGTTAATCAATAGCTTAGTTAATCAATAGCTTAGTTAGTCAATACCTTAGTTAGTCAATAGCTTATTTAGTCAATATCTTAGTTAGTCAATAGCTTAGTTAGTCAATCGCTTAGTTATTCGATTGTTAGTCAATAGTTACCTTCGAGCTATTATCCCATCTCGTAACTCTAAAGATTTCCAGCTTTTAAGATTTTCCAGCAATTCAGAAATAAATTTTAGCACAAAGAAGCTCAGCTTCACCAAGTGTTACTACGAAGTCCAAGGAAGCGTTCTTTTACAATATAATGCAATTGCAAATGGAAACGAATTCGCATTAAGTGTTCGGGTAAAGGAATGGCTAGAGGGTGAGTTGAGAAAACTTTAATTGTAAGTGATTGTGAGTGATTGTAAGTGATTGTAAGTGATTGTAAGTGATTGTAAGTGATTGTAAGTGATTGTAAGTGATTGTAAGTGATTGTGAGTGATTGTAAGGGATTGTAAGTGATTGTAAGTGATTGTAAGTGATTGTAAGTGATTGTAAGTGATTGTGAGTGATTGTAAGGGATTGTAAGTGATTGTAAGTGATTGTAAGTGATTGTAAGGGATTGTAAGGGATTGTAAGTGATTGCAAGTGATTGTAATTGATTGTAAGGGATTGTAAGTGATTGTAAGTGATATTCAGATGGAAGCGATTATACTCTTTATCCAGTCCAACAAAATTCTTCGCTCACAATCGGCAGTGTGATCACTTTTTCGCCGACAGTTGTAACAATTGTGGCGAGAATGGCCACAAATCCGATCACTTTGATTTCCTATATTGGAATGGTGAGTTTAGCAGGAGAATAGCTGATGAAGTGATTTGGCCAAGCGTTTGTTGACAACGTTCGTTGACAAGTTGACAAGCCAAGCGATTGATTGATCCATGGTTCTTGATTCTTATTATTCTAGAGAAATCTAGTCAAACTACAGTGTGACCAAGAATTACCGCAACACACAAAAGGCCTGGTTTTTAACCAAATATGCAACCCATCTATCTCTTGATCTATCGATCCCTTTAATACTTTATTATTCTATATTAATCTAGCTAGATTATTCTCCTTTTCATTGATTATTTCAGGCTCAAGCCAACTGTACAACGACAATTCTAGCCGGTGGTGTTCCTGGGAAAACTCTCAATCAGGCCTTTATCTTAGATGCAATTGGGTGAGTGCAAAAAAGGTGAAAAGCAAGTAAGCCTGAAAGCTTATGAAATTGTTGATTGTTTATCGTTTTAAAGTTTGGACAGAGTTTTGGACAAAGAGAAAAAGATAGACAAAGAGATAGACAAAGAGATAGACAAAGAGATAGACAAAGAGAAGACAAAGAGATAGACAAAGAGATAGACAAAGAGATAGAAAGCCAAAGAAAGACAAAGCCAAAGAAAGACAAAGACAAAGACAAAGTTGGACAAAAGAGAAAGCATTAATTCTAAAAAACTCCATTTCCTTCATTCCCATCATTAACGTTAACTACATAGCCGAACTTTCTGAGATATTTTTTTAGAAAAGATGATCGTTTTATGGATAGTATTATTCGTTCGTCAGTATTTACCGTCTATGTGCCAGCTGGTTGTCGAGCTGATATCAAATTCGGGGATCGAGATCAAGGTGAGTGAAATGAGCTTTTAGGGATCTTCAATCGGCTATAGGGATCGAGAATAGGGCTACAGGGATTAGTTTTTGGCTTCAATCGGCTACAGGGATTAGTTTTTGGCTTCAATCGGCTACAGGGATTAGTTTTTGGCTTCAATCGGCTACAGGGATTAGTTTTTGGCTTCAATCGGCTACAGGGATTAGTTTTTGGCTTCAATCGGCTACAGGGATTAGTTTTGGCTTCAATCGGCTACAGGGATTAGTTTTTGGCTTCAATCGGCTACAGGGATTAGTTTTTGGCTTCAATCGGCTACAGGGATTAGTTTTTGCGAAACGCTATGCAATCGCGAGATTTCATACATAGAAAATCAGCAACAGAAAGTCAAGTAAACTCTTTATGAGGGCCTCACACGGCCCTTGTCCAGCTGCCTTTGTGGTCTAGTGGCTAGCGGGCTAGATCACCACGCCTGTGACGTCTCCTCTCCCGGGTTCGAATCCCGCCCTCGGCTAAGCTTGTTTTTATCCTTTTAAAGCATAGTTTTACAACAAAGAAGTTGAATGAATTGAATTTTATCCATCACTTGCCTTTAATGCCTTTAAAAAAGGAAATAGTTTGTTGAACATCTACGTGCCACATTTTGATCTGAATGGGCGACTGGTTTCGAGTTGATACGTCCGTATAGCAATAATAGCAATGCTACTACAGCCATAACTACGACAATAAGCCTTGTTCTATTGGAAAATGAAATAAACTGATCAAAGTCTTAGCTTACACAACATTTGACGGTTTACGAGATCAAGGCCGAGCGATAATCTCGAGTTTCGAGTATCCATGGGAATTCGATGATACGACAAAATACGAAGCTGAAGTGATCGGGGAGTATCGAATGGATAGTTTGGTTAATGCTCACAAAGTTTTAAATCAATTTCAGATAACGCCACGATGCTAAATATTACATTTCACATTTCGGAGATTGTGGGTGGACTGTTGAGCATCTACGTGCCAAATTTTGATCCGAATGGGCGACTTGTTTCGAGTTCAAACATGACGTGAGTCGATCATCTTTTACTTGGCTATAAGTAGAGTTATCTTTGATTTTATCTCGATCTATCTTCGATTTGACTTTGATTTATACCCAATAACTCCAGTGTACAGTATCCCATTTGATATATATTATTATGATTATTACAAGGGACAACTATGGCAGGCAATTAGAGTAAACTAGCGTACTCTGAATGCAACTAGCGTACTCTGAATGAAACTAGCGTACTCTGAATGCAACTAGCGTACTCTGAATGAAACTAGCGTACTCTGAATGAAACTAGCGTACTCTGAATGCAACTAGCGTACTCTGAATGCAACTAGCGTACTCTGAATGAAACTAGCGTACTCTGAATGAAACTAGCGTACTCTGAATGCAACTAGCGTACTCTGAATGCAACTAGCGTACTCTGAATGAAACTAGCGTACTCTATTTTCAATTTTCAATTTTGCACTCAATTTTGAAAACTCAAATTCTTTACCCAGCTAGTTCTCTATTGTTTGAAGAAAACTGAAAGTTTCATTGCAATAGAAAGGTTCTGTTTACATTTTGTGAGCACAAAGTACATCACAAAGAAGTGCCAAGAAAGTGAGATTTTCAGCTTTGACACGCTAAAAAACGGCTCGATTTCCGGCCCACAAGGACAAGTGGTTCAGGTTTGTTGAAGAATTTGGAGTAACTATTGTATTGGGTTGGTCAATTGAAAACTGCCGGACTTTTGAATCGAAAAACTTTCAAAGCCAAAATTTTGACTACTTCTTCGAGGTGTTCTCCCGCATCACTCATGATCCGGAATAAATAGTAATCAGAGGTGAGGTCGGGACTGTATGGGGAATGCGCCAAAAGTTCCCAAACAAGGCTATTTATTTTAGAGCGAGAACGAAAAGGAACCAAATCTTTAGAGAAAACGAACCAACTACTTAATAATCAAGAAAATGTAAACACAATCTTTCTAGTGCAATGAATTCTTCTTTACAGTGTTTTCTAGGGTTGAAAAGGATTCAGTGCACTAGAAAGTTTTTATTGGGTTGGTGTCATCAGCTGCATTCACTATGACTGATAATAGAGGAAAAAGAGCATGGATTGTAAGTAAAAGTACTGCTAAAGATCCGGCAATTTGTACTATTTGTACAGTTTCTATTGTACAGTTTCTATTGTACAGCTTCTATTGTACAGCTTCTATTGTACAGTTTCTATTGTACAGTTTCTATTGTACAGTATTGTACAGCTTCTATTGTACAGTTTCTATTGTACAGCTTCTATTGTACAGCTTCTATTGTACAGCATGCTATTGTACAGTATTGTACAGCTTCTATTGTACAGTTTCTATTGTACAGTTTCTATTGTACAGCTTCTATTGTACAGCTTCTATTGTACAGTTTCTATTGTACAGTTTCTATTGTACAGCTTCTATTGTACAGCTTCTATTGTACAGCATGCTATTGTACAGTATTGTACAGCTTCTATTTAGTTTCTATTGTACAGTTTCTATTGTACAGCTTCTATTGTACAGCTTCTATTGTACAGTTTCTATTGTACAGTTTCTATTGTACAGTTTCTATTGTACAGTTTCTATTGTACAGCTTCTATTGTACAGCTTCTATTGTACAGTTTCTATTGTACAGTTTCTATTGTACAGCATGCTATTGTACCGTATTGTACAGCTTCTATTGTACAGTTTCTATTGTACAGCATGCTATTGGGTTGGTGAATTGAAAACTGCGAGACTTTGAACTAAAATTTATTCTACATAAAACCATAAATTCATTCGAAATAATTTCCATTATTATTAACGACTTCTGCCCATTTTAAAGGCATTTTTCGGATTCCTCTTTCGTGGTAGGATTTTGGTTTGTGTGTGAGACAAGTGTGAGACTCAAAAATGGAGGACTGGAGATGTCCCAGTTTGAGGACTTTCTTCAAAAGAAACCCATTTTGGTGTCAATAGAAAAGTTGTAGAGAATCAAAAATGAGGCTTATAGCCAAATTTCCAAAAAGATACACTTAGTAGTTTCGCTTAAAATGCAAGTTTTGGGAAAATTCGTAAATTTGGCATCTCTTGAAAGACAGTTTTTGAATCGTTCTGAAAATCTGGATATAAGCTTGATTTTTGATTCTCTAAAACTTTCCCATTGACACCAAAATGGGTTTCTTTTGAAGAAAGTGCTCAAACTGTCACATATGACAATAGCCGGCAGTTTTCAATTCACCAACCCAATAAATACGATATAACGTATCAAAATCCTTTAGTATAAATGGATGCCGAAGAAAAATCAATCAATCAAAGGCTTTCGTATGGTGATGAGAGCTGAAAATCCGTGGAATTTCACAACTATTACATCAGAAACGGTAAAATTTATCTTTCAATACGAATTCGTCAACTACCATGTCCATTTAAGGTGACATCTCCTTTAAATCCTAGTCCCACTGCTGTTTTAAATACAACTATTACATCAGAAACGGTAAAATTTCTCCTTCAATACGACTACGTCAACTACCATGATCATTTAAGGGACATCTCCTCTAACTTCATCTCCCACTGCTGTTTTCCAGTCAACCACCACGAAAAACGCAATATCTCTTCAATTTTTCACTAAATTACTATTTTTTGTCCTTTTTTTTAATATAATGAATTTGTAATACAAATTTTCTAAAAAAAGTCCCTGAGCTCTCATAATCATCCATCATATGATCTCAAGTTGTTGTCGAAAGAAAGAATTCCGAGAAATCCTTTCCCTCTTCGACTTGAGACGAGTTTTCATATCTTTTTGTCATCATTGGGACTCGAACTCGCGTTGGATCGCGCGGAAAACGAAGATGCTAACCACTTGGCCACAACGAGAGTGAGAGGCGGCGATGGAAGAGGGGCTTTCTAGGGAGTGGGGTGGTTGAAAAGGGTGGGTACTTCAAGGCTTTTACCCTGAGCGTCGCCTTTCCTCGAAATTCCTCGATAATCTCGAGAACCGCTTATCAGAACCGATCGATGTGAGGTCGGAAAATGTAGCTGACGATGAGATCTTGTGGGGGATTTGAGTGTTGAGCTTCTGTGAAAGCTTGGGAGCTGTAAAATCGTCACCAACTCGGCTCGCCCGGGTGCACTACTATTATTTCTGTAATATTTCTGTAATTCTTGAAATCTTTATTCCCAATGAATTCAAGGCAATCTTTGACTTCTTTGAGTTGGTTCAAAGACGGAAACTCGCACAAAACTCAATCGAATCGGCTCCGTTCGACTAGTTGATGGCGGCATTTTGAGTAGCTTTCGAGCAATCACTCGAAAATAATTGATTTGAGCAAGAGTGAATTCTCGATAACTTTTATAGCAAGTTAGAATGATAATTGTGTTAAAAAAGCCGTGAATTGAGAGAAGGATTGATCCCCAAATGTTATACTCTGAAATCTTGCGTTTATTTATTTGTTTATGGAAAAACTCATCGAATTGATGTCAGAGTCGAATAAAAATCAAATATAAATGTAGAATTTTTAATGCTATATCTTTTCATTTAAAAATCCCTTTAAAAAAGTAGCTGTTAAAGTCGTTAAATATTGATTTTTCCGTTTTACACCTAAGTGTAACGAAAGTTTGAAGTCACCAGGGGCCAGAACTAGGGCCAAGGTCAGGTCAGGTCAGGTTTAGGTCAAGTCTGGAAAAGCCTGGGTCTCACGTTTCAGTCAATCCTGGTTGGACAGGGTTTAGATGGGTTTAGATAGGCTCGGATAGGCTTAGATAGGCTCAGATAGGCTTTAATTAGCCGTAGATAGGCTCTAGATAGCTTTAGATAGCTTTAGATAGACTTTAGATAGACCTGAGATAGCTTTAGATAGCCTGTCTCAAACCAGAACCAGGATTCGACCGGGTTTGGGTTCTAGATCTTGCAAAATCTCGCAATTCGCAAGATTTTTGAGTGAAAATCTTAACAATGACAATACCAGACTCCGATCCTTTTCTAGACTTAGTATTTAAAAAGCTTATAGCTTTTAAGCTATAGTTTATAGCTATAGCTATAGTTTATAGCTATAGCTATAGTTTATAGCTAAGCTATAGCTTAAAGCTAAGCTATAGCTTAAAGCTAAGCTATAGTTTATAGCTTTTAAGCTATAACTTACCGCTTAACAATTTAATTTACGTCACTTCTAGCTACATTTACTCTCTTTGTGAATAGTAAGAAAAGAAAAGAAAACTGTGTGAAAGAGTTGAATCAACTGGTGGAGGCTAGTGAACCACTGGAGGCTAGTGAACCACTGGAGGCTAGTGAATCAACTGGTGGAGGCTAGTCAACCACTGGTGGAGGCTAGTGAATCAACTGGTGGAGGCTAGTCAACCACTGGTGGAGGCTAGTGAATCAACTGGTGGAGGCTAGTCAACCACTGGTGGAGGCTAGTCAACCACTGGAGGCTAGTGAACCACTGGTGGAGGCTAGTGAGCCACTAGTGGAAGCTAATGAACCACTAGTGGAGGCTAGTGAATCACTAGCCTCCACGAGTTTTCCAATTCATTCTTGATTCCTCACCGGCCATCGAAACAAGCTGAAATTCATAGATGCAAAACCAGTAAACTTGTGGGCAAACGAAAACGAAAAGCAGGAAAAATAACTGAAAAAGTTTTTTTTGAGACTTCTATTTTCGAATTTGTAAAAACCTGTACATTCAAATTGCGCATCCATTTCCTTTTCATCTCTTCGGTTTTTTGACTTAAATTCTTGTTTTTCTCAACTATTCCAACATAAACAGGAACACTGATCACTGAAAATTTCGGGTTTTTCGTTTTCGAATCAATTTTGAAGATTGATTTCGAAGATTGATTGAAAATTCTTTAGTATTCTATTAAATACCTCTTCTTTAAAGTCGAAAACTCGAAGAAAAGCTTAAAAGCTGAGGGTTTTCTAGTTTTCTGTCAACTGTCGTTCATTTGATGTGTTTTTGGGAGTGGGACAAATGCGACCTTTTTTTGCGCACCTTTTTTTTTGCTGGAAAAGGCCTTAGCAAAAGTCGTAGAGCTTCAAAAATGTTTTCATAGAAGGGAATCGTATGCATAGATTCCGAATTTCGACAAATCACACCTCGCTGACACATCAAATTTGGGATAAAAGGCAAAAACTACGCAACTTAACGCTTTTCCGCAGTTTTTGCCTTTTAACCCAAATTTGACGTGTCAGCGAGGTGTGATTTGTCGAAATTCGGAATCTACGCATACGATTCCTTTGTATGAAACGATTTTTGAAGCTCTACAACCTTTCCTAAGGCCTTTTCCAGCAAACAAAAGGTGGGGAAATGTCCAGGTCGCATTTGTCCCACCCCTGCAAAATATTGGGTTGATGGAAAAGTCGTTTCCGATTTTTTGGGAGAGTACTAAATTTGTCGAATTTTGACGTTTCATAGCTCATCCTAAAGCTGAATTCAAGACGGATCGATTGGTAAAAATCGTTTTGAGATATCTCTTTTCTAAAAGTTTTTACAGCTATTTTAGTAAAGGGCGGCAGAGCCAAAAAATGGCTATTTTCACGTTTCGTTAGTTTTCCGTGCAGAAATCTAGGCTAAAAACATGTGTTTCGTGATCAGCGTCAAAAATAACCCTTAGACACACATTTTCAGAATCTTAGAAAAAAATTTTTGAAAAATATTGTCACCGGTGGAAGTCGAACCAGCGACCCTCAGATCAAAAGCCTTTCAGCCGCAAAACGCCACAAAAAGGCCGCAAAGCCTCAAAACGATTTTTACCAATCGATCCGTCTTGAATTCAGCTTTAGGATGAGCTATAAAACGTCAAAATTGACTCAAGTTGAATCGGAGGAGCACCAGCGACACCTGTTTTTGTATGCATTCAACCGAAAACTTAATGCCGCACAGGCTCATCGAGAGATTACTGACGTTTATGGAGCCGATTTCGTGACCGAACGAACTATCCAGAATTGGTTTCAACGATTTCCTGAAGGAAATTTCTCACTTCTCGAAAGTGCAAGAACAGGAAGACCATCGGAAATCGACGAAGACAAGCTTGCTGATTTGACTTTTTTCAAAATTCGACTTTTCCAAGATTTCCACTTTGCTAAGATTCTGAAAATGTGTGTCTAAGGGTTATTTTTGACGCTGATCACGAAACACATGTTTTTAGCCTAGATTTCTGCACGGAAAACTAACGAAACGTGAAAACAGCCATTTTTTGGCTCTGCCGCCCTTTACTAAAATAGCTGTAAAAACTTTTAGAAAAGAGATATCTCAAAACGATTTTTACCAATCGATCCGTCTTGAATTCAGCTTTACGATGAGCTATGAAACGTCAAAATTCGACAAATTTAAGGTACTCTGCCATTACGGGTAAAACATTACGAGCCGTTGGCCAAAAAGGTGACTGCGGATAGCAATCTTTATGCGGCTCAAATGGTACGGCTTGATGCAGCAATCCGTCGGAAACGGCCAAACCTTGTTGGCCAGGTGTTGCTATTGCACGACAACGCAAGACCACATGTCTCAAATCTTGTGCGTGGAGCAATTCAAAGCTTGAAATGGGAAACTTTGCCTCCTTACTCCCCGGACATGGCAACCTCCGATTTTTATCCCTTTCGCTCTCTCTCAAATGCACTTCAAGGTATGAGTTTTCAGACGGATGTCGCTCTCGAACAGCCAAAGAAAAGAGATATCTCAAAACGATTTTTACCAATCGATCCGTCTTGAATTCAGCTTTAGGATGAGCTATGAAACGTCAAAATTCGACAAATTTAAGGTACTCTCCCAAAAAATCGGAAAGGACTTTTCCACCAACCCAAAATAGTAAAAAACGCGCATTCATAACTGGTCAAACCCAATATATACCTCTTCTTTAAAGCCAAAGACTCGAAGAAAAGATTTAAAAGCTGAGGGTTTTCTAGTTTTTTTCCTTTGTTTTCCTTTTTTTTTCTTACTTACTTAACGCTCCAGTAATCATACAAACAAAATAGAGAATCACACTGAAAAGAGCTTTTGTTTTAAGCTTTGAATCAGCACAGGCACACGTTTTTCCCGAGATTAATCCAGCAATTGTTGGATAAAGCTAAAGAAAAGCAAAAATTAAGTTCATTTTTTTGAATTTTTGAATTTTACCTTTAATTCCTCTTCAGCTGCATTTTGAAAATCATTATTTTCAAAGAAAAGTATAAAAGCAATTGTAACAACGAAGATTTGTAATATTAGAGAGAAATTGATGAAGAAACGAAAGCTGTAAAAGAAAGCGAAAATTTTTGATTCACCTAAAACACATCACATACGGTTTTGTCATTGAGAAGAAATGCGATTTCGGCAGAACGGCTTGCTGGCGTTCGAAGAGTGCAGCGCCGAGGATCCCCATCATAACAGAGCCCAGGAAAGCGCTTGATGTCTAAAGTCGACAGTTCTCTAGAGCTTAGAAATCTACAGGAAAATTTAAAAATGCTTTGCTGTTGCTGGCAGAGTTCTTTACAAGTACTAAAGATTTAAAACTAAAGTCAGAGCCAGATTCTGGCTTTAAACTTTTGAAGGTTATATAGAAAGCTTGAATCGATCAGATAATGAGCAACATTATAGGAGATATTCTTAAGATCTACCTCCAGAAAAATTAGAACGCTTTGGCTAATCTAGGTCTTCTGAAGGCCTTCTGATCCTGGTCCTGGAGTCAAAGCCAGACTAGGACTAGGTCTAGAGTCAGGGCCAAGCCAGGTCCAGGTCCTGGAGTCAAAGCCAGACTAGGACTAGGTCTAGAGTCAGGGCCAAGCCAGGTCCAGGTCCTGGAGTCAAAGCCAGACTAGGGTCAGGGCCAGGCCAGGTTCAAGTCCTGGAGTCAAAGCCAGACTAGGGCCAGGTCTTGAGTCAGGGCCAGGCCAGGTCCAGGTCCTGAAGTCAAGGCCAGGCTCAGGCCAGATTCTGGCTCTAAACTTTCGAAGGTTATATAGAAAAGTAGAAAGCTTGAATCGATTAGATAATAAGCGACGTTATAGGAGAGATTTTTAAGATCTACCTCCAGAAAAATCAGAACGCTTTGGCTAATCTAGGTCTTCTGAAGGTCTTCCGAAGTGTGACGCTAGCATTGTAGGCCATTTAGTTTAGCCTAGCTAATCCAGCTGGATTCTATCATATTTCAAAGACTCACCGCTGTATACGACAATGGAATGAATTCAAAATAGTTGACAAAACCAAAAGTGCAAGCACAACTTGCTGGAAAAGAGAAAACCGGGAGAACCATCACCATTCCGCCGAAGTCAAATGTTAGGCCGGCGAACTAAAAACGATCGTAATCATGCATAGAATAAGAATAAAAGCTAGAGTTACACAACAGAATGATAGAGTAGACATTTCTCCACCTGATACGCCATAAGAAGATATTTGTAATTTCGCAACTTTTTCGGTGTCGCTGAATAGATTGCGTAGAGGGCAAAGAGGTTGAAGCAAGCTGCTATGCCTGGAGTTTTCTGTGGGGAAACTTCTTTCAAGATAGGCTCACGTCTAGGGTTGTATTAGGGTGTACTGTAGATACTATACAAAGTCAAGGTTACGAGCCAGGACCAGGTTCAATAACCGGGCTAGGGTCAAGACCAGGCCCGGATCAGATCAGGCTTGGTCAAGGCCAGGATCAGGTCCGAATCATCAATCAAAGCCAAGGCTAGGGTCAGGTCCAGAGCCAGGTCCAGGCCAGGGCCAGGACTTAGGCTTAGGCTGCTGAGGCTCAGGCCAGGGTCAAGTCAGGACCAGACCAGGACCAGGCCAAGACCAGACTAGGGCCAGATCCAGGTCCTGAAGTCATGGCCAGGTCAGGTCCTGGTCCAGTGTCAGGGCTAGGCTAGAGTCAAGGCCAGCCAGGTCCAGGTTCAGAGTAAGGGCCAGGCCAGGTCTAGGTCCTGGAGTTAAGGCCAGGTCAGGTCCAGAGTTAGGGCCAGAACAGGTCCAGGTCGTGGAGTCAAGGCCAGGTCAGGTCTAGTTCCTGGAGTCAAGACGAGTTGAGGGCCAGGTCCTGGAGTTAAGGCCAGGCCAGGTCCAGGTCCTGGAGTCAAGGTCAGGCCAGGTCCAGGTCCTGGAGTCAAGGTCAGGCTAGGGCCAGGTCCAGGTCCTGGAGTCAAGACCAGATGAGGGCCAAGTCAAAGTTCTCGATTCTATCCAATCAGTTTCCCTGGCAACTGACCTTCGATAAACGATCCAAAAAGATGAATCTTTTCATAATAAGTGATATCGATCATGGATATTTCAAAAAGAAATCTCTTTAATCCAAATCAAAACTAAATTTTGACTAAATTTTCGTTGACTTTGTTGAAGCAGTAAAGATTATTGACCAAATTTGTTCTCATCTAGTTGAAGTGAAGAAAAAGCACCTGTTTCAATGCAATTAGTAAATCCAATGACCTTTTCTATACAAGAAATCTTTTGATTTCTTTAGGTGAAATGAATTTTAAGTAAAAATTTTTTAAAATTAAAGTTTTATTTGCATAAGGTGATCATTTTGAAGTTAGATTTTTAATTTTTCTTTTCGATTGATGATTACATGGAAGATACTGAGTGGGATGAGGAGAAGCTGAAAAAGAATTTTAATTAAATGTTAGTTAAATGCTTTGAAAAATATTTTGAAAGATAAAAAGTGATCAATGTGATAATTTTCCAAATTTAAACCAACCTTTACCACAAAAAGAAGACCAAATAAAAAGCGGAAATTGTCGCAGAGTGATTGTAAGGCTTTAGCGATCGATTCTGCACATCCAGGCTAGATTTTGTTTTAGTTTTTTGTTTGTTTTAGCCTTTAATTTATTTTATCTTTTAACAAACCACAAGATAGTTGAGTTTTTTTGCCTTTTTACAATCAAATAAACATTTCTTTGGATCGTCTGGATTAAGAAAGCTTGAATTCCAGTATTCATTGCATCCAGCGATTCCACAACAGAGTAACTGAATGTTAAATTTGTTAGATTTTAAGCAGATTTCATGCCAAATGCCGCAATTAAAAGCCCTAAGTGTTATAGAGAGAATTTAAGCCTGAATTCTTGCCTATTTTAGGAAACAGCTTAGAAATGGCAGTGTGCTGATTGCGCTTATTTGAGGGTCTGTAAAATCGGCTACAAAACTTGAATCAAAGATCTTTTGATACAGAAATGTAGGCAAGAAATCGGGCTTCATTTCTCTCTATAACACTTAGGGTTTTTGTTTGCGGTTTTTGGCATGAAAACAGCTTAAAAATGGAAGTGTGCTGATCGGATTGCGCTCATTTGAGGGTCTGTAAAATTGGCTACAAAACTTGAATCAAAGATCTTTTGATACAGAAATGTAGACAAGAAATCGGGCTTTATTTCTCTATATAACACTTAGGGTTTTTGATTGCGGCATTTGGCATGAAATCTGAGGAGTGTTTGTATGAGTACAAAGAGTACAGAGAGTACAAAGAGTATGGAGAGTACAAAGAGTACAGAGAGTACAAAGAGTACAGAGAGTACAAAGAGTACGGAGAGTACAAAGAGTACGGAGAGTACAAAGAGTACTTTTTATTTACCTTATCCTCAACTTTTGGTAACCATTCACTTTCAAATTTCTCGAAATCGAAACCAGGAATATAGATGTTTCCAACTTTAGATTGTGGATCGACAAAATTATAAACTTTCATCATTTCTGGGGTTAATGTGTCAAAAATCTAAAATCTTCATTTAAAAAAAAGAGTAGCTTCAATGACCGATTCATTTTTATAGAATGGTGAAAGAATTGAGCCGATTAAATCAGTGATCGGCTTTTTTCGATCAATGAGATGTGAATAAGCCATTGTATCACCATAAATTGTCCCAGCAAGAAGCACAAAATACTAAAATAACTCTCGAATAACTGAAGTTGAATTGCTGACTTGTAAAAACATACCGTAAATACTGTAATAGTGCCTCACCCCCCATAATGACGGGCGGAGCATCGCGTAGTCTAGCTTTGAATGCGTTTTTCTTGTCACCTTTTTGATGCTACAGTGTTCGCTTAAATATCAAATGAAAGCTGAGATTCAGAGCTATTTTTTGATATAAAAAATGTATTTTTAGAAATTATAAGCGCTTAGAAAAAGATGATTTAATGAAATTTTTTTGCGACTACGCGACTATACGGGGAGGAGGGACTAATCCTGGGCTTATTTATTGAGGCTTAAACTTTTTACAAACAAAGTTGTTTTGTATAGAGTACAAAATACAACTCGAGGCATTTTGTTTTTAACGGCGAAAGAAATGTCTTAAACTTGACTTGATTTAACCTACCGTAAATACTGTAATAGTACCCCATCCCCATAATGACGGTGCGGAGCATCGCGTAGTCTAGCTTTGAACGAGTTTTTCTCGACACTGGTTTATGCTACAGTGTTCGCTAAAGTATCAAATGAAAGCTGAAATTCAGGGCTATTTTTTGATACCGAAGACGCATTTTTCAGGGCTTATTTATTGAGGCTTAAACTTTTTACAAACAAAATCCTTATGCCAAATAAATGAGGCTTTCTTTTTTGCTGAAAATTTGGTGTTATTAAATTGAATATCTTTAGATTTGAAAGGAATTTGCAAGCAAAACAGTTAAATAGCTGAATATCTTTAAAAGAAGTGAGTGAATGGGTTTGAAAAGGGAAAAGTGACAGGTAAATACCGTAAATACTGTAATAGTACCCCATCCCCATAATGACGGTGCGGAGCATCGCGTAGTCTAGCTTTGAACGAGTTTTTCTCGACACTGGTTTATGCTACAATGGGCGCTTAGGTATCAAAAAATAGCTGAAATTCAGGGCTATTTTTTCATGCCAAATACGCACTTTTTGAAAGTACGGGCGCTTTGAAAAAAAATGAAATACTAACGACTACGCGATTACGCTCCGCACCGTCATTATGGGAATGGCCCTGAAATCAAAAAATAGCCCTGAATTTCAGCTATTTTTTGATACCAAAGAAGTATTTTTTGAAAGTACAGGCGCTTTGAAAAGAATGAAATACTAAAAAACTTTTGCGACTACGCGACTGTACGAGGGCGGTGGGGTACTATTACAGTCTTTACGGTAGGTTCTCTAGAAAGTCTTTTCTTATTCCTTTTTTCCTTCCTTTTTCTTCCTTTTCCTTCCTTTTCCTTCCTTTTTCTTCCTTTTCCTTCCTTTTTCTTCCTTTTTCTTCCTTTTTCTTCCTTTTTCTTCCTTTAAAACCTAATAAATTCATCAAATAAACTATGGTTTATTTCATTAGAAATAGCCAATGATTTTTAACATTTAAAATTGGATTTGTCTAGCTTAAAAGTTGAATTTTTCTAGTCTAAAATCTTCATGTAAAGAAATAAACAGCTTCAATAACCGATTCATTTTTATAGAATGGTGAAAGAATTGAGCCAATTAAATCAGTAATCGGCTTTTTTCGATAAATGAGATGTGAATAAGCCATTGTATCGCCATAAATTCTCCCAGCAAGCAGCAGAAAATACAATTATTTTTAACATTTGATCGATTCATTTTTATAGAATGTAAAAGCTGGCTTGTAAAAGCTTAGGTTCTCTAGAAAGTCTTTGTTTCTTTTTTTTCCTTTTTATTCCTTTTTTCTTCCTTTAAAACCTAATAAATGCATCAAATAAACTATTATTTATTTCATTAGAAATAACCAATTATTTAACATTTATAGCTGGATTTGTCTAACTTAGGACTTGATTTTTGCCTGGATTTGACTCCGACTCTGAGAAAAAGCTTCATCTGGCACTTAAAAACTTTTCTGAACTCGGCATCGTACTCCTAAATCTGTTCAATCCTTAAAATCTTTCAATTAACTAATGTTATAGGGATCTTTATACTGTAGAAACTTATTCTATTAACTGTTTTAGATTTACGATAGATTTTGAGACTGCCTCTACCTTACCAAAGTTGTTAATTGAAAGCTTTTCCTGTTCGTGATTTCACTTCCAATCAACGCCATCAGAAGTGAAAGAAACATGTAAATGGAAAAGAAAATGATAAATGGTTTAGCCTAGATTTAATCAACTTTTTCAAAACATTGATTTTCACTTACCCAAAGCCAAAACAAAACCGGTCCCCAACTCCAATAAGTTGTTGAAACATTGACCAACCATTGTGTCCAAGTGTTACTGTTAAAGTAAAACCACCAAGCAAGAGATAAAGAGATGAAAGATATTAGCTAAAAGGAGAAAAATGCTGTAAGATTGAATGAGGAATGAAGCGGTAAAGCTAGGCTAGCTCTACAGCATGAGCCAGAATTATGGCTTTAACCTTCTCAAGCAGATTTCATGCCAAAAGCTGCAATCAAAACCCTAAGTGTTGTACAGAGAATTGAAGCCCGATTTCTTGTCTACATTTATGTATCAAAAGATTTTTGATTCGAGTTTTGTAGCCGATTTTTTAGACCCTCAAATGAGCGCAAGTGTTGTCACTTAGGGTTTTTGATTGCGGCGTTTGGCATGAAATCTGCTGAAAAGGTTAAAGCCGTAATTCTGGCTCACCTAGCTTGATCTGAGTCGGGAAATTGAGCTGGCTGTAAGCTGTCTAGGAAAGGCAAGCTTAAAGCTCAATTAGAAGCTATTTAAGGCTCTGTAAAAGTTATTATTCTATTGGGTTGGGGACTATGACTCAGCGGCAAACTTTAAAGACACTTTTTGCACGCATAAAGCCTTCTTTAAATATACGTTTTCTTTCATCAAAAGGATCCACTATTTCTCTACAAAATGACTTTTGAGAGATTCCACAAAGCTTTTCTTTCGTGGAGTTTATGAACTTTCAAACGCAGCTGATCAAAATGGCAAAGAGTCCGACTCATCGTTTGAACAGTTTCTTCCACATAAACCTTCTTTGGTGTCTATGTAAAAAAGATAGAGCACATTCAATTACATAAGTTGCCAAATTTGCAGGAAGATCCCTCCAACCGTTTTTTCTAGATGACACTTTGTAGTTTTTGTGAAAAAATGGCCTTTTCTTGAGCTGAGGCGCTGTTTGAGTTTTCTTTTAAATGTCATTTTGTAGAGAATTAGCTAACTTTTCTACTGATATCAAACGCGTATTATTTGACGAAGTCTGCTAGAAGTTTTAGAAATTTTTTTGATTTTCGGCGCCGAGTCATAGTCCCCAACCCAATAGTAATGAAGCAGCTTAATACAGCTATTATTATAATAGTTTGATTTGAAATTTCAAAACTCACCGCTAAAAACCCATTCAATAAACTCCGCAACTCGTGCAACAAGGAGAAATATTTTTTTCGAGATTCTTCAGTCATTTCCAAATGAAAAAGGAAGGGTAGAGCTTGATCAGAAGCTAAAGTTCATTTTTTTTCTAATTATCACTTTAATAAAATTTTATATTTCAAGAAAATTACAATTTTTAGGTAAAGAAATCATTGATCTTTAATTTTCATAAAAAAATTTTTACAAAATTTTATTGATTAGCTAAAAAAGATCACAGATTCACAAAAATTACAATAAATTACAATTTATTTATTTTCTAGATCAACAATAAAACGAAGAATAGGTAGAAGAGCTGAGGAAAAGAAAACGAGGAACTTCCCGAAATCATTGTACTTCCAAATCTCTCTCAGATAAGTGTCCGCCTAAAAAGTGAATGAATAAAGAGCACGATAGTTTGGACGAGTTTTAGAAAGCATCTCTAGCATCTCGAGCAGTCTCTTTCTCTTTCTACCCCTTTCTACCTCTTTCTACCCCTTTCTACCTCTTTCTACCCCTTTCTACCTCTTTCTACCCCTTTCTACCCTTCACCCCTTTCTACCCCTTTCACCTCTTTCACCCTTCTACCCTTTCTACCCCTTTCACCCTTCACCCTTTCACCCTTTCACCCCTTCTTCCTCTTTCTACCTCTTTCTACCCCTTTCTTCCTCTTTCTACCTCTTTCTACCACTTTCTACCTCTTTCTACCTCCTTCTACCTCTTTCTACCTCTTTCTACCCCTTTCTTCCTCTTTCTACCTCTTTCTACCTCTTTCTACCCCTTTCTACCTCTTTCTACCTCCTTCTACCTCTTTCTACCTCTTTCTACCTCTTTCTACCACTTTCTACCTCTTTCTACCTCCTTCTACCTCTTTCTACCTCTTTCTACCCCTTTCTTCCTCTTTCTACCTCTTTCTACCTCTTTCTACCCCTTTCTACCTCTTTCTACCTCCTTCTACCTCTTTCTACCTCTTTCTACCTCTTTCTACCACTTTCTACCTCTTTCTACCTCTTTCTACCTCCTTCTACCTCTTTCTACCGTAATCTCTTTCTTCCTCTTTCTTCCTCTTTCTACCTCTTCTTCTATTTCTATCTAATCAAGTTTTATCTTTCAATCTCGTTTCTTTAACCCTTCATAAATGCTAGTGAATAGATTGGAGAATAGGTTACTGTAGTCAAAACGGAATAACTCAAAAATAACTTCTAATCGTTCACAGTGGAACGTTACGATAGCTGAAAATGCTTTACAGTGCCTAATTAAGTCAGAGCACGCTTAGGCAAGAATGCCTTTTAGAAAGCATTAAAACCTACAATAAGACCATAATCATGCGCGAGTTTCTCGTACAAATAATCAAGATAGGCTACAGTATCGCCGACTCCCGACCCGCTGTAATCGTCATAATCCTCCGTTTTTTTAATATACGTATCGATAGAGTGAGGCTAAAGTTTGTTTTAATTTATCTGTACATAAATATACCTCAATTTCTGGAATGTACTTCCAAAAGATTGCCAAGATAAGGAAAATGATGAGACTTCGAGTGGCGAGCTTGAATTGCTTTCGAATCACGAAGAGAATCAGTGTCGAGAGTTGAGCGATTGAGGAAATGATTAGACACATTTGGAAGATATTCCACGTCACGAGCATCAGGAATTGCTTTATCTAGAAAAAGATTTATTTCTTTTCCAAACTGGGTCAAAGTCAGCCTTGAAGTTTAGCTTTAGAAAAAAAGCAGTCAGAACCATAGATCAAAAAGCTCGATCAAGACTAGCAACCAAGACTAGAAACTACAGGGTGTTCCACAATTACTGATACCCCGACCCCTCATGATAAAAGCATTTCAATTGTCCAACGCGAGCGATTTATTGACTGTTTTTTAAGTTTTTCTTGTTTTAAACTTGTTTTCATTTAATAATATTTAAAAAATTGTCCTTTTTTAAAAATGGCTAAGCCCTCCAGCTTTCGCGACTTGATCATTTCTTTTCACAAGAAAGGTCTTCCGGCACGGTCGATCCGTCAATGACTGGGAGTGACAAAACAACTTGTTTTGCGAACATGCAAACGTTTTAAGTCTCTTAGAACAAATCAGGATCGAAAGGGACGTGGAAGACTTGTAACTTCGGCTGTTTAGACTGTTATCAAGAACGTTCGCGAGAAAATAAGGCGCAACCTGGAGAGAGTCTCGTCAAATGTCTCGTGAAATGAAAGTTCCTGTGACTTCGATGCATCGAATCGTTCGAAAACGCTTAGAAATGAAAGCTTTCAAGAAAAACAAGTGTCACGGAATTACCGATGCTACAAAACTTAAGAGAGAACAGCGTTGTGCTCAACTTCTTGCTCGGTTTCCTGGAAAAGCTCACCGAAGGATTCTTTTCACGGATGAGAAAGTTTTTACGGTCCAGCAAGTGTTGAACAAGCAAAACGATCGAATTTACGGCATTTCTAATCCACACAAATCAGTTTCGCATTCTCTTCATCCGACCTGGGTGATGGATCTCCCCTACTTGCGTGCCACGGTCGACGACTTCCCGAAGCGCCTTCAGCTCTGTGTCAACGCGAAAGGAGGACATATCCACTAATTGTTGTTTTTCCATTACTTTACTATCTAATTTGTTAAAAATAAAAGTTTCATCACAAGTTTTCTACTAAAAAAAGTTTTTTCAAGCTAGTTATCAGGTATCAGTAATTGTGGAACACCCTGTAGATTAGAATCGGTTCAAACCGATCCAAGATCAAAATCCCCATCGATCCCACAAGCTACTAGCCATCGATCTTTGGTTCAACTCAAAAATTACATTGTAACTCTGATAGGTGAGCGGAAAATACGATGGTTCGGCGACAAAAGTGTAGGCGACGATCGGCACCGGTCCCAACACTCCACCAATCAGTAAGAGCGCGTTCACGAATTTTGGTTCCTGGAAATATGAACAGGGTAGGCAAAGAATTGAGTTGACTAACTAGGGAACTGATTCAAAACAAGATAGGCTATGAATTGAGTTGACCAACTAGGGAACTGATTCAAAACAAGATAGGCTATGAATTGAGTTGACTAACTAGGGAACTGTTTCAACTTGCCATCTAGCTACAAAACGCTCCCATCGAATTCTGAGAAGCTTTAAAACACTTAAATGTTTCTAAAAACAACAAAAACAAGCAAAAACTCACTGGGAGCGGAATCGAACCTAAGTGGCATAGTCTCGTAGACTAGCGCACTATCACTAGGGGGGAGGGGGGTGCTTTCCCTTCATTTATAGGTGAGAGTTTTATCTAAACGAGTCTCAGACTAAGACTCAACCAACCAATAGATATCGATTGGCTAAGGATTACGGTAAAATCCTTTCTATTCCCCGACCTCGATGAGTGAACTCTCTCGATAAACCGTTAATCCATTTATAATTGAATAGATTCCCATGATCACTCCTTGAGAGATAAGAAAATAGCAAAGAAAGCGAATTGCCCATTCCAATAAATCACTCCAACTGATGATGTAGAACTGGGAAATGGGTTTATGCTATGATTTTACATGAACAACCGTGCAATGGAAAGCGATATGGGAAAACTCGGTGAACATCGACAATGAGAGAGGGAAAATGATGAAGAGAAGCTCGCCGATTGACTGCAAATTATTCTAGAGTTGAAAAAGAGAGAACTCTCTGAAGATTAGATTTAAAATAGGTATTTAAGCTGGAATCGGCTAAAGCTTTAGAGTTCTTCCTTCCTACTTTACTTCCTTACCTCCTTCCCTACTTCTTTCCTTCATTCCTTCCTTTCTTTCTTACTTCCTTACTTCCCTTCTTACTTCCTTAATTCCTTCCTTACTTCCTTCCTTCATTCCTTTATTACTTCCTTCCTTCCTTACTTCCTTTCTTCTTCCTTGTATGTCCTTCTTTCTCTTGGCAAGTTAAGTAAAATTACAATTACTAAAATAATTACCCGAAAAACAGGCTTAGGCTCAGGTTCAATTAGAGTGTGTTCCTTGCAGACAACGCGTTTTCTAAAAAGCGCGCGCCGAAGATAAGCTACCGTAACCCTATGCTTTGCATCAGCAAATTTTTCAAAATGCAAATGTACATTAAAATCTTGCGCTTTTTTTCTGCTATTCTTTCCATAGCTTTTTGTTTTTTTTTTCTCCTTTTCAAATAGGTTAAATTGATAATTCCTACTATTTAGAGTACTGCGTAGAGAACCGTGTGATTGTGAGAGAAAATGGATGCTCTATGTTAAAAAGAATTTAGCTCTATGTTAAAAAAAATAGTACATTGAGTATCCGGATATGGTAATAGGGTAAATTCTAGTGATAGTTGCCTTTACGCTTATAAATCATTTTCAGACATTTTCATCGTCGCAGCTCATGTCAAAAGTTCGCTAAAACTTAGAAATTTTAAAATGCTATGTAAAATTAAAGAAAACATTTAAAACGGAAAAAGTTCAGAAACACTATTAAAAAATTATATTATTAGGGGTTTGCAAAAGAAACTGCGTATTATACGCAACGTTCAAACACCTCGAAAATTAATAATAAAAGACTTTATTCCAAAAGGTACTTGCCAAAATTATCAACTATATTTTTCCATTTTTTACATAGACTTCGGATGCCTGATTCGAAAGATTCCGAATCTTGTGACGCGAAATAGTCTTGCACCCAAATTTCGACTTCTTGGTAATTGTTAAACTGTTGATTTGCAAGGGAGTGTTGCATAGATCGGAACAAGTGGTAATCTGAGGGAGCGATATCAGGGGAATATGGCGGATGAGGCAGAAGATTCCAGCCTAATTCTTCTATGGTGTTTTGAGCCAAGTTTGATGTGTGTACCCGGAAATTGTGAGCGAGTAAATGGATAAATATATAGTGAAAATAATGAGATTTCGATCGAAATTCACTAATTTCTATATAAAAAAGTCGACTTTATTCAATAATTACATTTTTCAGAGGTTTCCGCAACTTTCATTCAGACGCCAGTGCGCCAAGGGTGCAGAGGTTGATTTTTTCAACAAATATCTATTTATTACTTGCAAAAGAAACTATGTTGATGTTGAAAGTTGATACACTTTTTTCTTATTTCCCAGCAAAACATATTTAATACGCCAATTGAATTAGATTTCTTTAAATATTAGGCAATTGCAACAGAAACTATGGATTATAGCCAACAAAAGCCATCACAAAAATCAAAAGAAAACAATTTGATTCTAAAAGATATTAGCAATCAATAGGAACCATTATTATAAACTATGTTCTTTGATTTTTTTTGCGTAGACTTCGGATACCTGATTCGAAAAATTCGAGCAAATTATCATTGGATTAACGCCTCTTTCTCGTAGAATTTCATCAACTTTCTTCAGCTGTTCGGCGTAGATTTGAGAAGTTATAGTTTTCGTGGTCCCGTGACGCAAAATAGTCTTGCACCCAAATTTCGACTTCTTCAGCATTGTTAAACTTTTGATTTGCAAGAAAGTGTTGCATCGACCGGAACAAATCGTAATCTGAGGGAGCAAGATCAGCCGAATATAGCAGATGAGGCACAACTTTCCAGCCTAGTTCTTCTATTGTGTTTTGAGCCAGGTTTGATATGTGTACCCGGGCATCGTCATTGTCATTGTCATGGGCATTGCCAACGAGCAAATTCGATTAACGATTCATTGGATTAACACCTCTTTCTCGTAGAATTTCATCAATTTTCTTCAGCTGTTCGGTGTAGATTTGAGAAGTTATAGTTTTTGAAGCTTTTCGTAATTCAAAATAAACGATTCCTTTGATATTCCAAAAGACCGAGAGCATAACTTTCTTTCCGTGAAGTTTTGGATGTGATGTCGGAATCGGCCTTTCTCCTTTACTCAACTATTGTCTTTTGCGTGTTGCATTATTGGAATATGTTCACTTTTGGTCCATCATCAACATGTTTCCAAAAAAGCACTGCCCGTAGCCTTTTTCAATAGAAACCGAGACCATAAAACTCGATTGGCTTTGTTTTCAGGGGATAATTCATGTGGAACCCATTGGCCACAACGATTCCTTTTTCCAATAAGCGCAAGGTGTCGAGAAATTGTGTTCGGATCACATTTAAAGTATTCGGCTAATTCGGGCAAAGTTTGAGTTGGATCCAACTCGACAACCTCGAGCAACTCCGCATTATCGAGGACAACAGGACGATGTCCATGGGGCTCGTCTTCCAAGCCCTCATCTCCTTCACGAAAACGCCGGAACCATTCCTGACAACTTCTTTCACTCAAAACGTTTTCTCCAAATGCTTCACAAAGATTCCGGTGCGACTCCAATGCTGATTTCTTCATTTTAAAGTCATAGAGAAGGCAAGCCCGCAAAACGAATTTTTGATCCGTCATCTTCGACAACTAAAATTATTTATAATTCAATGGTCAAAAAAATGTGAAAATCAGTAAAATAAATAAGCGTTATCAACACAATAGAATAAAATTTAAACTGGGTTAGAGCACTTTAAATAGAGAAAATATTGTTCCGGAAAGTCATGCGCAGTTTCTTTTGCAAACCCCTAATATTTAAGAATTTACCAGGCTTATTGTCTACATTTGCACTAGAACTATTCAAAAACAAATTCCACGCCCTAAAAAAAACCTAAATCCTTAAATAAAACTATCCATTACTGCATTTTAAGAAAATTTTGCACATTTTTTTTCGCGCGGCCTTTATAGCTTTGCTTAAAAAGCGCACCTTTTAGAAAACGCGTTGTCGGAAGTTGTCGGATCAATTGTCCGACAAAAAAGTTGTCAAGACAAATTTGTCTGACAAATTGTCTGTCAACAAGGAGCACACTCTAGGTTCAATCCACTTGCCAATTCTTTCGCTACAAATGTGTAAACTCACCGTTAAATGAAGGTAAATCACCGTCGGTTTTGACCAATTCTTCCCCTTTCCACTTTTCCAAATTCGCCAAATTTGATGGAAATTCGCAAATATGAACGCAAGAAGCCAAAGGAGAAAAAGAATATAGACAACATCGCCGTAATATTTGACTATGAAGTTCTCTTCAATGTACATTTAACTGAAAAAAAAAAAGGATTTTGGTTGGTTAGAAAAGGTGCTTTTCTATACTTTTCCATATAAAATGTAACAAAAAAAAGATAATAAAGTAGCAAAAAAAAAATGGGGATCAATTAGCCCAATAAAAGCGATAAAAAATCTCGCAAAAAAAAATGTTTATTCTCTGGGAAATCTTGAAAAAATGTACACTAAATTAAAAATTATTGGCAAGCATTTTCCGAGAAAACATTTCCAGGTCGCGCACGAAAATCCACTAAATACCTTTTTACGTAAAAACTTTAGCCAACTTTAGCTATTTTTTTTTCTGACTTTTGCGCAATTTCTACTCATATTTTTGCTTCTTAAATTGTTTTTAAAGCAATTAGTGTTTCACTATAGAGTAGACAAGTCCATTTTCGAGTTTAGGCGACCGGGTCGGGTCAGCGGGTCGGGTCAAGCCAAAAATTTTTGCCGGGTACGCTGGCTGTCGGTCAAGCTACCGTACTCAAAGCAGGTCACTCGGGAAGAAGAGCCGGGTCGCGGGTCAGGTCAGCGGGTCACTCGGGAAGAAGAGCCGGGTCGCGGGTCAGGTCAGCGGGTCACTCGGGAGGAAGAGCCGGGTCGCGGGTCAGGTCAGCGGGTCACTCGGGAGGAAGAGCCGGGTCGCGGGTCAGGTCAGCGGGTCACTCGGGAGGAAGAGCCGGGTCGCGGGTCAGGTCAGCGGGTCACTCGGGAGGAAGAGCCGGGTCGCGGGTCAGGTCAGCGGGTCACTCGGGAGGAAGAGCCGGGTCGCGGGTCAGGTCAGCGGGTCACTTTTGACCCGATCCGACCCGACCCGATGCCCATGTCTACTATAAAGTTCAACTTTATTTATCAATAGAATCAATAAAACAAAAAAATGATTTTTACGTAAAAAAGTGGATTACGATATTTAGTGCATTTTAGTGCGCGACGCGAAAATGTTTTCTCGGAAAAGTTTCCAGTTAAAAAATTGCCCCTCCACCATCTGTAACAATTTCCATGCAAAGCGTCATAATCAATGCATAAACTATATAGAGAATAATTATATAGAGAATTATATAGAGAATTGAGGTTGGAATTCTTGCCTAGATTTTTATAGGAAAAAGTTTGCAATAAAAGTTTCGCAACTCATTTTAAAATCCCTTAAATGGGGTTTAAAAAGTCACAAATGACAGCGTGCTAAAGATCAATTTAAAGCCTTAATTTAAAGGTTTATAAAAATTGGCTGAGAAACTTTTATTGCAAACTTTTTTCTACACAAATGTTAAACAAGAATTCTAGCTTTAATTCTCTATATAACACTCTTTGAGTTTATGAATTGATTACGAGGCTTGGCATTTAAATTGTTAGCGAAGGTGAACGGGTAATTTTCTATTCAACTTTATACAAATCTATGCAACTTGTAAACATTTCCTCAAACATATCTTTTTTTGTGCATTGAAAACCTCCATTCTTTGACGGAAAGTTAAGCGTTCAATGCACTAGATTTCGTGTGTTTAGATGTGAGCAGAACGCTTAGAGTTCACTCATCTTTCCTCGGCCAAACAAAGGCAACAACAAGTAAACTAAACAAAGCTTTTGATAAAAAACAATAACAATTTCAACAAACTCATACCTAAACAAGTATGCCAAAAGGTATGTGTTTACAAAAGAAAAAGATTACCCAGCAATTGCATTGTAAAAAAGTAGTGAGTATAAAGTTGTTGTGTTAAGCAAAATCATCTCTTTATCTCTTTGGAAATCGAGATCACGGCCTGACTAAAGAACTTTTACATATTTTCATTGAAATTTCAATTACTTACAGTTAAGCTTATTGAGATTTAAATGCAAATGAAGTGATGATAAACTTACAAACTTACAAACAAGCTTACAAACTTGCAAACAAACTTACAAACAAACTTACAAACTTACAAACAAACTTACAAACTTGCAAACAAACTTATAAACAAACTTACAAACAAACTTACAAACAAACCTACAAACAAACTTACAAACAAACTTACAAACAAACTTACAAACAAACTTACAAACAAACTTGCAAACTTACAAACAAATTTACAAACTTGCAAACAAACTTATAAACAAACTTACAAACTTGCAAACAACCTTACAAACTTACAAACAAACTTACAAACTTACAAACAACCCTACAAACTTACAAACTTACAAACAAACTTACAAACAACCTTACAAACTTACAAACAAACTTACAAACTTGCAAAAAACCTTACAAAATTACAAACAAACTTACATAGAAAAGCGGTAGAGTTATCGCTACATAATAGCCGAAAATTGTGACCAAAAGTTGCACAAAATTGTCGATAATTAGCTGAAAAATTGAGGAAATTAACGAAGAAAAACAAGTGGCATATGTAAACTTTAGATGTCTTAATTTAAATTTTAAACATTATTGACCTGTAGAATGAGCCGTTGATCATCTTTTGTCGTTTTCCTTGTGTCTTCCCAAGCGGATTTCTTGCGCTTAATTTTAAGTCGTTATTTGCTTTTTTTCATGTGAAAACTACAAAAAAAAAGAAGATTCTCAATCGAATCCCCGACCCTGAAAACCCCTGGGTACAAATTTACAAATTGAATATCTTTTTTAAACCCTTTTACAGCAAAAGAGAAACCCTGACTGGTTTTTTGTGCGTGCTTTGTGCTGCCGAGCAATCGCTTGCCGTCTGGCACACGACGCTAATAGATAGGTGCTCCTTTTCGGCTCGTCAAGTTCAGATTTTTCAGGTTTTTCAGGTTTTTTAGGTTCTTCGACTGATTAGTAACGGCGATGCAACTACTCTTGACCGTATCTGTTGTCAAGAGTAGCTGTCTACTCATCCAAAAGTATGTATTGCTGGCAACTACTGTGCCTTTCTTTCCTGACAAAGTTTTTGGCATTTAACTCTGTTGGAATTCGCTCTGGATAGACCTGGACCTGGACCAGATATTAGAAATCGAGATTTACCTTGTCAAGGATGTCAAGACTTGGCTTTGGCATCAATTTGAACTCACCAATTTCCCATTCACAAGCGTAAATGTGTAGAAATTGAGAATGTTCGCAACGATACATGTCACAATATTGTATTCCCTTTGTTTCGTTATATATAACCCATGATTTGTCATCCCCGAATTCACATCCTCAGCTGTATAGAGGCTATGGATTTGAGGATCGAATGTGATCCAATCGTAGCCTAAAATCAGAATCAAATCTGATTTCAGAGTTTACTAAAGCTTACTTAGAAGATTGTAAAGTGTCGGAAAAGTTGCATAGGCGATGATGAGCAAAATTTGTAGATAAGCTGTTTTCGTGGTGAATTCATAGAAACGACCTGAGAAATTGGGGAAATTTGGTAGTCTTTCGAGATTTTAGCTTTTTAGCTTTAGATCTTAGCTATTCTACCGTTAAACGCAAAAGCTTTCGCTTAAAACTATTCTACCGTTAAACGCAAAAGCCATCACACGATTTATTGCAAGCCCAAATTGCAAGAAATAGATGAATTGTTGAAGAATCCAGAAGAGATGACCCAAATCTTGATTGATGAAAAGTGCCCAATCATAACAATATGTATGATAGGGAGCAAATTCTTCAGGCGATCCATTTTGAGGGCTGAAATCGAGTGGACTTGCTTTGGCTTTTGATTTTGGACTTTTGGACTTTGACGTAGTGATTTCTTTTTAGAAAAATGAGGAATCGATGTTTCAAGTCAACCAGAAAACGAGAAAAATCGACTTAACTTACATAAGAGTTCGAATCACTGCACAAGAGAGATCAAAGAATGAGATGAGCGCGATGAAGATACGAACTAGACTTTCAAAGATCAGATAAATGCAAACAATTCGGCAAAATCTTGAGCGTCGAACGATGAAAATTGCAAAAAGATTCGAAAACAATGCGAAGAAACCAAACTAGAAATGATTTGAGTTACAGTCGAACCTCTCTATAACGTAACTCACGGGACGGCTATAGCTTACGTTATATAGAGGTTTACGTTATATAGAGTACCGTTTTATATAGCTTAACGTCAGCCGGGACCGGTCACGCCTTACGTTATATAGAGGTTTACGTTATATCGAGTTTTGTTATAGAGAGGTTCGACTGTATTTTAAACAAAACAAAGCAAACAAGAAAAGCCAAAAGATATGGCAAGATATGACAAGATAAAGGGTCGCGTCCGTTTCCTTCCTATTTGCGTTGCTATTTTGCAATTATTCGCGTCGCATTTTTCGTCCTTTTTCTCCCTTCCCGAAATTATTTTTTTTTTGGTCTGCGGGTTTTTGCCTTCTTTCTTGGGGAACTTTTGGCATTTAGGCTTAAGGTCGCGTCCGTTTCTTTCCTATTTGCGTTCCTATTTTGCAATTATTCGTTGTTGTTTCATTTTTGATGCGCATGCTGTTTTTGTAATGGATATTGTTGCATTTCGGTTCTGTACTAATGAACAGTAACGTTATAAATTCACTTTACTTTATGCTACCCTTCAGGTTTTAAATCCTGTTTAGATAACTGGTTTAACATTGTAGAGAGACTGTTTTACTAACATTTGTGTCACCATCGACGTAGTATTAATCCGATCCGTACTCTTCTCAAGAGTATTAATCTATTGTTGGATACTACGTGTTCTTGTTACGTTGTGAGCGCTTTTGGGGAAACCATTTTAACCTTTTGTGCTATTCGGCCATTCTTAAGCAGAATCATCCTCGTTGATAAGGTTAAAGCGGGTCGCACCCCAAACTAAAGTTCTAATAATAGATCCAATCTTTTTTTGCATTTTTTTAAGCCGAGCCTAAATAAAAGAACCAATGTGGTCGATTTTTGGGCCTGATTTGCTTTTTCACTAACCCTGACCACTAATCCTGCTCCTGAATCACTAAGATTTAGATTAGTGATTAGATTAGATCAATCATTAGATTCTATACGGATATTATGATTGATCTTTGCAAGCTTTGGCACATTCTTTGCATTCTTTGCATTGATTCAAATTCTCTTGATCAACGCTAGAATGTGTTCGTAGACATGGGCACTAGAAACTACAAACGTAAACTACAAACGTAAACTAAAAACGCTTCTAACTTGCTTTAAATCTGTTGAATTGACATGATCTATAGCTCAAAAAAATAGAGAACCTCAAGAGCTTTCGAATCGATCAAAGCACACTCAAAAAAATGAATGCTAGAGAAAATTACAGTGGTTTGTAGCCTGACTCGATCGCTTCGACTACGCGTGAGTACGGTCCGTTTCGAGTCAAATCACTGTAACTTTCTATAGCCTTCATATTTTTGTGTATGCTTTAATCCATTTGAAAGCTCTTGAGGTTCTCTATTTTTTGAGCTATAGATCATGTCAATTCAACAGATCTAGAGCAAGTTAGAAGCGTTTATAGTTTACGCTTGTAGTTTACGCTCGTAGTTTACGCTTGTAGTTTACGTTTGTAGTTTACGCTTGTAGTTTACGCTTGTATTAGGGTGGTGCAAAAGAAACTGCCGATGGGTATCAGCTCTCGTTTATCAGAAACGAGCAATGCTAACGGCATTATTTTTTTTAGGTTTTGTTCGAATATTTGTTTGCTATTTTTTTCGACATTTGAATTTTTTGGTTGTTGTTTATTTTATTTTAAAATGCTTATATTTTTTATTTAGATTATGGTCGAGCAAAAGTTTGTGCTACGAGCAGCATTACTGTTTAACTTCAAAATTGGAAAGTCTGCTGCCGAATCGCATCGTTCTCTCTGTGCTGCTTTCGGAGATGACCGTTTGTCTCTCAGGCAGTGTCTCTCTACGAGCACGGTTCGAGGCCAGAAGTTGTGAACGAAGCCAAGCTGAGGGACGCTATTCAGGCCGACCCATGCCAATCTGCTCGAGATCTTGCGAAAATATTCCATTTGTGCTACGAGCAGCATTACTGTTTAACTTCAAAATTGGAAAGTCTGCTGCCGAATCGCAATCGTTGTCTCGCAAGGAACCAAAAGAGAAAAGAGGACCAAATTTGTAGAGAAAAGGAACCAAGTCTGCTGCCGAATCGCATCGTTCTCTCTGTGCTGCTTTCGGAGATGGCAATTTGTCTCTCAGGCAGTGTCAGACTTGGTTTCAACGATTCGGAGAGGGAGACGAGGCTTTGGAAGATTACGAGCACGGTTTGAGGTCAGAAGTCGTGAACGAAGCCAAGCTGAGGGACGTTATTCAGGCCGATCCATGTCAATCTGCTCGAGATCTTGCGAAAATATTCCATTGTGATCATGTCACCATCGAACGCCATCTTTTTTTTTAATTTACCGTCAAATCGGCAGTTTCTTTTGCACCAGCCTAATAGTTTACGCTTGTAGTTTATAGTACTCATAATGTTTGATCAAAAAACGTTTTTTTTTCAATTTTTAGCTAACAATGTCTATTCTACCGAGAAATGAGAGATCTTTCTTTACTTTCTTTACTAGAGAAAATCTTTACAAACTCACAAACGAAATATAATACACCGCCAAATAGTCGAAGCGATTCATTTGCACAAAATAAAACAATTTCCCTTTCGATTGTTTCATTTTGAATAGAATTCGATGTTTTATAGAAATAGAAATAGAAATAGAAATCGAAATAGAAATAGAATTGTTTTGGAAAAAAAGAAAATCGTTCGTCAAAAATCTCAGCTAAACTTTTGAAAGGCTGTAATTTTGTCTTAAAATTGAAGCTTTCAGAGGGGGGATTTGCCTTGAGAAAACATTTGAAATTCAATTTTCAAATGATTCAAATAAATTTAACATTTAACAATTTAACATTTTCAATGTTTTTTTGTCTGAAAACTAATAACATTTTATTGAACAGATACAGTAAAATTTTTGAAACCACAAGTTATCAAAGAATTTAAGAGATCATTTGGAAGGAGATTTTCAGAGTTTCAGAATTTCAGAATTTCAGAATTTCAGCAATTCAACTTTAAACTTATCCAAAAAATGTTAAAAATAGAGAAATTCTTACAGAAAATGATTGAAATAAATAAAAAACGTTTATTTTCTTTTATTTCCTTCCTTTTCCAATGCCCGAATAGAAAGGAAAAATCCGATCTCGACCCTCGGCTCGTTGTCCTAGAAAATCTTTTTTTAAACTCTTTTAAGCCCCCTTTAAAGCTTACAAGTAGTCTGTACTTGTTGCTAAAAACTTCCTTTGCAAACACAACCTTTCTAGTGCATTGAATTCTTCATTTATCATGTAGCTTAGCGACAAAATGGCTTAGCGAGACGAGAAAATTGAAGAATCCAGTGCGCTTACAAGATTTCGGCAAAACAATACAAAAAAATCAGCTAGAAATTCGAAATTTTAGATTTTAAAGAAAATCTAAACTTTAAGAAGCTAGAAATGTTAGATATTAACGGAAATCTGTACTAATTTTGTTTTAAAATAGGTTCTCAAAGAGCTCAAACTGGACAAAGCTCGAATCTCTAACAGAAATCTGTACTAATTTTGTTTTAAAATAGATTCTCAAAGAGACAAACCGGATAAAGCTCGAATCTCTCTCGCCATTTCACTCGATGAACTCTCCAAATATCTGAAATTACGACAAGTTCAATGTTTCAAGTTTTTCTTTATTACAAAAAGCTAATGCAAAAAAAATTGTTAAGAAAAGTGTTAAAAATGGTGAAAACAAACCTCTTTATTAGATCAATGCACTCTGTGGGAATGGATCTTGAATTGGAAATGTTTTCCCGGGGTAGGTTAGTTTCCGTAACAGGGTTATTTGCGCAACTGGATCGTTTCCGCAACTCGCCACAACTTTCTAAGTGGGCCAATCTTTATGATTTTGATTTTATTTTGTAGATCTCAATAAGTGCAACAAAATAAAACCAAAATCATAAAGATTGGCTGACTTAGAAGAGAACTATGGCGAGTTGCGCAAAAGACCTAGTTGTTTTGGTACAATTTTGGTTTCATTTTGGTTTCATTTTGTTAGACTTATTGAGATCTACAAAATAAAACCAAAAACATAAAGATTGGTCCACTTAGAAGAAAGTTATGGCAAGTTGCGCAAAAAAAATTAGACTACCCCGAAAAAATGACGAGCTTCATCTTTTATACGACTCTTTTTAAAGATATTCAGCCGTTCAATTGATTTGGCGGCAAATTCCCGTCAAATGTAAAGATATTCAATTTACTCGACGTGTAAAGAGGATTACTCGTAGTTACTCGACGAAAAACTCGATTAATCAAATAAAAGAAATTACTCACGAGATTTTGCTCAAGTAATTACCGTAAATACTGTAATAGTACCCCACCGCCCTCGTACAGTCAGTGTACATCTCAATAAGTGTAACAAAAGGACACCAAAAGCATACCAAAACAACTGGGTCGTTTGCGCAACTCGCCATAACTTTCTTCTAAGTCGGGCAATCTTTATCCTTTTGGTTTCATTTTGTTGCACTTATTGAGATCTACAAAATAAAACCAAAAACATAAAGATTGGTCCACTTAGAAAAAAGTTATGGCGAGTTGGGTAGCCTGTTGCGCGAAAAAAATTACGGAAATTAGCCTATCCCGTTTTCCCCGATTGCTTTTGGCTACTTTAAATAATTTTATAAAGAAAATGTAAAGAATTAACTGAATATTCAATATTTGTTAAGTACTTGCAAAAGAAACTGCTGATTACTACCCGGGACAAAAGTTTTTTTATTTGAAAGTATGATGGTCCGGTTTAAATTGTATTCTATTTTATTGTTATTGCTTATTTATTTAAATAATTTTCACAACTATTACTATTCATTAAATATTATATAATTTTAGGTACAAGATGACGAATCAAAAGCTCTGGTTGTGGGCGTGTCTTCTCTATGACTTCAAAATGAAAAAAAATCAGCATTGGAGTCGCACCGGAATCTTTGTGAAGCATTCGGAGAAAACATTTTGAGTGAAACGACTTGCCAGGAATGGTTTCGACGTTTTCGTGAAGGGGATGACAGTTTGGAAGATGAGTCTCATGGATATCGTCCAGTTGTCCTCGATAATGCCGAGTTGCTGGAGATTGCTCGAGTTGCTCGAGTTGCTGGAGTCGAATCTAACTTAAACCTTGCCCGAATTAGCCAAACACTTTCCGAGTCGAGCACAATTTCTCTACACCTTTCGCTTATTGGAAAATGGAATCATTGTGGCCAATGGGCCCCACATCAATTATCCCCTGAAAACAAAGCCAATCAAGTTTCATTGTCTCGGGTCTATTGAAAAAGGCTACGGGCAGTGCTTTTTTGAAGGCTTTTTTTGAAGAAGTTGATGATGGACAAAAAGTGGATAGATTTCAATAATACAATACGCAAAAGACAATGGTTGAGCAAAGGAGAAATTCCGATTCCGACATCACATTCAGATCTTCACGGAAAGAAAGTTATGCTGTCAGTTTTGTCAGTCTCTCAGTCTCTCAGTCTCTCAGTCTGTTCTGCTGTCAATCTTTTGGAATATGAAAAGGAATCGTTTATTTTGAAGACGAAAATCTTCAAAAATTATAGCTTCTCAAATCTACGCCGAACAGCTGAAGAAAGTTGATGAAATTCTACGAGAAAGAGGCGTTAATCCAATGAATCGTTAATCGAATTTGCTCGTTGGCAATGCCCATGACAATGACAATGACGATGCCCGGGTACACATATCAAACCTGGCTCAAAACACAATAGAAGAACTAGGCTGGAAAGTTGTGCCTCATCTGCTATATTCGGCTGATCTTGCTCCCTCAGATTACGATTTGTTCCGGTCGATGCAACACTTTCTTGCAAATCAAAAGTTTAACAATGCTGAAGAAGTCGAAATTTGGGTGCAAGACTATTTTGCGTCACGGGACCACGAAAACTATAACTTCTCAAATCTACGCCGAACAGCTGAAGAAAGTTGATGAAATTCTACGAGAAAGAGGCGTTAATCCAATGATAATTTGCTCGAATTTTTCGAATCAGGTATCCGAAGTCTACGCAAAAAAAATCAAAGAACATAGTTTATAATAATGGTTCCTATTGATTGCTAATATCTTTTAGAATCAAATTGTTTTCTTATTGATTTTTGTGATGGCTTTTGTTGGCTATAATCCATAGTTTCTTTTGCAATTGCCTAATATTTAAAGAAATCTAATTCAATTGGCGTATTAAATATGTTTTGCTGGGAAATAAGAAAAAAGTGTATCAACTTTCAACATCAACATAGTTTCTTTTGCAAGTAATAAATAGATATTTGTTGAAAAAATCAACCTCTGCACCCTTGGCGCACTGGCGTCTGAATGAAAGTTGCGGAAACCTCTGAAAAATGTAATTATTGAATAAAGTCGACTTTTTTATATAGAAATTAGTGAATTTCGATCGAAATCTCATTATTTTCACTATATATTTACTCTTATTGATTGCTAATAAATTATTAAGGTCAAAACCGACTTTTGCCATAGTTTTAACTGTTAAAATTGACAGCATCAAGTCAAATTCTCAATTTTTCCTTTAAATCTTTACTTTACTAGGGCTTTTATTCAGTAAAAAAAGCTTTCCTTGCGGTATAAATGAAAGTTTAGTGTTTTGCTAGCAAGCCAAATTATTCGCGCCACGTATCATTTGCGCCAAATTTGCACTCTTTAACACATTTTCCTACCAACTCTGATTGGCGATTTTTATTTTTTTCAGTTTCTTCCAATCCTTATCGACAATGCTCGCTATTTTGTCACCTTCAAATGTCGAAGATGCTCTCTATTTTGCCAAAAAATGGCATAAGATTGATATAGAGAGTGAAAAGCCCAATCGGGGACATAAAAATGACTATTTTTGGAAGTCTGTATAGGTATTTAAATATCTTTTTCTAATTGAAAACAATGAGAATTAAAATTGTGAAGCAGAAAACTGTAAAAAGTTGATTAGAAGTTGGGGGAAAGTGATTTGTCATACCGTAAATACTGTAAGCTATAAAGAATAGTTAGCGACAACATTATAACTACCGTAAATACTGTAATAGTCCCCACCCCCATAATGACGGTGCGGAGCGTTGCGTCGTCTAGCTTTGAACGCGTTTTTCTCGACACTCGTTTATGCTACAACGCCCGTTTAGGTATCAAAAAATAGCCCTGAATTTCAGCTATTTTTTGATACCTAAGCGAGCACGGTAGCATAAACCAGTGTCGAGAAAAGCTCGTTCAAAGTTAGACTACGCAACACTCCGCACCGTCATTATGGGGGTGCTATTACAGTATTTACGGTAAGCACAAATTTGGCACAAATGAAATTAGCGCAAAAAACTCAGCATTTTCCAAATTTTCACTCACGTTCTGTAACGATGTTCGATGAAAGCGAAAGCCATCGAAAAAAGCGATAACACCAAGAATAGTCTGATCATCATTTTCGAGAGATTTTCTCTGCCTAAAATTTGGTTTTTCTTTTGAAGAAAGTGAAAATAAAGAGAATGGAAGTTGTTAGAAAAACTCTGCGAACTTTTAGCTAATCTAACTGTCATCAATGACCATCAATGACCATCAATGACCATCAATGACCATCAATGACTATCAAATCTAACTGTACACTTCGATATAATGAAACCAATATTCGAAAACGATCAAACGCTTAATAATAAAGAAACAAATTTCGATATAACAAACACTTTCTGGATATATTACCGTATATTTCATTTTCATATAACGGATTATTTCTTAAAATGTGGGCAAAACCAAATGGATTTCTGCTTTTTGACTGAATAACTAAAGTTTTTTTTTGCTTAATTTGAAATGCTTTACAATTAGCTTGCTTATTTCTTGTAACGCTTTTGGGAGTGGGATAAATGCGACCTTTTTTTTGCGCACCTGGACATTTGCGCACCTTTTTTGCTGGAAAAAGCCTTAGTCGTAGAGCTTCAAAAATATTTCCATACAAGGGATTCGTATGCGTAGATTCCGAATTTCGACAAATCAGACCTCGCTGACAGGTCAAATTTGGGTTAAAAGGCAAAAACTACGCAACTTAATGCTTTTCCGCAGTTTTTGCCTTTTAGCCCAAATTTGACGTGTCAGCGAGGTCTGATTTGTCGAAATTCGGAATCTACGCATACGATTCCCTTATAAGGAAATATTTTCGAAGCTCTAAGGCCTTTTCCAGCAAAAAAAAAGGTGCGCAAATGTCCAGGTGTGCAAAAAAAGGTCGCATTTGTCCCACCCCCCGTTTTTTATCTTAAGTGTGCTTAATGTCGTTTTCTTGGGGTTGGCTAGTTTCCGCAATTTTCTTGCACAACTGGGTCGTTTGCGCAACTAGTCATAACTTTTTTCTAAGTCAGCCAATCTTTATGCTTTTGGTTTCATTTTGTTGCACTTATTGAGATCTACAAAATGAAACCAAAATCATAAAGATTGGCCCACTTCGAAGAAAATTATGGCGAGTTGCGCAAACGACCCAGTTGCACAAAAAAAATTGCGAAAATTAGCCTATCCCGTTTTCTTTTTTATGTAGTTTTCTTTAATTTTTGAGAATATTTTTATATTTTAGGTGATCGAGGAAAGTCAACGCGTCGATCAATCGATTTGGGTTTAAAGAAGCGAATAGTCGAGCAATCGAAAGGAATGGTTGAATTGGCGAAGGATTTCGAGTACTAGTCTACTTGGAGCGGGGAGCCCACTTTTTTTGCTTCAAAACCATTCTTTCTGGGGTAATTTTATGCGTAGATTCCGAAAAACACAACGAGAACTTGAGGAAATGCGTTTTAAGGCAAGTTTCGGGACTCTTCTGGGCTTCAAAGTGCGCGCCTCTTTAGTGTCCTTCACTATATTGAGCCCAAGCTATCGACTATTGTCTATTTCTTTTTCATTTTGCTTCAATTTAATCATAAACGTAATCAGCAGGTTAGATTATGCCAGAAGAAGTGTTTTTGGGTTCAAAAAATGTTTTAAGAGACCATTTTTAGACCTCTTCCCTATGTGTATTGCTCTCAACACACTGTATGAGCTTTGGAACCGCAAAACTCGGTTTAAAACGCATTTCCCTAAGCTCTCGTTGTGTTTTTCGGAATCTACGCATAAAACTACCGCAGAGAAAGTGGTTTTGAAGAAAAAAAAGTGCCCCCCGTCCTTCAAGTAGACTAGTACCGGATTTCGAAATGTCGCATCAATGATTTCAACAATTCTTAGAGATGGAAGCAATCGATGAAGATGGTTGGATAGATTGCATATAAAAGAGAACGATTGAAGACGAGAAAATACGAATCAATCGAAGAGTCTGCTTATTTTGAGCAAATGTGCAGTCAAAACGAATGTTTTTGACGGCAGCTTCGAGAGAAAGCGATGGAGTTGGCAAGCTTTGAAGGAATTAGCGATTTTCAAGCGAGTGGCTGACTGGATAAATTCAAGAAGCGTCACGGAGTTGTTGTTCGAATTTTAAAAGGGGAAGCTGCCAAGATCAACAACAATGATATCGAAAAGTTGAAAGCCAAAGTGTTGAGGGAAATTTTACAGGAATTTGGTGCGAATTGATCACAAAATTCGGTTATTTGTTGCTATACAACAAATTTTGATATAACAAACTCTTCGGCCGGTTCCTTGCAGCTCGTTGTATCGAAGTTCGGCTGTAGTCAGAAGAAAAAGAAACTTTTTTGTATGATTTTTTGGTGTGTCAGTTCTTAGGCGTGTACTTTGTGCTCAGCCATGTAAACACATCTTTTTTTGGTGCAGTGAGCAGTTTCTCATGGTTTCTATGAGAAAAACAAGACTATGAGTCTATGAGAAAGACTTACGTGCACTAGAGAGAGTGTATTTACCTTTAAGTACAAAATACAGGCCTTGCACTGAACCAAGTGAGCAAAGAAAAAAATCAAAGTAAACAGGTGCTCGCCTTTGTTTATCTATATGTTGTAGCCGATTATGAATGAGTGGGTCTAGGAGCGTCCAACCATCAAGTATTTAGTATCATTCAACGCAGAATCATTAATAATTATGTTAAATTATGTTAAAGGGTTGCTCTACTAGAAAGATTTGCCAAAAAAGTTCATTCATAATCGGCTACGGCATATATAAAACTAGTTTTCTTATACCTTCACAATTTTTCCTATAAGAAATCGAAGTCTTGTTGTCTTTTCTTTTCGATCAAAGCTGATCCTTTTCTCTTTTTTTTGTATTCTTTTCTCATCCGATATCTCCGAAATTTCCTTAATATTTCTCCCCAAAAATCTACTCTTTTCCCTTCTCTGCCGTCGACCTTTTTTCCCCGATTTCCCCTATCAATCCACTAATAATCGCAAGTTCTTTTATGGATTAGTGATGTTTTTGGGCTCGATTTTTTAAGATAATTGTTTTTTTTTCTTTAACTTTCATGTTTATATTCTAAATTTTTCTTTTTTTGATGACAAAAATCGGTTTTGCTGTGGATCGGGGTGGGACTTTTACGGATGTGTGCGTCTTTTATCCAAACGGGAAAACGAGGTGAGGAATTTTGGGATTTTGCTAAATGATTTAATCAGTAAATCTTTATAAGTCGTACATTTTGAATAGAAATTTCAATAGTGAAAACTTAAAACACTAGTTTAAACGCCAAAGATATGAAGCAGTGAGCGATAGCATATCACCGAAATATCATTTTCTCAAATAGCCTAATGATCTAATTGCAAAACTAGGCTATAACTAGAGTACTGAGCGGCCACCGGATTAATGCTGCCTTGGACATAGATCCGGAATACAATCCGCTATAGAAAAAGGTCAAAAATGATCAAAAATGGCCAAAAATGATCAAAACTGGCCTTTTAGGCTTATAATATTAGAAACTAATCAAAGTACAACTTTGTTTTTGAGTGTAAGTCGATAAAAAGAGAAAAATGCCACCATCTACCAGCGTTTAAATCAATTTCAGTGCTACTGCTATTGGAAAATGAACGTAGTCAAACCGTTAGTTTACATTTGATCAGCCTGTATGAGACTTGTAATTCTTGACAAAATTCACCCAACGGAATGTAAACTAACGATAATGATTACGATAGTTTTTCTCAAATTTTCCCTCGTAGCCTTTTAGGTGCCTTTTAGAAAATGCATTATTCAAGAGAAATTGTCATTTAGATTACTGTTTAAATTACTGTTTAGAAAACCCAAATTTGAGCTAAGAATATAAACGAATTACTAGAGAGAAACAGGTTCTAAACATGACGAAACTGTCCGTTAACCCGGATGATAGCCTAATCTAAGCTTAATGCTACAATATAATGATATCAAAAATTATCTAGATAGTCTCCAGATAGTGCTGAAAAAAAAATTTAGAGTACTCAAATTGTTGAGTGAAGATCCAGAAAATTATGCTGATGCGCCAACGGAGGCGATTCGAAGGGTATTGGAAGAGGAAACAAAAGGAGAGATTCGGAGGGGAGAATTGATACCAACTGGTCAGCTATAGATAGAAATAAAGATTTGAATTGATTTAGATTAGATCTGAATTGATTCAAATCAGATCCTATTTAGATCATATACTTTTTGCAGAGAATATCGCTTGGATTCGCATGGGAACCACTGTGGCGACGAATGCTCTTTTAGAAAGAAAAGGAGAGAAAACTGCATTATTGGTGACAAAGGGATTCAAAGGTCGGTAAATTGATGGCACATTGTAATTATTGTAATTATTTACGGCTCAATAACGTATACGAGTCGACTTTTAGATCTTTTATTCATTGGGAATCAGTCAAGACCGAGGATTTTCGACTTTGACATTCGGATACCGGAGGTGAGTTTTGAAAAAATTTTCATTTTTTAGAATTTTAGAATTTTACAAAATTAAACAAGATAATCTTTAGGTTCTATATTCGGATGTGATTGAAATTGACGAACGGGTGATTCCGAGTAATCAAAAATGTGAAATGAAAGAGATTGGCGAGGAAGCAATGGCAACAAATGGACAAAAAGTGAGGAAATTTGATTTTTTTTGAATTCATTTGAAAAGGAAATATTTGCACATCAAAAAAGAAGGGAAAGCCTCGGAGGAATGGGGGAGTTTCCCCTTGAGATAATCTTGATAAACTTTGAGATTCCATTAGGAATATTGAAAATGAGGTCATGCAATGAGGGATTTTTAGATAAGAATGATTTCGTATTTGCTCGGAAAACAGAAAAAAAGAGTACTAGAATATAAGATTTTCTAATAATTTTTTGCTTTCATTTGACATGCTTTTTCATTTAAATTTCAAAAGCGATTTTAAGAATTAAATTTGAGCATTAGATAAGATTCAAATATTGAATTGAATTAGATAAAATTCAAAAATTAGATAAAATTCAAATATTGAATATCCTCTAATTCATTTTCTAATCAAATTCATTTTCAAAATCGTGTCTCCCCTTTCTTTTTCTATCGTAATCTTGTCTATTTTTATCTAATCTATCCACTTTTTTTGTGTGTGATTCTGTGAGGATTCACAAAAGATATAAAAAATAGAGACAAAATTTTAGACATAAAATCTTCAACAACTTTAGCACGACTATTCAAATGTGTATGCTTAGATTTAGATTTAAAAAGCAAATGGCTATCATAAGATCTGGATGCTTTTACATAAGATCATAAGATCTGGATGCTTTTACGTACAAGAAATGCTAACTAGGAAAGCGCACGAATTGGCCACTGAATTAAGTGAAATAGCGCATTTTATTGGACTGATTCCGGGATATGCAATCAAAAATCACGAAAAGATTTGTGGAAATCGATTAAAATCGGTTTTAGAATGATCTCAAAGTTGATGATTTTTGTAAGCTTTTCTCCGATTTTCTTACTGATTTATTTCGAATCAGTTTTTCATGGAAATTTTTCTTTTCTTTCCAAAAAGACATTTGATAATAAGTCTTAATAAATCTGTAAGATAAAAAGGAATCATTTTACTCAACTAATATTTCTAATAATCGAGTAAGGCGCTTTTTGAAAACAATCATTTTAGTGGGGAAGAAGTCTAAAAATGGTCTCTCAAAACATTCAAAACAGCAAACAAACAAAACAAAACAGTCAAAAACACTTCTTCTGGCATTATCTTACCTACTGATTACGTTTATGATTAAATTGAAGCAAAATAAAAAAAGAAATAGTCAATAGTCGATAGCTTGGGCTCTCAATATAGTGAAGGACACTAAAGAGGCGCTCACTTTGTTTTTCTTTTCTTTCCAAAAAGACATTTGATAATAAGTGTTAACAAATCTGTAAGATAAAAAGGAAACATTTTACTCAACTAATATTTCTAATAATCGAGTAAAGCGCTTTCTTGAAAACAATCATTTTACAGATCTTGGTGGAACGATCATTAAACGACGAGGAATTGCGTGTTTCATTGGAAGAGATCAAATCGAATGGTTTTCACTCATTAGCTGTTCTCTTTCTTCACTCATACATGTAAAGTGGATTATCGGGGACAAAAATCTATTGATATGGGATTTGTAAGAGAAATAGAACAATGAAGTAAGCCCTAGAAAGGGGGCAAAGATTTTAAATCTAACATCCAACAAAATTTAAAACAAACAAAATTTAAAACAAGTTTTTTTTGGAATTTCGGTTTCTTGAAGTAAAATTGTTTTGTTAAATGGAAATTTTGGACAAATTTGAATCCAAAATTGACTTTTTTTATGGCTTTTTACAGAAAATTTGAATAATTGAATGAGATTCTTGAGCTCTCAATGAAAAGAAATTCTTGAAATTGTTGAAGAACGCTCAAGAACGCTTGTTTAAGTTCTTTAAGCCTTTCATTCAAGCTTTTCATTGAATTCTTTCAACTTTCATAACAAAAATGGCTTAGTCTAGCAGTCTAGCAGTCTAAAAGGATCAATCAGGTGAATCAAAAGCCAAGCTTTACTTTATTTCAAGATCATTTAAGTTCTTTAAACCTTTCATTCAAGCTTTTCATTGAATTCTTTCAACTTTCATAACAAAAATCAATCAAAAATCAAACTTTACCTTTACTTAATGATCATTTTAGTTATCCCGCGCATGAGCTAGCCGTTGAACGTCTAGCGAAAGCGATCGGCTTCAAGAATATCTCACTCTCACACAAAGCAATGCCGATGATTAAAGCTGTGCCCAGGGGATTCACGGGTAAATTTTTTATGACTTTTAAGTTTTCCCCTTTATCATCTTCTTTTGAACTAGTAACTCGAGGAGTTTAAAAATTGATTGGACAGCTGATAAGCCTCCATTTCCTATTTCTTTTACCTTTTCTCATTAGCTCAAAGTTAGATCTAACTTTAAGCTCAAATTTCTTGGCTTTTCGTTGTCCAATTTCAATATTCTTGATATCATTAGATGCGCCAAGTCTTTCTCTATCGATTGGTACAAAAACTATTTCATTTGAACAGCTCAACACAAAGAAATTTAAGCTTAAAGTTATGGCAATGGTAAAGGCGCGTATAAAAGCCCCTCAGCCCCGCCCCTTTGTCATTGCCATAACTTTAAGCTCACATTTCTTGGCTTTTGGTTGTCCAATTTCAATATTCTTGATATCATTAGATGCGCCAAGTCTTTCTCTATCGATTGGTACAAAAACTATTTCATTTGAACAGCTCAACACCAAGAAATTTGAGCTTAAAGTTATGGCAATGACAAAAGGCGCGCGTATAAAACCCCCTAAGCCCCGCCGATTTTCCCTTTTTGCAAAATGAATTTTCAGTTTGCGCTGACGCGTATCTGACTCCAAAAATCGCAGAGTATATCAGGGGATTCACAAAGGGATTCTCAAAAGAAATTGAGGGAATTCGAGTCGAATTTATGCAATCCGATGGTGGATTGTGCGACGTGCACAAGTCAGTTTTCTCTTTTGCTTTTTTTCAGAAAAACAACATTTCCCTACATTTACAACATTTAAACACAAGGTATACTATTGGGTTGAATTTGTGATTGAAAACTGACGGCTGTTGTAATTGCTCATCGCCTGGCGCAACGCTTTTGCATAACCCCCCTTCCCTCTCGCTTTTGCCAAACTAATCTGACCGGCTCCGGATTCTCGAATTGGACATTGAATTCTCGGCAAATCAAGGCTAATCTCAATCTATTCGATTCGTGAATTGAAAACTGCCGGCTATTGTCATATTTAACAGTTTGAGTTCCTCTTTCGTGTTAGGATTTTGGTTTGTGTGTGAGACTCAAAAAATGAGGGACTCGAGATGTCCCAGTTTGAGCACTTTCTTCAAAAGAAACCCATTTTGGTGTCAATAGAAAAGTTGTAGAGAATCAAAAATTAGGCTTATAGCCAAATTTCCAAAAAGATACACTTAGTAGTTTCGAGAATTTGTGTGTTCTGTGTGTTCTTTGTGCGGCCGCGTAATCGCTCATCGCCTGGCGCAGGGCTTTTACATAACCCCCTTCCCTCTCCCTTTGCCAAACTAATCTGGCCGACTCCGAATCCTCGAATTGGACATTGACTTCTCGGCAAATCAAGGCTAATCTCAATCTATTCGTTTGGTGAATTGAAAACTGCGGGCTATTGTCAAAAGTTTATCTATCTAAAGTTTGAGGTTAGATATCTTTTGTTTAGTGAGCTTAGTGCCTTCTTTTGCTCTGTTTTAAGCAATTTTTTAAGTCATTGTTGACCTTAAACAGTTAAAGAAGTCAATAAAGCTGATCTATTGGGTTGGTGAATTGAAAACTGCCGGCTATTGTCATATGTCACTGTTTGAGCACTTTCTTGAAAAGAAACCCATTTTGGTGTCAATGGAAAAGTTGTAGAGAATCAAGAAATAAGCTTATATCCAAATTTTCAGAACGTTTCAAAAACTGGTTTTCAAGAAATGCGAAATTTACGAATTTTCACAAAACCTGCATTTTAAGCGAAACTACTAAATGTATCTTTTGGAAATTTGGCTATAAGCCTCATTTTTGATTCTCTACAACTTTTCTGTTGACACCAAAATGGGTTTCTTTTGAAGAAAGTGCTCAAACTGGGACATCTCCAGTCCCTCATTTTTGAGTCTCACACTTGTCTCACACACAAACCAACCACCAAAGAGGAATCCGCAAATTACCTGTAAAACCCCAACTGGATGATTCCAAATTACTCGAACTCATTACCAACTCATTGCCTCATTCCTCCACGACAACGCGCGCCCTCCTGTTGCAAAACTGACTCGCTCTAAAATAAACAGCCTCGGTTGAGAACTTTTGGTACATCCCCCATACAGTCCGGACCTTGCCCCTTCTGATTACTATTTATTCCGGACCATGAGTAATGAGCTTGCGGGAGAACACTTCGATTCGGAAGAAGCAGTCAAAAATTGACTTTGAAAGTTTTTCAATTCAAAACCAAAATCCTACCACCAAAGAGGAATCCGCAAATTGCCTGTAAAATGGACAGAAGTTGTCAATAATAATGGAAATTATTTGCAATGAATTGATGGTTTTATGTTGAATAAATTTTAGTTCAAAGTCCGGCGGTTTTCAATTCACCAACCCAATATTTGCCAATAGAATTGAGTGCATTTTCTCATCCTCAAGTAACAATCAATACTTGCACATGTAATTTAAAGCCGAAAGCAAGGGGGGAAAAAGTTTGACCAACGCTCATTAGCACCGTGAAAAATAAATTCTGAAAACGGAAAACTTTTTTTGGAAAAGACATTTTCTGCAATTGGCAACGGGGAAAAAGCTCAAATTTTATCTGACATAAATTTGGAATTTCAAAGTTTTTCATTAAAGAAAATTGCGCACGGAATGAAATTGAAATAAAAAAAAAAATTGCCAACTTTTAATCAAATTTAAGGCAATTCCCAAAGATCGCGTATTCATTTTTGACATTTTTTTTTTCTTTTCCAAAAAAGCCACAAAAGCAATTAGAATTTTGAAAAAGGAAAATTAGGCGGCTAAAAGTTTTTTTTTTTTCGAGGAAATTACAACGAAAATCTTTTTGTTTGAATAGGGTTTTGAGTTAAAAGTTTGAGCATTTCAAATCAGAAAAGGTCTAGAGTTAGATACTGATTAGGTTAGAGTTGAGCTACGGGACATAGAGCGGCAAGGAACGCACAGCAAGTGCCTAAGATGATGCAAAACTAGAGTTAGATTGAGATTAGGTTAGAGTTGAGCTGCGGGACATAGAGCGGCAAGGATCTCACAGCAAGTGCCCAAGATGATGCAAAAAAATAAGGTGGGGGTGGGAGGAGAGGGGGGGGGGGGGGGGGGGGGGGGGGGGGGGGGGAAGGGACCCCCGCCAGTGCCTAAGATGATCCAAATCTAGAGTTAGATTGAGATTAGATTAGATTAGAGTTGAGTTACGGGACGTAGAGCGGCAAGTATCTCACAACAAGTGCCTATAATGGAAGATCTTTTATTTCGTGGAACTTGGTCCTCTTTCACTCGGCGAAACAGTCATTCAGTTAATAGCGTCGAATTTTCGATTTGAAAGGATGTTTCCAAATGACGTCTGGTGTTTGAATGAATTTCAAACAACAGCTGAATCCACTGAATCGATTTTAATTGATCTGAGTACCTTCTTTGTCGCATCTGAAATGTGGCACTGGAAGCTATCCCAAACTAATAGACATTTGAAGCCAGAGCCTGAGCCTGAGCCTGAGCATGATCAAACATTCGCTTAAGGAATGTGGCCTGTGCTTAACCGAAGGGCTTAATTCTGAAATTCATCTAGATACTGCCCTCCAAAACTCGATTCAATTCTCCTCATTGCTTTTGAATTTGAATGGCTTAATGGCTTTTGAGAATCTTCTGATTTCGAATGACTGAATTGACACGTTTTCGTGGCAATAGAATGTAGAAATGAAATGTTTTCCATTTGTAGCCATATCGAACTGCAAGTATTTTAATTTTTGGATTCAAGATCTTGCATTTTATAGTAATAGAGTCTTGGTCTAAGCCAGCTGACTCTTTACTAAATTAGGCACGAGTTTGGGTCAGGGGTTTTAAATCAATGAAATTTATTGACGAGTTTGACTCTCACAAGCTCAAAACGAATCTGCCAAATTTGGGGTTCCGGAAATGAGATGGGTTAAATGGTATTTCCGAAATGAGATGGGTTAAATGGTATTTCTCAAGGGGGGAGTTTTTTAAAGCCTAAAACCTTAGAGTCGATAAGGGACTTAAATGGGCTTAAGCTAAAGTTAAATTAAGTTTAAATTAGCTGAATCTTTTCAATTAGAAAAGGGATGAAGGCATACAAAAATGGGATCCAAAAATGGAATCCAAAAATGGAATCCAAAAATGGAATCCAAAAACTTTACTGAAAGAAGTAAAATGAAAAAAAGAGTTCCAATGATTTTCGGTTATTTTCATTGATTTAAATGTGATTTTAAAATTTCTCAAAGTGAAACAATTAGAAAATGGCTAAACTAATTGTTAGAACCGAACTGGACTAGTTAGAGAAGCATTTGGAAATCGGAAATGGTTAAGTTCGGAAAGGGTTAACGTCACCACTCTCGCAACTCTACGTCGCAATTGAGAGCTATTTAAAAGCCCGATAAGGTGATCTGATAGTTTTTAAGAACTATAAGAGTAAGCAGCTTTAGACCAAGCCAAATTAAGTTTAAATTGGCTGAATTCTTTCCAATTAGAAAGGGGATTAAGGCATACAAAAATGGGATACAAAAATGGGATACAAAAATGGGATACAAAAATGGGATACAAAAATGGGATACAAAAATCTTTACTGAAAGAAGTGAAAATGAAAGAAATGAAAGAAAGAAAGAAAGAAAGAAAGAAATGAAAGAAAGAAAGAAATGAAAGAAAGAAAGAAAGAAAGAAAAGAGGAAAGAAAGAAAGAAAGAAAGAAAATCAAATGAAAAAAGTTTCAATGATTTTTGGTTATTTTTATTGATTTAAATGTGATTTCAAAATGTGACAGGAATTTGAAAAAAAATTGAAACCAAAAGTCTTTCAAATACATCTTTCAGTAAAGAACCGTAGTTTTCTTTTTCCCCCATAATGCCAATTTGTTTCTTTTTCTTTTCTTTTTCAAACCGGAAACTTCTTTAGACCCACTTTACAATTCATTCAAAATGACACAAAAAAAGGAAAAAAAAAGAATACTTTAGTGTGTTCGTTTGAAAGAAAAATTTGTTCAGTTCAAAAGAAGTTCAAATTCTATAGAGAAATTGGGATAAACACGTTTTTTTGATTGAGTTTTCTTATTGTGAAAAGTCTAGTGACGATAGTAAAGCCAAAAAAAATCATAGATGAAAGTTGAATTGGAAAGATTTTGTCTTTTTATTTACTACCAGGTCTTTTTGTTTACTATCAAACAACCAGGCCGGTTGTTTAGCAAGGCTGATACCCAAAACAATTATCCAGTCATCGCCTTTTTTTGATAAACCGATATTCCTCGAGAACGAAATGACATCCAATCATTCCAATCTGTATTCTTTATGCGATCCCTCTGTGATCCCATCCATCAAATCTCCGGCTCAAATTCTTGCTGTTTGTCAACTCAACTCATATAGCGTTTTTGCCACCGGCACTTTCCTCTTTCCCTTGCAATTCCTCGATAAACATTGGAAATACTTTATACTGTTCTATAGAGAAATTTGGGATAAACACGTTTTGATTGAGATTGATTGAGTTTTCTTATTGTGAAAAGTCTAGTGACGATAGTAAAGCAAAAAAATCATAGATAAAAGTTGAATTGGAAAGATTTTGCAAAAATTGGGCTTCAAAAAACGCTAAAATAGAAAGGTTAAGAATTTCTCAAAGTAAAACAATTGGAAAATGGCTAAACTAATTGTTGTAACCGAACTGGAATAGTTAGAGAAGCTTTTGGAAATCGGAAATGGTTAAGGTAACGTCAAAACTCTGACTCGCAACTCAACCTCCCAACTGAGAGCTATTTAAAAACTCGAGAAGGTGATCTGCTAGTAAGCAGCTTTACTATTGAGTAAGCAGCTTTACTATTGAGCAAGCAGCTTTACTATTGAGTAAACAGCTTTACTATTGAGTAAACAGCTTTAGACCAAGCAAAACCAGGTCAGACCCACCTCAATCTGGATGCAATTTGCTTGAAATTTTAGCTAATCGATCAACCATGATGAAAACCTTTACTTTAATGTTCTCAGCTTACACACTTCAACTTTAAGTTGTCGTTAGTAGATCCGTTCTTGATCGTCAAGTTAATTGAGAAAAGAATCCATCCTAAAAAAACGTATTGTAATAAAATCAAAGAATAATCAAAAAGGCCAAAAAGAAAAATGAATGCGAAATGATTGATAGAGTAAGTAAAATCTCGAAAAAAAAACTTGAGTAAAATCTCGTGAGTAATTTCTTTTATTTGATATATTCTCTCTAATAGTAGTGCACCCTAAGCGTTGCCTAAATTCGTCGAAATCTCAAACCGCTTATCAGAACCTATCGATGCTTTAAGCTTTAAGCTACTTGAGCTTTAAGCTGCTTGAGCTTTTAGCTACTTGAGCTTTAAGTCGTCATTAGTAGATCCGTTCTTCAAGACGGGTCAAGTTGATTGAGAAAAGAATCCATCCTAAATGTAGCTGACGATGAGATCTTGTGGGAGATTTGAGTGTTGAGCTTCTGCAAAACCTTAGAAACCGTCAAATAGTCATCAACTCGGCTCGACGGGATGCACTACTATTAGAGAAAATCCGGTATTGGCCTACCGGTATTGGCCAGATAGTCGTCCGGTTAGGAATCTTGTCTCTTACGCGAAAGGTCGAGGTTTCAAACACGCTAGCAAGATAGAAATGTTTCCTTTTTGCCCACAAAGTGCACTACTATTAGAGAAAATACGGTAATCGACGTTTTTGTTCAAAAAAACTACGAGTAATCCTCTTTACGCGTCGCGTAAATTGAATATCTTTACATTTGACGGGAATTTTCGGCCAAATCAATTGAACGGCTGAATATCTTTAAAAAGAGTCGTATAAAAGTTTTGGAAAGTTTAAAATGTTCAATGAATCTTTCAGTTTCTGCGGCTCTCGAGCGATTCTTTCTGGTCCAGCTGGTGGGGTTGTTGGTGTGGCGAGGACAGCTTACAATGAAGAGACTAAAAAACCAGTGATCGGTTTCGATATGGGAGGGACGAGCACAGATGTTAGTGATGATTGAGTCTTTAATTTTGATCATTTTTTCGGTTTGTCGCTATTCGGGTGAGTTGGAGCACGTGATGGAGACGACAACAGCCGGGATAACCATTCAAGCACCACAGGTCAACTCTTGTAAAGCTCTTGCGCTCTTGTAGCTCTTGTAAAGTCAAGATCACGTTCAAGTTTTGAAGATTTAAATTTATGCAAAATTTTCAGTTAGATATAAATACAGTGGCTGCTGGTGGTGGATCGCGGCTCTTCTTTCGGAATGGTTTATTTGTAGTTGGGCCAGAGTCAGCGGGAGCTCATCCTGGGCCTGTTTCTTACAAAAAGGTTCTCCACAAATAACTGTGGCTGAGTTTAAACGGTTGATTTTTTTTGTTTTAGAATGGTTATCTAGCCGTCACTGATGCAAATCTCGTTCTCGGTCGAATTCTGCCAGAATATTTCCCAAATATCTTTGGTCATTCAGCAAATCAACCGCTTGATAAGTTTGTTAAATAAAAAGGGATTAAGCTTTTAGAATTTAGAGAAGCTGCATTGAAAGCTTTTGAAGAATTCGCAAAAGATGTGAACAAACACGTGAAAGAGAATCGAGAAGCGATACAGGTTGGATTTTTATTGTAAAACTTGTAACTATTTATATTAGAGTGTGTTCCACGCGAGTAATGCGTTTTTTTAAAAAGCACACTTGGGGGAAGAAAATGCCGTACTTTTAGCAAAAAATGACGCAAAAAAATGGGATAGGCTACTTTGCGCCAAATTTTTTTGCGCAACTCGCCATAACTTTCTTTTAAGTCGACCAATCTTTATGAGTTTAATGTCATTTTGTAGATCTCAACAAATGCAACAAAATGAAACCAAAATCATAAAGATTGGCTGACTTAGAAGAGAATTATGGCGAGTTGCGCAAAGTAGGCTAATTTCCGCTAGGTCGTTTGCGCAACTCGCCATAACTTTCTTCTAAGTCGGCGAATCTTTATGCTTTTGGCGTCCTTTTGTTACACTTATTGAGATCTACAAAATAAAACTAAAATCATAAAGATTGGCCCACTTAGAAGAAAGTTATGGCAAGTTGCGCAAAAAAAATTAGACTACCCCGAAAAAATGACGAGCTCCATCTTTTATACGACTTTTAAAGATATTCAGCCGTTCAATTGATTTGGCGGCAAATTCCCGTCAAATGTAAAGATATTCAATTTACTCGACGTGTAAAGAGGATTACGAGAGTGGGACAAATGCGACCTTTTTTTTGCGCACCTTGCCCATTAGCGCACCTTTTTTCGCGTTTTAAAAAAGCTCTAAAAGCTAATATTAACCAATTTCTATTCCAAAAGTTGTTTTTCTAGGTAATTTGAGGGTGTCGAATTCAAATTTTGACATAACAGAGCGTGTGGAACCAATTTGAAAGACAATTTGAAAGGCTAGATCAAATTACAGAAAATTGTTGATTTTTCTCTTTGTATAACTCCGTCCGTTTGTTTCCACAAGCTCTGATATGTCAAAATTTCGATTCTACTCCCTAAAATTACCTAGAAAAACAACTTTTGGAATAGAAATTGGTTAATATTAGCTTTTTAGAGCTTTTTAAAACGCGAAAAAAGGAATGTCCGGGTGCGCAAAAAAAAGGTCGCATTTGTCCCACTCCCAGGATTACTCGTAGCTACTCGACCAAAAACTCGATTAATCAAATAAAAGAAATTACTCACGAGATTTTATTCAAGTAATTACCGTAAATACTGTAATAGTACCCCACCGCCCTCGTACAGTCGCGTAGTCGCAAAAGTTTTTTAGTATTTCATTGTTTTTCAAAGCGCCCGTACTTTCAAAAAATGCGTCTTTGGTATCAAAAAATAGCTGAAATTCAGGGCTATTTTTTGATACCTAAGCGAACACTGTAGCATAAATCAGTGTCGAGAAAAACGCGTTTTTTCGGGATGGTTGCGTAGTCTAACTTTAAACATCCCGTTCTCCGCGCTCCTTTATGCTACAATGTGCGCTTTGGCATCAAAAAATAGCCCTGAATTTCAGCTATTTTTTGATATAAATTGTAGCATTGTAGCATAAACGAGTGTCGAGAAAAACTCGTTCAAAGCTAGACTACGCAACACTCCGCGCCGTCATTATGGGGATTGGGTACAATTACAGTATTTACGGTACCTTCTCGCGAGGAGCACTCTCCAATTTCTATTGTTTAAGAAAAAGTACACAATCGAAGAAGTGGCTTTGGGTTGTATCGCGGTGGCAAATGAGGAGATGTGTCGACCGATTCGGGCACTTACACAGGTTTGACATATTAGTATAAAGTTCTAGTCCAGTTGGTAACGTAATACCTTTAATAGTAGTCATGTATAGTCCCCCTCCCCGTATAGTCGCGTAGTCGCAAAAATTTTTTATTAAATCATCTTTTTCTAAGCGCTCGTAGTTTCTAAAAATATATTTTTAATATCAAAAAATAGCTCTGAATCTCAGCTTTCATTTGGCACATAAGCGAACACTGTAGCATAAATAGGTGGCAAGAAAACGCGTTCAAAGCTAGACTACGCGATGCTCCGCCCGTCATTGTTGCTACTATTAGAGGTATTACTCTAGGATTTGTTGAACATCTGTTTCAATTGCATCTTTCTGCTAGTTCTGTTCTTTTCTGCTCTTTTCTATTCTATTCTATTCTATCAGTTCTATCAAAAGTTTAGGCTAAAGGCTATGATACATCGGATCATGTGCTCGCGTGTTTTGGTGGCGCTGGTGGGCAACACGCTTGTGCAGTGGCAAGGACTTTAGGTGATTGTTTTTAGAAATTTCGCTATTTTTTGATGACTCTGGTATTACTCTGATATTTTAGGTATCCGTGAAGTGTTCGTTCACAAATATTCGGGTGTTCTCTCTGCTTATGGGATCGCATTAGCCGATGTTGTGGCTGAGATGCAAGAACCAGCACAAAAAACATTCAATAAAGGTAGTAAATTAATTTAAGATCACCTTTAAACTAATTCTTTTTTAAGAAAACTTTCCATTCTTCGTCAAGCGTTTTACTCATCTTGCCAAAGAAGCTAGTGAACAGTTGAAAGCTCAAGGATTCGAGGTGGATTTGATTGGCTTAATAAAACTAATAAAGAAGAACACAACTAATTGGAATACTTAAACAAATTCAGCTATTGTTTTGATAAAAACAATAGCTGAATTTTTGTGTGTCTGATGTCATTTACTAGAGTCGTTTACTAGACTAGAGTCATTTACTCTCAAAATAATATAGAAAGTCGTACAGAGCTAGACGCAAGCTTTCAAATTTGACAATAATTTTCCTTTCTTCCAGGACTCATCAATTGAAGCCGAATTCTACCTTCACATGCGATATTTCAAAACCGATTGTGCTATCATGATTTGTGCTCCGTTTAAACCGGGAAATTCTCGTCCTGAAACAATTGAAAAATTCATGGAAATTTTTCGGTAACTTTTTTTGCTTTCAATTTTTTTAAATTTATCAATTTTCAGATCCACTTACAAACGGGAATTCGGTTTCATTTTGGAGAATCGAGAGGTGCAAGTCGATGATATTAGGTTGGAAAGATTTCTACTTATGCTTTGGAAATTTAAGAAAAGACAAATTCACCTTTCTGGCACAGATTTCTACTTGTGCTTTGGAAATTTATGGAAAGACAAATCCACCTTTCACAGAAAATTTGTCATCTAATGAAGAATCCAGTGCGCTGACAAGGCTGGGTTTAGCACAAAGTACAAAGACACTTCTAGAGCACTAGAGAACCTTTGATTCGTGAGCTGTTCAATCATTTAACTCCAAACTGTTTAACCATTCTTTCCAGAGTTCGCGGAATCGGGAAGAGTGAAATCAAGATTCGAGAGAAGATCGAGCACTGCGATGATCCGTTGAATGCGCCGTCAATCGGGCAAAAGGATTGTTATTTTGAGGTGATTTGACAAGGGGGTTTTGATAAACAAATAATACTCATACGGGAGGAAACTAGGTAAGGATTATAGCCTGTAAATATAAAAGAAGATAGCTACTATATATAAAAGAGCAGTGTCCGTCTGCCTGCCCGTCCGTTCGTCTGTCTGTCTGTCTGCCCGTCTGTTCGCCGTCCATCTGTTTGCCCGTCCGTCTGACCTGTCCATCTGTCTGTCTGTCTGTCCGTCCGTCTGTCCGTCCGTCTGTCCGTCTGTTCGCCCGTACATCTGTTCGTATGGGGCTTTTTCTCAGCCGTCTTTAGGCCAGAAAAAACTGAAACTGTTCTTAAAAGTCTTAAAATCTAATATAATTGTGCCATCTTAAATGAAAAATAAAAAATTCAATATTGAGTGGCACTGCGGGGGTCTAACCCGGGCCGCCTGGGTCGTAGACAAACGTGCTTCTGACTGAGCCACGGTAACAAAAACCTGCAGAAAAACCCGCCGGGTTTTTCGGCTTTATAATAAGGATAGTATTCAAATTACAGTATTTTATCTAGGATGGCCCACAAAAGACTCAACTCTACGATTTGAAGGGTCTACAAGGGGGACATATTGTAAAAGGACCCTCAATAATCATCGACGCTAACAGGTTAGATAAAACGATCAATGATCAACAATTATAATTGTTTAAATTACTGTAAATTACTCTGGGATATTGGAAACGATTTGAGTCAACAATCGACAATCCTTTATTTTACAATCGTAAATGTTTTCAGTACAATTGTTGTCGAGCCCGGCTGTACAGCAACGATCAGTGATGAGGGAAATGTGCGAATTGAAGTGGCATCGATGAGTGAGAGGGATAAAAGTACACAGGTGAGATTTGAGAAAGATAAGAATAGGAGAATTTTTTTAGGTTGACCCAATTCGTCTATCGATTTTCTCAAATCGTTTCATGTCAATCGCTGAACAAATGGGGCGAGTACTGCAGAGGACATCGATATCAACGAATATAAAAGTGATCTTTACATATTGTAACTTGTTTAAGAAAATCCTATTAGATTTTACATAAATTTCCTTTGCTAAAAAGACAAAAGTTTCTTTTCCAGGAACGTCTCGACTTTTCGTGCGCTCTTTTTGGGCCCGATGGTGGGCTTATCGCGAATGCACCCCATATTCCGGTTCATTTAGGTCTGATATTTTTATGAGTTTCAAGTTTTAGAGTACAATAAAATATAATAAACAATGATATCATGTTCTTTAATGAATCTTAGAATCTTAGCCATTCTAAGAGAATTCTAAGGGATTCCTCGTCTAGTTCTTAGGATCTTAGCGCTTCTAAGAGAGTTCGAAGAGATTCCTTGTCTAGTTCTTAGAATCTTAGCCCTTCTAAGAGAGTTCGAAGAGATTCCTTGTCTAGTTCTTAGAATCTTAGCCCTTCTAAGAGATTCCTAGTCTAGTGCGTAGAATCTTAGCCTGTCTCTGCCTGATCCTTGTCTAGTTCTGAGGATCTTAGCCATTCTAAGAGAATTCTAAGAGATCCTTGTCTAGGTTCTATAAACCTAAACTAGAATTGAAAGCTTTTAAGCTTAAGCTTTTAATCCTAAACTATGATTAAATCTAATCAAATAGGCGGAATGCAGTATGCGGTGAAATTTCAAATCTCGAATCTCGGTTCGGATGGAATCCATGAAGGGGATGTCATTCTATCGAATCACCCAAAAGCCGGTGGAAGTCATTTACCGGATTTGACTGTGATCACGCCGGTGAGTTTTTTGGAAAGAAATAAAGTTCAGAATAAAAGTTTGCTCGAGTTCTAGTTCAAAACCGTTTAGCTATATTTCAGGTTTTCCTTCCAGGAAATCAAAACCCAGTGTTCTTTTTGGCGAACCGGGGTCATCACGCGGATATTGGAGGTCTTGTGCCTGGGAGTATGCCACCGAATGCCACACAATTATTGCAGGTAAAAAAAAAGATTTTTGAAGTGCTAAGAGTATCGTAAATCTCTTAGGAAGGTGCTACATTTGTCTCTTTCAAAATCGTGGATCGTGGGAATTTCCAAGAGGAGCAACTCATTGAACTCTTGAATGCACCAGGGAAAGTGAAAGGTTAAGATTGTTAGTTAATAAGAAAGACGATTGTTTATTGATTAAAAGAGAATATTAACATTGAATTCATCAATTCAATTCATCAATTTCCATCAATTTCCATCAAATTCCATCAAATTCCATCAATTTCCATCAATTTCCATCAAATTCCATCAATTTCCATCAAATTCCATCAATTTCCATCAATTTCCATCAAATTCCATCAATTTCCATCAATTTCTCTAGGTTGTTCCGGTACTCGTCAATTGAGTGACAACATCTCCGATTTGAAAGCTCAAATTGCTGCCAACAATAAGGGAATCGATTTGGTGATCGCTTTAATTAAAGAGTATGGCTTGGAGGTGTGATGGGAAAAGATATTTCAGAAATTTTAAATGAATTAAGGTCGTTCAAGCCTACATGCAACACATTCAAAACACGGCCGAGGAAAGTGTCCGCGATTTGCTCAAAAAAGTGAGTCTTAAATCTCCTTTTCTTCAAAAGCTCTACACTCGGCTTTCATCTACGGAGCTTGGGTAATTGAATCGACTAATCAAAAAGCTGCAGCAAGCTTGAAGAGCCCGAGTTTTTAGCAAAACTTGGGTACCGTATTTCACCCTCCCTCGACCAACTTTAAACGCCCTCGTTCTCAGTCCCATTTTGAGAGATTTTTATGTTTAATATACCAAAAAGATAGCCATTAATGTTTTCTATTTTTTTGGTATATTAAACATAAAAATCTCTCAAAATGGGACTGAGTACGAGGCGTTTAAAGTTGGTCGAGGGGGACATCAAAAGACTCGTTCCCTTCCCTTCAACCAACTTTAAACGCCCTCGTTCTCAGTCCCATTTTGAGAGATTTTTATGTTTGATATACCAAAAAATAGAAGACATTAAGGGCTATCTTTTGGTATATTAAACATAAAAATCTCTCAAAATGGGACTGAGAACGAGGCGTTTAAAGTTGATCGACGGAGGGCGTTGATTAGAGGAAATCCGGTAACTGAGCTGGGATTGAAGAGCAAAAATCGTGAACAAGTCACCCTGGAAATACTTGAGTAATTGAGTCAACTTATCAGAAGGACTCTTTCAACCCTCTAATCGCAATGAAAAACCGACAAATTCTAGGTGGGTCAAAGAGTCGAAGAAGAGACCGGTCGCTCATCGCTGAGCGCCGAAGATTGGATGGATGATGGCACGATTTTGAAGTTGACTGTTGATATTGATTCACAAAAGGGAGAAGCTGTTTTTGATTTCACGGGAACTGGCCCTGAGTGTCTTTGGTCAACGAATGCACCGAATGCGGGTGGGTGGTTCAGAAAGGAAATTCGAAACGAATTTCTCGTCCACCAAATCGTTTAAACGTTTCGAATCGTTTCGTTTAAACATCAAAAACCGATTACGGTACCTATTTCACCCTTTAGAAGCGAGTTTTTCAACAATAATTACAATTTAAGTGACTCTGTCAGCGGTCACCTATTGTCTTCGCTGTCTCGTCGCCAGGGATATCCCGTTGAATAGCGGTTGTTTGACACCAGTGAAAGTGAGTTGAGCTTCCAAAATCCAAAGCTAAAGCTAGCTAGCTGTTTCAAGTTTGAAATCAAGTCGTACCCTTCCTTTTATCCAACCTCTAGATCGTGATCCCGCCGAATTCCCTTCTCGATCCATCAGAGAACGCGCCAGTCGTCGCAGGGAATGTTCTGACCTCACAACGAATTTGTGATCTCATTTTTAAAGCCTTCACAGCAGTGGCGGCTAGTCAAGGTAAAGCCAAAAGTCAAAAGCCAAAAATGTTCTCCCAAAATTCAGGTTGTATGAACAATGTGACTTTCGGCGATAACGAGTTCGGTTACTACGAGACGATAGCCGGTGAGCGGAGCGGGCTTTGTATTCCTTTTGTAGCCGATCGTAAGCGAAATATGCGATTCATTTACAGGTGGAGCCGGTGCGGGTGATGGTTTTGATGGTCGTAGCGGGGTTCACACTCACATGACAAACACGAGGATCACCGATCCCGAGATTCTAGAAACAAGGTCAAGCTAGTGCCAGTCAATTTGTTGAAAAGTTTTTAATGCCAAAAAGCTTCTGTTGAGTTCATTTTTATCCATAAAAATCGCATTTCCTAGATACCCTGTGATTCTTCGTCAATTTTCGCTTCGTCCAAACTCGGGTGGTCACGGGAAATGGAGAGGCGGTGACGGAGTGATTCGTCGGCTTCAGTTCCGAAAGCAATTACAAGTCTCTCTGTTAACTGAAAGAAGGTTTGTGGAAAGATATTAAATTAAATAAATAGTCTCTATGGAGCCAAATTTCAGAACTTTCTCCCCATATGGTCTTTTCGGTGGTGAACCTGGGAAACGTGGCCAAAACCTTTTACACCGGAAAAATCGTAAGCTGAATGTTGGCGCAAAAATTACCATGGATGTGGAGCCTGGGGTGAATATTTCAAAACTCGCAAAATTTTTCAAACTTACCACTCTAAACGCAAAATTTTAAGGATGAGCTCGAAATTCTGACCCCAGGTGGTGGAGGCTATGGATCAAAGGATGAATAATGTGATATTTTGTAGTTGGTTCGAAAAGTTGATAGCATTTATAAATATAAATCCTAAAACCGTTAAATGAAATACCCGAATGTGAGCTAAAATAACAACGTGATAAAGAGCAAATATATGCAAGCTCAAACAAAAAAACAACCGGAGATCATTTGTCGGTGACATCGGGATTCAATTGTTCCATCATTTGGTCGATCTTCGCTTCCAATGCTGAGATGATATCCTTTTCAACGAAGAGATGCGTCTCGTCGAGATCCTGGAAAAAAATGGAATTCGTATAAAGATCACTTTTAAAGTGCAAGTAAGTCTTGTCTTGCTAGCGCATTTTAGCTAGACACCAAAGTTATTTTACCATTACAGTTAAATGAAACATTACAAACCTTGATAATAAACTTGCTGCCCAGTTCCCGCGATTCATCGAGATTGATGAGGAGTTGGTGCATCGCCGGATCGCAAGTTATCATCACGCCCTTCTTCACATTCACCATCGGATCGACAAGATTTCTGAGCAATTTTATTTATAAATGTAAAATCACAACGAAAATACCCGAAACGAGGTAACAAAGCACGAAAACGTAATGCATAACAAAAATTTCATCGGGAATAAATATAGGTGGTCTTTAGATCTAATAAGAATAAGATCTATTAAAAGAAAAAGATCCTGTGATAATAAGCTTTCACAAATTTTAGTCCAAAAACGTAAACGCAATCAATTCTTGAGGCTTTCAAGCTTGCAGCCGAGCAATCCTTGTCCCCTCCATTTACGAGGCGTAATCTCCAATCGAATTGGTCGTTCCTTCCTTAACACCGTTACTCGCAAAATCTGACTCTCGCTGTTCATCGCCGTATCAACCACGTCTTTCATGTTCGTGAAAACATCGTAGTGAACGGGTCCCCATTGAAGCAATTCATCGCCCTTCTTTAAGCCGTCCACATCCGATGGCGAGCCGGGAATCACATCAAGAACTTTCGCAAATGTGTTGTTTGAGGTGCGATGAACGATCGGATAATTGCTTTGTGAATCGTTTGCTGGGTCACCGTGAGCCACCTAAAGTCGAAAATTAAATGTTTTAAAATAATACTACAAAATTTTATGGTTGAATCCGTCTATAAAACTATGAGAAAATAATAAACCACACCTGAAGCTGAACCAAGATATCCTCCTCGAGCTGCTTACGATCGTTTTGAAGACGAATGATCTCAACTCGAGCAAGACGAACAGAATACACATCGACCGACGCGATGGGAAAGCCTTCTTGATCCACCAATGGCGAGTCCATCGTCGCATTGCTTGCTTCAAGAATCTCGCGTTGATCGGCCAATTTTCTGTCGATCTCCTCGCGTTTTTCCACCAACTTCTTCAACGTGTCCATTTCTAAAGAAAAATTTTTTCAATCAAATTAACAAGTACACTTTTCAAGCTAGTAAAACATGCCCAATCAATAGTCGATACTTTCATGAAAAAACATGACATTTCCAAAACATGTTAAAATATAAATATTTATTTTCCCTAAACTTTGACTATTTAAAATATCACAGTCGGTTCGCTACCCGTAAAGTTACAAAAGTGAAACATTACAATGCATCTATAAATGCACAAATATAAAAGTTAAAATAAAAAAGCAATAACTATAACTATAACTATACAAGTTTTTACAAATTCTTTTTATCGCTCAAAGCCGTTTGAACCTCTTTTTGAATCAATCCATAAATGGCGGAAAGATCCTAAGTTGAATTGCTTGTACGTAAAAGATCAGTAAAATCCGTACCTCTTTATCGAATTTGGTGCCGCATCGAACAACCTTTCCATCTTCACAATATGATCCATTTGGGAGATCATCACGGAAAGCCGTGTGTAAACAGAGAAGAGCCGCATCTTCAGCATTCCTTAAAAATCTAGTGCAATGTTTAAAACACAGACAATATCTGATACCTCAAAAAGAATGGTAGAATAAACGCGGTGGCGAATCGTGTGATTGGATTCGTATTACGATAAAGACCACTGGGGACAACACCTGGATGCACTGTAATCACTTGATGACCTGGATGGCTGGTCCGCATCGATCTAGAGTAATATCTTTTGGTCGTGAATTGTATAACCTATTAAATAGACTTAAAATAACAATTTGTGCCACATCTTTCTTCAAAATTTCTTTGAAATACTTTAAAATCAACTTACAAAGTTAATTGTTCCCCATAAGAAGCCAAGAGTAACTTTGATGATGCGTAAGCTTGATAGGGTCCTGCCGCCGAGTACAACAATTGAGTACCTAAACATTTGATAGTTAATACGAATGTGAAAGCTAAACCTTACCTGATTTAATCATTCGCTTTGTCACGAAAGCCCCGTGGCTACAGCAGCTACCCACCAGCAGTATTCGATTGTCGCGTGCCAAAACGGGATGAAGACTCTAAAAAACAATTCGTAAGCCTTGTTTTAGCAACATACCTCTATCATAAGCGCGTGTGAAATTACATTTACATTCATCCCATCAGCGACAGCTTGATCGTTCCACTAAATCTAGAAAGTTGTAATCATTGTCAAAACATGGACACTTACCATATCTCTCGGATGTAAGACACCAGCGTTACAAATCACCAAATCAATTTGCAAGTTCTCCTTCTTGAAGTCACCAACAAACTGCGCTACCTGAATTGAAGAGTTAAAACGTTTGAAAATTGATTTACCTTGTCAAGTTTGCTTAGATCGCATTCGTGAAAGTGAAGTTTTGTGGCAGGCCCGTTAGGAATTCCATGCGAAGTAAAGAAATCCTCCGCTCGAGTTCGACTTGACGTTACCACGTGAATGAACCAACCCCTCGTAATGAGATGTTCGACAAACTAAAAATGAAAATTTAGCAAAAAGTTTCCAAATATATACAGTAAACTCTGTATCTCCACGCAAATCTTTATTGCAAACCCAACCTTGTGCCCAATAGTCCCATCACCACCAGTAATCAACGCGATTTTGCTGGCTCGATTGTTGAAGGCAGAGTTGGTGAACTAAAAATGAAGGTTATCATTAAAATTAATATAACGTCGAGTTTTGGCAAAATTTGCATTTAACTTTTCATATAAAATGCTTCCCGTTTTCATGCAAGAGCATTCATTTATTCTTTATTCACCGAATTCGACTCAATGAAGCTCAACGACATGAAGGTTAACGTCGAACCGTCAGAGGGAAATTTCCCGGCCACCGGAGGAAACGCCGTTCATCACATCGTCTCGCTCACCGATATCCGTCTGGCTTTCAAGGTCTACTTTTTCGGGGTTTTTCATTTTAAACGTCTTTCTTTCTTTGTCAACTTAATACATTTTAATTGTTTACTTCCTTCATTTGCAGTTAAATTTACGCTTAAATAATTCATCCGAGTTTCCTATAAAAATCCCATCTCAACTTTATTAGTGCCAAGCTAACGATCTCTTTTAGGTAAAGTCATCGAACAACAATGACTATCGAGTGCGTCCGGTGTACGGCTTTGTGGCCCCGCATGGATACACGGCGCTCGAGCTCTTGCGAAGCAACGGGCCACCAAAGGACAACGATAAACTTGTCATCCAATGGGCTGAGGTGGGGCTTCTGATTCAATGATTTACGCCTTCTGCTTAGGTTCCCGAAGAGGAGACCGATCCGACGGCTCCTTTCAGGTACGAGGCACAAGCCGGCGAAGTGATCCTCCCACTCAGGGCCGAATGATGGGAAAAAGGGACAGTAGAGAAATCGCCTGATCACAATGTATATTGTTTTGTAGTCAATAGTTTCTTTTGTCAATAAATGTCTTCATTGATTGCCCTATTAAAGTTTATGACCGCAGACAAACAAACCTCAGCCCACAGTTTGTACCACCTCGGCGTTGTGCGCACCGCGAATATAGCTTCTTTGATGATGTAGTAGACGGCCAAAATGTGCACCTAAACAAAAAGAATAAAATACACATCGAAATACAATTTTGGGAAATAGAAATTTACTTACTTGTATAACGACGAGCAGTTCAATTAAATAGGTGTTCGGGCTGACATCGAGTTGAAGCCGCTGGGCCAAATCGGCAAGTATCATCTCTGAAACGAGAAAATCAACAGTAGACATTGTGAAAAACGAATTAAAACCGCCTAAAACTTTGAATCTACCAAAAATGTATGCAAAATACGAGAAACGGACACCGAATGTTGAATTCCAATCGTTTCGAAATGCCTTGCAGATATAAAAATTTTCGGATATTAAAGGTAAATAGAATGCTATTCAGCCAAATACAAAGCCTTATATAAACACCTTAATGTTTTATATGTACCGCCAACCTTTATGAAGCTGGACTTGAACCCGAACCTTCAAACTTGATTGTGGCTTAAAACAACCATGTATTTAATGAAAGTAAACAAAAAATGTTCCCATTTTCTTTTCAAAACCTTTATTTCACGAAGAACCACCAAAAAAAATAGTGTCATAAAAAGAGAGCCACTTTTTGAAAGAAAACCGTAAAAAACGATCGGTGTAAGTGCGTGTTATGTGAAGAAACACAAAGATATTAATCGATTAAAATAATTCAATTTTTTTTGCTATGAAAGGATCTTTTGTAATTAGACAGGAATAAAATAATCGCAAAATAAAGCACATAAATTCAAAGTTAAAACACCAAAATGAAGTCTAGTTTCATCAGAAAAGACTACAAAATTCAGGTCCACCAAAGAAGAAAGCAAAAATTGGGATCAATACTGCCAGCAATGAGGAGCGACTTCCCAAAAAAGAGAGGCTTATTTGAGATTGGAATGTACATTTGCTCTGAAAGTTAAGTCAACTGATCTAAAACTAGTGAAAATTGTTGAGAAAGCAGCTATGCAGTTTCAAAATAACATGACAAGATGAAATTCCGCGTCGAGAGTCGTCATTTCGTCTACGTTCTTTGGCCACGAGCGGAATTCGGTGTTGCAACACGGAGTAGATTTGTGGTTCGATCCTAAATTAAACTTTATGAAAATGCTGAACTATTATCTCCCAAGAACATGGGATAAAGGTTGTAGCCTTAAAGCTTTACCTTAAGCGAATCTTTTTCATGAAGTCGTTCTCGCATCGCATTCAAGCGTTCCAAGATTGCCGCCTGTTTCTCCGAGTTCTTCTTCAATGTAAACGAACGGTACTGGGGTGCCTAAAGTTGGGGGATAATCTTATTTGTTATTTGAATTCAAAATCAAAAGTCACACCAGAAATCATAGGAGTTAAGCTGCTTCAAGATTAGCAAAGGTCAGCAGTTAATCGCCAACCATGATGTGACTGACACGAAGTTGAACCTTGTTACGTATACCAATCCACCAGACATTTAATGGTCAAGGAACTCATATTCAACGAAAAGAAAAGAAACTCAAAACAAAACAAACACCACCACAAAACGTTTCATTTACTACCTCATTGGTTTCATTACGGAAGTCAAAGCAAAATGAAAGTTGCTAAAAGATTTTTGGTCGAATCATCCGTTAAATTTAAATTGCTTGTGAAAAAAGAACTTGATTTAAATTTAGTAACTTTAACATTAAGCTACAAGCATACCCGGCTCTTGAATTGATCCAAAAGTGGTGAAGCCGGTCGGTTTTTGGTCGCATCATCCGTTGATGCCAAGTTCAACATCGATGAGCGCAGTCGTTCCATTGACGGGAATCGTTGTTCGGCCAAGCGACGGGTTTCCGGTGCCATTGAATCCTAAAATAAATAGTTCAAGTAGAAAAGTTTTAAAATTTACCTGAGACTCTTGGTTTTTCGCAGCTCCTAGCTCGCCGAGTCGTTTATGGAAAAGTGGTGTGTTGTTGGTGCCAGAGCGAGTTCTTCCCAACGAAGCCACTGGGGATTGTGAAATCGAGTAGAGCTAAAACACTTAATTACCAATTTAATAAAATAAATTTACTTTATCATGTTGATTGTTGCTGGCGAAACGATTTTCAGCATCACTATCCTGTACATTAACTGAGGGAATTGATGGAGAGCGTCTAAAGACAAATCAAATAAATGAAGCACTAATCAACTTACTGTGACTGAGCTCTTGAGGGACTCGCCGAGCCGGACGAAGAAGCATCATTGCTGTCAACTGATCTAAAAATTGAAAATGAACCACTTTACAGTATAACATTCCATTTGTAAACTTAAAAGCCTTGTTTCTAAACCAACCCTCTCAAGGCATCATTGGGGGCACTTTCGACGCTCACTCTCATTTTGTTACCGCGTCGAACTGGAGTGTAGGAGAAGAGTAGAGATTGCTGAAAATTAAATTAAAAACGTGCAAAATGTTTTCAAAAAAAAAGTCTGTGAAAGTTTTTCTGTTTGGTGTCAATAAGAGATTGGATTGCGAATGAACCCGATGGAATGTTTGAGGTCAGCAATCGGGTAATCCTTTAGATAAGAGACAGCAGAACAAATCAAAGTTTATTTCTAATGAATGGGTTTTTAAGGTGTAAGGTGTTCAATAAAAACGGGAGAGACATATTTTTGGGGTTTTCGATTTGCATGATAAAGGGACTTGGTCGGATTGAGTGATCGGAACTAAATGGAAAAGGCAAAGTTTTGATCAAGATTTATGGTGTTTGTAAATTTACTTTCATTTGAATTTTTGCTGTAATTTGAGAAAAATCGATAAGTAAAGCACTAATAAACGCTCCCATGAACAAGGATAGGAAAAACTGAGCGCGCATATGGTAAATCGTCACCTTTTCTGCATAAAGGTTGTCCCATATGCAAAAGGATCGGAGGAAGAAAGAAGAGAGCGGGAATGATTATGTGAGAATCTTGGGAGAAATTTGAACCAGCAACTAAAAGCCTCTCTATGAGCAAGAGAATGGATAGCAAGAACGAGAATTTTGAGAGAACCATGGATAGATTTTCTAGGGAATTCCCAAAAAGTGAATGAGTAACTCAAAAGTACTCAAAAGTCCGGTGAAAGCCTCATGAAATCAGAATGTGATAAAGATTGAATGGAACTCGTCAAAATGTCTATTAAAAGAGCTCAACGAAATCTCATCTCAAATCACGCGTCATTCGGTTGCAGGAGAAAAAATGGGCGTCGCCATAAAAAATTCGCGTCACATTAGAAAAAAGGAAGCAACGGGTCGGAAGGTACGGGAAGCGATCAAGATAAGGAAATCCAAAAAATTAGCCCTGAAGAATGGGAAGTAGGTGATAGATGAACGCTTAGCGTAATTCGGTCACTGTTTATGACTCGTGAACAACGTTTTTGATGACTTAAGGGGAAAATGAGAATTCCTTTCTAATAGTGCTTTGCAAATTAACGAATTAAATGTAACGCAACAAAAAATATCGCGGACTACGTAAGACAAAAATCCAGTTGAAAACAACGGGACAAGGCTTGATGATGATGAGAAGACCCACTCGGAAACACGGCCCCCACATGTAAACATTCCAGAAAAGAGGAAAAAGACGGGGAAAGGGGATTTGCAAGAGCTCAGGTTTACAAGCTTACGCTGGATGAAATAGGTATCAATAACGTTTTTCAAAAAACGTTTCAAAAAAACGTTATTGATATCGCATTTATCTTTATAGTGATCTTGAAAATTTTGGTCGTTCAAGTTCTGCGAGAAATATTGAAGAAAATAAAATCAATCAAAGATTCTCTGCATATGATTAGAAACTCAATGATTTCTTTGTGAAGAAAAGGGGGCAAACATTGTGGGTGTGTGGAATAAAAATTTCAAAACGTTGTCAAAACTCCCGAATGAGTCACTGAAAAAAAGGCAGTTTGGGGAAATGAAAATTTTATGTTTTTTGATAAACTTTCGCAAAACAATTTTTTGAGGGACCATAAACCTTAAAAGTGCAACTTTTCTTATCTTAAGTAGGCATCATTTTCAAAAAATGAGAGAATTCTACCAATTGATCCTTATGGTGCTGTCAACGTCAAGCGTTTTTACATAGTACAATTATCCAGATGTTATAAGAAACTCAAGTTCAACGACTACTACTTTAAATGCCGATCCAAGCATGTGTAAGACGAGTATCACAGCTGCAGCAAAAGGCGAGGGTGTTGTCGTGGAAAAAAGGTTACCATGAAAAGCGATGAGAGAAATGTGTGAACAGAAAAGACAAAGGAGGACACCCTCCTTGAACAGTCGTGCTTTCACATCCCATTTTTTCCGCTCCTTCGCGCCAATCCTTTCCCCCTTTCGTTTCATTTTCCATTCACCTTCGTTGCACAAAAATTTGTCAAAGACCGCAGAAAAACTTAAGACCGTGAGACAAGGACAACAAGCGGTTTCCTTTTCAATTCAAACGTGCGTAGATACGCTAACTTGATAAAAACAGCAACTTTCTCTAGAAAAAGTACTGAATCGAACAAGACAAGAACATCTAAATCAATGGTGAAACTTCTTCAAAGTGTAGCAAAGTGTTGGTCAAACAAAAGTGAGGCAATTCCGCCATGAATCATCAAAAAACGTACGCCTTTTTTACGATCGTCTTGGTCATAAAATGGGACAAGCAAAGTTTGGGTTGAAAGCAAGTCGCAATGTAAAGAAAGACTTCAACATAACATAAGAAAGCTTTTTTCATGGAATGTTGCTTCAAAGAAATTCCCATTGAAAAACTTTCTCTGACTTGAAGATCGTAAAATTTCTCTGACAGTTTTACGGCTAGTCGACTAGCGATTAGATAATTGGAATTAGTTGAAATTTTTTTGAGATCTTTGGTTGAAACATTTTGTTTGAATAAAAAAATATCTACCGGGTCAAGGGCAGCGGGTCGTTGAAGCACTCGACGAGCCGGCTAAATAAAACAATTAGGTATTTGTTTTAAAGCCAAAATTTCAAAATTGATACCAAAAAGGAATCATAGATGAGGAAATAACTTTGAAAGCTTTGATAGACTTTCAAATTTTGACACAATTGATTGACACCTTGAACTAGGGCATAGCCGTGATAAAACCTGAGCGACGGACACAAAGAATGCTTTCGAAATAAGAGCTTTTTCTGTGCAAAGTCAAAGGTAGGCCACTAATCTCTTTATCACTAGAGCAAAAAAAACTCTGTGCTCCTCCCCTTTTCAAAACTCCACGGCACCAAAGTTTTCTAGTCAGCTAATTTGAGAAGCGCCAAACAATAGATGTGGGGGCAAATCCGCAGGGAAAAACTGAATATCTTCAAATTTCCGGGTGTTTCTCAAGTTATTCAACTAACACCGTTAACTGCATAACTTGAGAAACTTTTTGCTCACAAGTCTAAATGCGTGCGGTTAGATTCAATGAACTTTCTATTCTACCACCTTTCCCAATGGTTAATCCAATAAGGTGACATTGAGAGCGCGTAGAGCAAATTTTGTTTGACCTGCAATGTAAGCACTGAAAAAACTAGTCTTTGTCTCGCTAGACCGTCTAAATTGAGAATTCCCCGCCGTTTCTATTTAAAAGCCATTTTAGATTGTGAATTGGATAGTTTTTATCTTTGGTAACAAATCTTAGTTATTTTTTTAATATTCAGTTGGATCATTTTATGTGACTTTATATAAAAACCTCTTCGGGCAATTGTCGAATGCTTGAGGTGTGCTTGGTGACAGCAGTTGTTCTCGGTGTTGATGTCCAGGGACCATCGATCGAGCGACGATTTGCAAATCTAGTTTAAAATTTAGTTGGTGCTATGAGAGCTGGTGTACCTTTCTGCTGGTAATTGTACTTCGATTGGTTCTTCTGAATAGCCCGGCTCGGAAATGAGCATCACTTCAACTGGAGACGAAGTTCCTTCTAAAAAGATTTGAGTCGGTGTAGGACAATAATAATTCTAATCTCAAGAAGATTAAATTCTTTTAAATGTCTTAGATTGCCAAAGTTCTAAATTCAAGAGTCAGTATTGACTTTCTCAAAGTCACTTGGTTCTGATCACCTGGGATCAAAACCAAAGGTCAATATGAGAGTTTCAGGTCAATAGCTTGCATCTACAAAAGGTGCCTCTACGTCACGAATAAAAAGTAAATGTTAAGTTATATATATAAATGACACATAAACTTTATTTAAACAAAAATCTACCAGCTGAACTAGTCGAAATGGTGGCTGAGAGCGGTTCAGGCTCGGAATGGTCGACGATTTTCATTTCGATTTCTTTCATGCGAGGCTCGTCGTCGATCGCCGTTTTTGATGTTCTCATCAGTGATTTATCCGCTCTCGGGATTCGGCTCTCACGGGTCGACAGCTCACCACCATTCGGCGATTTCTTTACGAGACCGCTGGCAATGACGAACGTATCATTCCTTGAAATTTTTGAATGAACTTTTTAGAAACGTTGTACTTTAGCTTTCAAATCAAGTGGAATTTGAGATTTAACTATCTAGAAAAAATATGGAAATTTTGTGCACAATAAAACACTACCTGATTTGACAAACATAAAAAGTTCAATGATACTAAATACCTTTCTGCACTGTTGCTTCGCTTAACCAATGATGGTCTCTTTTGAGTGGGTGATTGCCGGAGTGATGTTCTGCTTCCAGTGCCTCGTTCAAATGGTGAAGTCGCTTGATCGCTCATCGATCGAATGGGTCGATTATCTGGGTGAACTGTGACATGATGCCGATTCTAAAAGCATGAATATTGTTTATAAAATTTAATATCAAACTTTATTCTCCGCATCTTTAGATGGTGATCGTGCATGTGCTATTTGTTCCAATTCGAGTTGCCGATGCCTTTCCATCGCATTCACCTATAAATTTAGATTTCTATACAATCTCACCATTGGTTAGCTAGCCCGTACCTCTTTCAGTATTCTCGATCCGTCTTCACCAAGCAGCGCCTTTTCCTGATCGGGTTGACCTTCCATGACATGCTTGTAAATCTTTGCCTAGAAGACAATGATTATCAGAAAAGTCTAAAAACACTACCTTTTTTGTTAACTCGGCATCTCTTTTTGCTCTTTCAATGGAGTTTAGTACTTGTTGATAGATCCTTTCCCTCTTCAACTCCTCATCTTTTTCAGCCTCCAATTTCTTTTGTTCCTCGAGAAATTGCTGTTGTTCTTGGTGCTCGCGAATTTGCTAAAAATAAAATTCAGCAAATTTTCAAAGTGGTTGTTATACCCTAATTTTCTCCTCATCAACCCTCGCTTTTTCTTCAAGTTCCCTTTGTTGTCGTCGTTTCTCCTCAACTTGTGCTGTGATATAGGCGTCCGGTCTAAATTAGACTTTTAAAAAATGACCCAATAAAATTACCTAGAGGACTCTGATGAAGAAGCGGTGCCGTGTCGGAAATCCACAAACACCGGTTGAATCGGAGAAATTTGGCAGCTAGGAACTAAAACAAGTTGTTTTAGGCCAGAAATATCCAAGTTAACCTTTGTGATCTTCAGGCATGACAATCGGAGTTGGCAACGGATAGACGATTGCCGTAGCCGGAAGTTTTGGTTTGTTGATATCGCTTGCTTGGGAGCTCGATTCAGCTGTAGAGTGTTCCGTGGTTTGATTTGGTAACAAATTTAGATGAAATTGAGCCTAAACCCGCTAGATACTAGATACTGTAGCCTTAAATACCTGCATCGACTGAACATACTTCCATTGTTCTGGTGTATAAAAAGGAGTTATCGGTGTTGCTGGCATCGTTCCCTCTTGTGTATTACACATCATCGTTGGTGGCTAAACGGAGATGATTATTAAATGCTTGCTAAAATTTACCGGAATCGGTATTGCCCCAGGTGGAATCATATGGTAAGGCATCGGAATTGGCGGGTAGGCAAGGTGTAATTGATGAGGGTTGGTAGAATACGCCTAAAATGAAAATATTCAGTAATCAATTGAGAATACCTAAATGATTAATTTTACCTGCCAATATTCCGGTGTCATTGGATAAACATACGGTGGCATTTGCATCGGGTAAGGTTGAGACATTGAAGCCGTTGCAGCAGTCGGAGCATGCGTTTCCTGAAAGCAAATTTATCGCATGTTTTAGATTTACTTAAATCACAACGTAATGTTTTTTCTAACCTTTTCCTTCATATTGCAGCTAATCGCTTCAAGTGTAGAGATTCCAGCAGCTGGGCAGCGGAGAGGCTAAAAACAAATGAGTTTCAGGCAAAAAAAAATGACGTCAGATAAATTTTGCAAAAGGTTCAGGTTTGGGTGTGCAAGTTGGTGTCTTTTCAGGTCATGTGCCGCAAAAAATCCCTCATAATCACTCGTAAAAACGTGATGATAACAAGCTGGCACGGAAGGAATAAGAAAGGATGCGGCGTTTGAGAGAAGACATGAAATACTCGCTAGGAACTGAGTTGAACTCACAATCAGCTTTAAAAAATGGGGCAAATACTTGTTTTGAAAGTTACTGTTTGTGGAAGACTTAATCACATTTTTTTTAATCTTTCCTCCCTCAAGTTCACTCAGTCATATCTAGCTATGAAGTTTGAGAAACTTTCTTTCGAAAAAAGGGCAAACATGGCCGTGAGAAGATAAAAAGCAAGTTCAATAAAAAGCTTTGAATCAGATCATTCCGGTCATTCAAGTGAAAACATGAAAAGTAGATGTTAAAAGGAAGAATCTAGCGAATTTGAAATTTGAAACCCGGTTCAGTTTATGAATTCAGTAAGAGTCATAAACTTCAGCAAAAAATTAATTGGAACGCAAGTTAATTACTAGGCTGATAAGAAAAAAGTAAAAACATTATTTCAAGGTAAAAAATTTTATGTTTGTTACAAGGAAGTCTCATCAGCTTCTTGCAATTCGAGTGAAAGAAGGAGGCTGTCAAAATTTACAAGTGGCTGTAATCTAGAAAACAACCCCCTCATCTTTCCCAGAAGTGGACTAATTTTATGGCGCTTTCTATTGTTGATTTCAAGAGTTTATAAGGAAGAATAATTTTTATATCAAGTCTAGTCACAAATCGTATTTTTGAAGTAAATATTTCAACTTTCTATAAATAAAATGAATTCTGAAGCAAAAGTAATAATTTGGAAACATATTGCTTCTGATAAGTGAAACCTGTATTATTCAATATAAAGCCTAAAAAGATGTGCGTCATTGATAAACGGAACGGATTGTATGATCACACTTGACAAAACTTTTGTGCTAAAACAGAAAGTTCAGGCGACAAAAATCCCCTCAACAAACAGGCAAACAATGATCGCGAGAGACGAACGCAAATGAATAAAATGGACACTGAACAGAGGAGACGGCATGAGAACTGGCTTTCAAGAAGCATATGATCGTTGCTGAATAAATGGAGACGAAGGAAAGAAAAGGAACGGGAAAAAGAAAATGATTGTCAAGGGAAAGTCCTGGAGAAAGGATATAACCCAAGGAATAGAGATAAACGGGAGATCGGAGCCAATAGATGCTAAATGCGGAATCGGGGCGGAATAAATCAAAACACTTCTAAATGCTTAAGGAATAGTGAAGGTTCGTAAAAATTTTTTTGTATGGGTGAGTTTCCCCACTCGCTGGGAGAATAGATGCATGAAAGGAGCTATTGTTCTGGTAAAACCCCTTTTGGTTCTTTTCCTTCAAAAGAATCAAAGGAAAGACTTTAAATGCATTGTAAGAAACGGAAATTGAACAGGTTTGTTTTATTTTAACGTTTTCATAACTCTTGCTCACTTCGATCTTTTCTGCTACCTCTGTTGTAAATTTGCAAATCCCTACTTCACCTAATCCAGACTTTCACTCACATCTCATATGCACTGGGTGGGCGCATGAAGTGCGCATTTATTCTCTCTTTTCTAGCCTCCCGCTTAGTTACCCCGCTTTCCCGAGTGTGAAAGACCCAAATCGTGAAATGCAAATGGATTGGACCACTATGTGTGCTATCATTTGCACAGTCCATATTCAAAACCAACAGACACACAAAGTGCCGTGTATCGAATTTCATCAACAATATCCAGAAGCAATGTTTAAACAATTACAAATTCTGTTAGACGGAAAATAACATAAAAATTAGGGCGAGACTCTAGAATTTCCGAATTACAATTTCACCAGGGACTTTCAATTCAATGAAACTATCTATGCTTGCTCGAAAAGTCACACTAAAACAATGAGTGAGCGCCCCATTTTCCGCCAAATCCCTAAATAACAATGAACTAGTTTTGGCTCCTCAAAATATTTTGAAAACTTTGAAAGTTCGGTAATGATTGCAACAAAGCTAAATAAAGAAACAAATCTAGTGATTTGTAAGCAAATCTACCATTGAGTCAACTACAAATTTGGAATGTTAAAACTAACAGCTGCGCACACAGCTGCGACTGTCTGAATAAAAGCGATGAAGAAAAAATGAGCAAAATTTTCGAGCTAAAATTAAGGGTCATCGGGTCAGTGGAGAGATGAATAGTCTAACCGCTAATAGGCGCCCGGAAATCAATTTGCTCAATAGAGCAATTGTCAGCGCGCTTTGAAGTTGGTTTGTTTTTACGACAGCAAAACAGATTAACATTTAGAATAAATAAATAGCTTATTCACACTGGTTTGTTTTTCTTTCCCATGGATGTCACCTTTTTTCTTTTAAAAAATCAAGGTCTTTTGAAAAGACAAATTCGTCTCTATCTCGTCGGATTTTAAATTTGAATGAGTAAAATATTTCTATGAGACACATCAATGGAAATCCGTTCGCTGAACGCGGAGAGCTCTCGTGAGCTGCATCGTACAGAGCTCGACTGTAATCTTGACTTTCGAAAATGTCTCACTCCATGATACCCCACTGTGCAGTAGTAAATGTTTTGAACGGGTGAATTTCAATACGAGCAGATTACATGAAAAGAGGGAAACAATCGAATCGAACCAAACAGGTCCCCATAGTATTCATTTCATTCCCCTTTTCCCAGTCCCTTTCACCCCCACAACCACGATGAGTCGTCTTTTTGGGGCAAAAGACGTGCGATCAAGGCAAACGAGACAGCAGCAATACATGGAGGGACAGAGAAAAGTCATTTCGAAGATGCAAATGTGGCTCATCGGCCCTCTTTCACCCTCTCTCGCCTAGTTGTATACTGACAACCTTTAGCATTTGACTGTGAGCCTAAACACTGTATGACCATTTGATAGGGAAAAGTTTGGCCTTGAGATGAGAACAAATTCTGAGGGAAATTTTAGCAAGTTTTTTCAGAAACCAAAAATGGAGCCAGCCGAGCTTTAAATTTCAAAATTCTCAAAAAAGGAAAGTTTGATAGTGGCTGTACAAAGGATAGGGAAAAGAAGAAGGAACCCTTCTGTACTTTCGGTTGACTGAATATCAATAGAATGAGAGATCGGAGAGATGGGTGGAACACTATTCATGCTCAAAGTTTGAGAAAGCAAGAGATGAATGAAAAGAACCAACTCATGGGTTTAGTGGAGTTTTTACCTACCACGGGAGTTGGACTCAGTTCTCGAACTCTGCCAGTTGATTGCATCTTGTTGTCGGCTAAAATAACTGAATTGTATCAAAATTATACACGGAAAATGCTGTAAAAAAGAACAGACAATATTTGTGCGCCCGCTTGATTACATTATGTCAATCTATTGAAAAGTGAAGAATAAGAACTCACAATAATCGCGAGCCTCATGTTTTCTCACGGGGTTGCCTCCCCCTGGGCTGTTGTTCGCTCCAAAAGGGAACCAGTCTTTCTCGCGTTCCTTCTCTTCTAAAAAGATAATTAATTCGTGCCATTGGATCCTTTTTATTAGGTCTATGTCATTCTAAAAATGAAAACCTATGGCAAATCACACTTGATAACACCAATAGATAAACCGTCGTCGCTTATTGACGGGGTGTTGCCGACTTTATGAAAAAGACATGCAAAGATCTCAAAAGTGAAAGGAAACTTTCTTTCTTTACAATCGAACTGCCACTTTACGATCTTTTCTTGAGAAAACAATGGCGAAAAAAGGGCGCAAACTTTGCTTTTTCCCAGAAGAGTCAAAAAAAATAATTTCGAAATGCAATTCATCGTTTGACCTAAGCTTATTGAAAAGCATCAAACTTTGAGATAAGAGAATGTCTTTTCGAATTACAAAGTTCACCCAAAACACCACAAACCTTTTTCCTGAGCCCATTGTCTCTGCTTTTTGCGTATAAGCGACCCTTCTCGAGAGAACATTTCAGCTCGATTTTATCGCATCTAAAAAATGGATTTGATATGAAAGAGGAAAATTATAGTAAAGTGAAGATAGATCAATATACGGGCCAGGATGAAGAAAAGGGAGATAATAATGAGATGATCTCTGGAGATAATACTCAGCAAAGACTATAGGTGCGGGACCATTGAAGAGGGATAAAAAGGTGTTTGCAAATTTTTTGATGATTATTTTCAAGCAACTTTCTTAGACTGCATGGAAAAAGTTGTTTCCAATGGAAATAAAACCATCGTTTTTGCCATCCGTGAAGATCGAATGCTCACAAAAAGTCATGAAAATTTCACCCTAGCTCTTCACCAGCTGTGTATGTGATTCTCTTCACAATGATGCGCTCGGTATGGTCTGGGGAAATTGCGTGATTCACACTCAGCTATAAAAAGAAAGATTGAAGAAAACGATCGGCAAAAGATGAGCATAACAATGAAAAATGTCAGGGACTTGCACAAAAAGTGTTGCCAATTGCAATTTTTAATCAACAGGGTTCTACAACAGAGAAAATGGTTTTGTTTATGGGGAGAAAATCGTAAAAGTTCTTCTGATAAAAACGAGTAAAAATTTTGCTTAAAGGCTTCTAGCAACTTTTTCGGTGTTTGGGGTGAAAAAATTCCGACTCTTCGATCGTTTCTTGGCTGCCAGGCGTAAACAGTTGTTATCTCTTGGCAATATTTTTTTGTGGGCATGATCGGTGTGCAAAAAAATGACGCTTGACTCTTCACAGAAAAATTTAAAACAATGAAAAAGAAAAGGATCATCGAGGAATTTGGATTTAATTTCTAGGCTTAATCTTCGTCAAAAGATATTCAGCTAAATTACAGAAAGGAGGGGAATGGGACAAATGCTACCTTTTTTCGACACTCGGGACATTTGTGCACCTTTTCTCCCATTATAACAAAGGCTGCCTTAAAACCGCACGTCATTAGGAATCTAACTATTCAAAAAGTGAACAAGTGAGGCTAAAAACGATTTTGTGAGTCTAGGACAGTCCTTGTTATAATGAGCGAAAAGGTGCGCAAAAAAGGTAGTATTTGTCCCACTCCCGAAACAAGTTAAGATATTGATTTCCTGGGGTGGATGGAGCATTTGGGATAGGTACAAGCGACAAAAACACAGATGTTCGAATGGTAGAGGGGTGCTTTGGAAAGAGAAGCAGAGAAATGGGTGTGAGCGGGCGGGGAGAAAACGACGCGCACCCCCTTCCTTTTGCCTCTTTTGCCTCTTTTGGAGATGATTCGACCTTTTTGTGCTCGGGTCTCATTGTTTGTGAGTTGGGTGTCTTATTGTTATGGTTTTGTTCATTTGTAAAGCTTGCAATTGATCAACTCCAAGAGCCATTAGTATTCCAAGCAGAGATTTGATGAATTCATTAGGTTTCTTGCATTTTTTTTAAGAAAGCTTTGCCTTTGTTGAGTCGTCAATGAAATTATGTACATGTTAGCCAAATTCTCATCATTGATTCGATTCACATGCCTTTTTCTATGCCAACCCATTCAAGATTCACGAGAGTTCATTTGAGATCTATCTTTCAAACGTTTACCCTCCCCTTTCAACACTAGGCGCCAAAAGACAGGCTCAAAAGGCCGCGATTCAAAATTTGCTTTACTTTGTTTTTCGTTTTCGTTTAGTCCAGGATTCTGAGTTGATAATAACTTTATTTTTTTCAGATTCGATCTCATGGACAACTTCTTGAAATCGCTCGACCATTTAACGGAAACGGTTGGTTTTGCCGTTGTTTTGCTCAATTTCTCTTTTTTCAGGTTAGTGCTAGTGCATGTCGCCCGCATGAGCTCCGTCATCTCGCGAAAAACAATGGTCAGCCAATATATTTCATTTTTTATATATTTTAGTTTAGATACTTCACTGAGCCGAGAAGCCGCCGAGGATATTTCAAAGAGGCATTTGAAGGCTTTTCTCGAACGGGTTGATGAAGAAGTGCGTGAACTTTGTCGCCATCAGGAGGTGGGTTTTTTATGTTTTACCAAAAGGACCCTGATTTTAAATAATTTATGGGTGATGGGTGCTTTGCAGTTTACAACACTTAAACTAACAAAATTCCTTACTTTTGAATTATTAAATTAACTTTAATGTTGACACAGTAGTTAATTTACTACTAGCGCAGCTAAATTTCTGTTAAGTTTTTGCTAACGTAGGCGCAGGACACCTATCTATCTGTAAAGTACAGTAGCGGTCAAAAGTTTGGACCCACCCCCTTGCGCGCGCTAAAGACTACTCAATAACCAAATCAGCCTGAGGTTTTCCCCCACATTAAACCGTGTTAACTAGCATTTTTTATCTAGTTTTTATGACGGTAACCATTAAGAACTTGTTTTTCTCTTTGTTCTCTGTTGACTGCTTTTTAGGTGGTCAAAAGTTTGGACCCACTTTGAATAACAATTTGATTTTGCCAAAAAGCAACAGAAACAGTTTCACCAATCAATATTTTGTTGCATATCCTTTCGCAGCAATGACGGCAGCACACCTCTGAGGCATCGATTCGACCAAAATTTTGAGTTTTTGCTTCGGAATCTTGGCCCACTTAGTTTGCAATGCTTGCATTAGTTCTACCGTCTTTGAGTACTTCTTTGAACGGATTCGTCTATCCAATTCCTCGCAGAGATACTCAATGGGGTTAAGATCTAGGCTCTGTGCCGGCCATTGCAAAAGCTCGATGTTTTCCTGTCGAAGCCAATTCTTTACGAATCTTGATGAGTGTTTTGGAACGTTGTCATGCACAAACACCCGGTCCGGATCCATTTCCTTTTCAGCATGGGGCAGCATATTATTCTTTAAAAGATCCAAGTACACTTGAGCATTCATTATTCCGTTGATTTGAGTCAGTGAGCCCACTCCGTCGGCCGAAAAACATCCTAGATATGCACGTGTTATAAGGCTCAAACAGTTCACTTACCCTATACAATCACTGAGCCCCCTCCATGCTTGACAGTTGGCGCCTGATGCTTCGCATCGTTTCTATGGTTGATTGGACGACGAATATAAAGAATTCCGTCACTTGCCATCAGGTTATACTTGTTCTCGCGGCTCCACAACACTTTCGATCAATCGTCATTGGACCAATTGAGGTGCTGCTTGGCAAACTTAAGACGTGCTTGAACGTTCTTTCGCGAAATGAAGGTTTCTTTGACGGTCGTGCGCCTTTTAGTCCGGCATTGCTAAAAAACTCCTTAAATTATAGTTACAATTTAGATTCGTTAGACCTTACCGCAGAATTCGTTGAGCAGTCCTGTGAGAGACATCAAAGCCAAAGCTCTCTGAAGCTTTTTGACATCAGAGGGTGTCTTCTTTGGATCCTTCTTAATTTCACAAACCAGGGCCATTGCTCTGCGTGGCTCCACTTTTACCGGTCTTCCCGTAACACTTTTCCGCTTGACAGATCCCGTTTTTGTCCACTTCCGATAGGTTTTCCTTGCAGCAGAATCGGTGTTGCCAAAGACTCCCGCAGCCTTTCTGAAACTCATCTCAACTGTCATTTGTGCCACCAAAGCTTCCTTCAAATCTTCTGACAAGTTTTTGCGAGTTAGCATTTGAAAAACAGTATTATTTCAAAGTGGGTTCAAATTTTTGACCACCTGAAAAAGCAGTCAACAGAGCTCTTAATGGTTACAGTCATAAAAACTGTTAAGCAATATAAAAACTAGATAAAAAATGCTAGTTAACACGGTTTCATGTGGAGGAAAACCTCAAGCTGATGTGGTTATTGAGCCGTCGTTAGCGCGCGCAAGGGGGTGGTTCCAAACTTTTGCCCGCTACTGTACCTACCAGACTTCAAATTAATTCATTGCACTTAAAACTATTGGTTTTAGTTGGAAAAGCGATTTGACGACTTGGAACGTCTGGATGAGAAATGTGCAGCCAAATACGGAAGAGATTCCAAAGGATATCGCCCAGTTGGGGTAAGTTTTTTTTCTTTTTTTGCATTTTTTTTTTGTTTCTCTAGGATCCCAATGTCGACACGGACGGCTTATTAAGCAAGACCAAGATTGAGTACAAGAAGAACCTGGAGAAGTATATTGTGGAACTTGATGAACAAATTCAGGTAAAACTTTTCTTTATGAAACCTCTTATTAAAATTATAAAATTTTTAGGATAACTCTCAAGTGCTTGATAATAATTCGATGGTGATGAAGAAACTTTACGAGGCTGTGCGGGAACATTATTCAACGTAAGGGACTTTCTAACACAAAAGCACTATAAATGTTACGTGTTTTCAATGTAATTTTTAGGAATGATTCTCTGATGAGCACTAAGCTAGACGCCGAATAAGCAATCTAACACTTTTTAAACTGGCTTAACATTCGTTTTTTTCAGTTAAATGCTTGTACCTAAAGGTTTTGACATTATTTATGGGTGAATTCACGATGAGAACTAACAGTTCTTTAATAAATATTATTGCAGACTATATTACACGATTTTTTGTTGAATACGAGTCGGGCCTCCTAGGATCCTCGATAAAGGGTAGCACAGAAAGCCCATTAGAGGAAAGCACGCGAAAAAGTTGCGGGATCAATGTGTCCTTATGGTGGATTGCCAGAGCATCTGTCTCTCAATCCAAGGAGGCGGGGTTCGACAGCGCCTGCAAGCAATGTTTTTGGCGAACACCTTGGTCCTTAGTTCCCAACTTACGAGTAGTTCTTGTCTTTGTTCAGAAGCATTGCACCGAGAAATTTTTTTAGACATGTGTAAAAAAATCGATTCCTGGGAGCTTGCTCCTTTCCCAAAATGTTTTTTCTGGTTACGGTCCTTGTAGATACTATTGAAAACAACCAAATAAGTTGTTGATCGTAATTTATTAGGTTGGCAAGAAAGTCTTTTCGCTCCACTGAAATTTTTCAACCAAAGCAGCTGCCAAGCTTTTGTATGGTTAAAATTAATGATCAATAACTTAAACTAAAAACAGCGGCCCAACTTTTTATTTTGGCAAGTTTTGATGGAAGAAATGATTGAGCTTGAGTACTGAGTCAAATTTGATGTTTTCCGCGTTCACGTTCTTTTGATTCAGAATTTATCAAAGTCTGTCAAGACTTCAAGTGTATTTTGCAAAAAATTTCAAGTCTAAAGGCCTCTTATTTCTTTCGGAATCAGTTTTTGATTGAAAATACTCACAAAAATTGACTTGCCTTGAAATAAATTTTTCTACTCCAGATAACTTGGATTCAAAAGTTGATTATTACATAAAATTTTATTAAAAAAGATCAGAAAAGAGCCTCTTGATATCTGGTGGCTCAGTTTCGAGATTATGAAAAATCGCAAAAAGACTTGCTTGCCAACCTAATAGTTCAATGGGGAAAAGGAGTCGGATCGAGAGCTCACTAGGGAAAAGCATCAGGCAAATTTTGCCAGCGCTACATATGTCCCATATTATACAAATTACCACCATAAAATTCGCGAATTTGCCCTTTATTCTCGCAACCTTTATATTAGATTACAAAAGTGACTTAAAATACCCAGCGAAATAGATCTTTTCCCTTTGAGCGGACTTCCATCAATTCGCCACAGTTGCAAATCCACGACTGGATGACTCCTTTGGTGACGAAATAATCGATTGCCGTCGATTCCTTAAACGCACAAATGTCGGATGTTGAAGCGCTTATCGTCGTTAAAGTTTCAAAAAACGTTGCAGTTAAAATCACACTTGCCCAATCCTTTTGGAAATCAAAGGAATTTTCCGGGGAGGGTAAAATGTTGCTCCCCTGACTCTTCATTTCACCCCCCCGATAATCGAACCGCTCTCCCCGACATTGGAAAAGTACCGTTAAATGTTCTATGAGAACTAGAATTTCTTTAATAAATATTGTTTTACACGAGTTTTTGTTGAGTACGAGAGTAATTCGGGGGTGGGGAACAGATCCGTCCTTTTTTGAGCACCCGGACAATTTGCGCACCTTTTTTTCGCTTTGAAAAGGCTTTAGGCAAGGCCGAAGAGCTTCGACAAATATTGTCCAGGCATATAAGGAAATCGTAATGCGTAGATACCGAATTTCGACAAAACAGACAAACAACGCAAAATACTTCAAATTTTACAAGGCTTTGGCAAAAACTGCGGAAACGCCGTTAAGTTGGTAGTTTTTTTTGCCTTTTATCCCAAATTTGTAATCGTTTCAAGCGTTGTCTTGCATATGACAAAGAAATTTTTAACAACTGAAAACCAAAAACGCGTACAGGAATTCCCCTCTTTGAAAAAAGTTATTCATTTTGAAATTTGCTAAACTGGACTTTCCCAGGCAGACTTTTGTGCATGACAGTATGTAGCGCGCAAAATTTGCCCCTGATTTTCATTTCGCTCCCCGATAATCGGACCGCTCCCCGAAATTGGAAAAGTCCGTTACATGTTCTATGAGATCCCACCCCTTTAATAAATATTGTTTTACCCGAGTTTTTGTTGAGTACGAGAGTAATTCTTATTTTTGTTCATAGGCGATTGGCCTTTGAAGATTGAAGCGTTTTTGTTTCCTTTTAGTTCCAAAAGACGATCGCCTATTGCGCTCTTTTATACATGTTGTCACATTTTTCTCTCTAAATGTATTGTGCCCGGTTCTTTGAAAGTCACCAATTTTGGTATTGTATTGTGTAATTCAATATGTATTAGTCATGAGAGTTTTTATTAGAGCTCGAAAGAGCTGTTTATTAGCTATTTAACTCCTTTAACAAATCATGTTTTCTAAAACTTTTTGTAAATAAAGGATAGTACTTGTAATGCTCTATCTTTTAGTCAAAAAGATTTTTTGAAAATGTGGTGTTAAAGCTAGTTTCTCCCTTGCACTCCTATTTATGTTCACACTGAAAAAACCGAGGTCTAATGTTTATATAACTTGACAGATAGTATTGCGCTTGAATCATGAGGGAAACTTTCTTTTCTGTCTACTTTTCTTAAACCTTTTTTATGCATCAGTTTTTTGTTTCACTTTCTTTTTCGGTTAATACTTTTTTTTGATTTACTTCATTTAGACACCCCTTGAGGTGGACGGTACATGACGAGCACCTCAAAACGAGATGAGAGACGCATCTTTGAACACTTCGTTATCGCTGGGCTAAAGGTTTGTATTTTTGAGTACATGAACTTCGAAAATGTCTCTTTTGTCTCTTAATTTCAAAGTTAAAGCTTTATATTTTAGGGAGATGCTGAACACATTAGCCCGACGGCGCAAGAATGTGGTCGTCGTAATGCAGAACAATTGGCACCAATCACCGATATTTGTGTCATCTTTCCAACACTCGGGGAAACGGTATGGAAAACGTTAATTAAATTAGAGTTTGATTCTGCTTTTAGGTCCCAGAAGGATTTGAGATAATTGAAACGACACCGTTGGCATATCCAGCTGACTTGAATCATGGTTCTTTTCGAGCGACATCGTGTTTCATATGCTTCCGCCGAGGATACCACAAGCCACCACTTATTGACATTGGAGTACTTGATCAAGGTAAACATTTTGTAACGGTTTGATGGCGTAAATGGATATACATTCATTTGATAATAATAGTTTTAAGTAGAAGCTATTTATGGTTTAATTAATTTAGGGAAAGGTGAAAAGCCAATGGTTGATTCGGCTACGGTTCTTACAACACCCTTTGGAAGATCTGCAAACGTTAACAACTCAGCAAATGTATATTCTCGTTAGTTTAGTGTTTAAATGTCTGTTTTAGGGTGTTTTCCTGACATATCGCCGTGCTTCACCAAACAGTGCTCCAAGTCAACTGGTCGTCACACATATTTGTATCATTATTGCTAGCAAAGGAGAGATTCCGCCACATACCTACTACAAAATACCAAAGAATTTAAACAAGGTATACTTTGCCATATTTCAAGGTTTTGTATGAAAGTTTTTGTTTTAGGGAATCATTGGTTCCGAAATCTACATCTGCTACAAGAAGTCTCTTGGAACGGCAAAGCGACTTGCATACAAACCAGCTATTCTTGATTACTTTCCCAAGAATGACGGCGGTAAGTAAAGCTTTTAAAAAAATGGATCTTTTTGTGTTTAGAAAACCTGGAAGATCTTAAGCTGTTGTCAAATGTTCCTCTATTTTGTTTGCCGATGGGTGCTTTAATAGAATGCTGGCCAAGTTTGTTTAAAACATATAAAAGTATAAATTATGTTTTAGACAAATGTCAAACACCCGAACGATTATACTCTACCTTTGTACTGACTGATGAGGTAGAACATTAAACATTTTATTTTTATAAATCCTTTTTAGTATAACCGAAAATATTATGGTGCTTCCGTGACTTTTTATGAGCGCTACACGGGCGAATTAACGGAAGAACAATTGGACAAATTGGGGGTAAGCTTTCTTAGTGAATCTTGGAAGTTTAAACCAATTCAGGTGGAAGTACCCGACAATGAGAAAGTAGTTGGAGCTGTAGATGACACTGCATCAACAAATGATCCGGCTGAACAGGTACTCAAAGCAAAAACTTCGGGTTATAAAATGTTTAGTTGTCATTTCACACAAACATCTCAATATGCATTGTGTCTCGGTATCCATTCTTCTATCCATTCAAAAGGTTTGCCTTCTAATTAAGATATTTTCAACGTTGTTATAGGTTTTTGTTCTACATTCATCGAATGTCTTTATCGGCTTCGACAATTCACGCGGTTCCTATTGAGCGTTATATTTCACATCTTGTTTGTTTCATCTGTGATTTACTTGATTATCAAATTTAGATGTATGAAGTGTCGTTTCCCTCTTTGCGGAGACCTCGTGTTTTGATGCAATTGGGCGCTGAAATGGTTACTTTTGAAGCACAAGATGAACAACAACTACCACAATATGGAGCTGCTCTGTTTGAAGCGTTAAAGGTGTGTTGTACAAAGAGTTCCTAATATAATTTTTTTAGAGTCTCGGTGCTGATAACATGATGTATCTACTCGTACTGGCTTTGCTGGAGCAAAAGATACTGATTCATTCATTGAGGTATCAAAATGTCATCAAAGTCTTTAATTCGTTCTTAGGCCATGGTTGCTGACTGCCGTTGCGGAGAGTGTTTGTACATTGATGTTTCCATTTCATTGGCAATGGTAATATTTAAATTAATATGTATAGATTTTATGAATTTAGCCCCTATGTTCCACAATGTCCACTAAGTCTTGCCGGAGTTCTCCACGCGCCTCTTCCATTCATTGCGGGAGTCGATTCTAGGTTTGTGCATCATAACGATTAAAATGGGAATGAATTTTAGATATTTTGACCTGTATGAAGATCCGCCTCATGATGTTACTTGTTTTGACTTGGATACTCAGACGATCAGTGGAAGCACGGTACATTAGGAAATTTTTAAAATTTACTTTTAGAAGTTTTAGGCTCGCCATGAAATCAAAACCAACATTCTCCCAAAGAAACCGATGAAACGATTGCGAGCAGCCCTGGAGGCGTTGAATAAACAGTTTAGTGAATTAAGCGCTTGTTTATACCGAATTATTTAGAATTCAAACACAAGACTTTGCTGTGGGTCAGATGCAGACAAAAGCTGACTATGTGAGACCCGATCTGGAACAACAAGTACAACTTAAGAAGAAAATGATCGAGATTGGGATTCAAGAGGCTTTTTTGAAGTGAATTTTATCAAATATTTCAATTTTACTAGTGTTGATTTAGATTTATGGCTTCTATTATGCGTGGTTATCAAGCTTTTCTGCGACCAATCGTCTCGGCTCCAAAATGTAAATCGGCAACTGATACGGGAAACTTGTTCGATATTGATGGCTTTCTGAGAACAAGAGATAAAGAAAAGCAGGAATTTTACAGAAGGTACTTGAAGGATAATACAGCTAATTGAATATCCTAATTGTTTTAGATTTTGTTCTACTCAATCGTTTATTCGATTCATCGAAGAGCGATCATTTGTTTCGGACAAGTCAGCTTACAATGCCTTCTTTGATGATTGTGTTGAAAAGACAATTTTTGCAGGTTTGGTTTTTTGAACGAAGTAATCCTTACTATTAGCGCTTCTTTAGAAGAAACGGGTACTGACATCGGGCAACTATTGGAAATCGACACTTCCCTATCATCAAACACCGTGTTTATTCCCCCACCGGAGCCGCTCATCAACGTAGAATCAGGCACAGAACGAGGATTCCGATAGTAGTTTTGTCCACAATTAATTAAATGAACTTTCTTAAGTAATGGATTCCCACGAACTTTGGACTTCAACCACTTCCAAATGAACAAGTTAAACATCGAGCAAACGAATGACTCAAAACAGCAAATACCGATGGTTGAGAAGGAGATTGGAAGGTACGGATGATGAAGCAATGTGCATACATAAAATGTTTAGGTGTGCCGCTGTTCGAACAAAACACGAAACACGATCGTCACTTATGATGGCAGCCAACGGAGTGAGAACGCAAAGAGTAATTCAACAATGAAAAGATAAAATATTTCTTGTTTTAGTTATCTTGGCCCAAGACATTGCTGTTCTACGCTTACTCTCTGTGGTTCATGCAATTGCCATCCATGCTTGCCATTTCAAAGAACAAACGGAAGACTCTACGTTTGGCTTTTCATGTAAAATATAGTTAGTTAACCAAAACATTTGTTTTTTTTAGGTTTTATCTCGGCTAGAAGCAACAGAAGTGATTCCATTGGATCAAGTATGTTACCGAATTCTGATCGAAATGTGTGGACAATATGGCGAACCACATCTTGCTGTGCGAGTATTATATGTAAGTTTCTTTCGCACAAATTTGAAAATATTCACTTTAGGCAATGCGCCGATCTGGACTTGAGCAGAATGCTGTCACTTATGGTTTATACCATCGAGCTGTGATGAATGTTGAATGGCCATCACCTAGTCGTGTACGAGCTGAACAGATTTGGCATCGCCTGAGGTAGGAATGTTTGCGGGGAGTAAACCTTTTAAATTCTAGGCTTCAATTGCTGGGAATGACTTATTTCCGACACGGTAGAAAGTTTACGGGCACTAGTTCTCTTACTCCAGGAATCGATGCAGTATCGGTTCGTTTATAAATTTACCAACTGCTGCTTGCAATTTTGTTTTATGTCTATTTGGCTTTGCTTAACCCCCTTGTGCATTTAGGTATCAGATCCTGGTTATCATAGTGAAGCTGTGGCCACTCCATCTTCACATCCGCAGATTCAAGTTCAAATTGGAGGAGAGGAGGTAAAAGTTTTTTACAAGAAATGTGGATAAGTTTTTGCTGATTAGGATTTCGAAGATGAGGACACTTCACAAGCGGCTCCATTCACGATCACATACACGCCATTGGACAGTCAATCAATTTGTTCCAGCGAACCTCATCCACTTGATAATCTTCACTCTTGTAGCACTGCTTCCCCTGATCGAAAAGTTGTTTTTTTATGTTTTCTTTGTAATGTCTTGCTTTAGTTCACTCCTGAGCCAACAACCACTGACCCCCTTGGTGCTTTTCATGTTGAAAGAGCTGATCATGACCGACAAGTAAAGTCATATCCAAATTCATTTGTATCACGTTTTTCAGAGATCAGCTCCGCCTGAAATTCACATGTCTCCTGCTCGGGCGAAGTTCTTGGCTGATCATAGAGAAGATTCCCTATTCAAGGAAGAAATCGAAAGCAAACCAGAAAAAGTAAAAAAAAAAGCAGCAATTTATTTACTGATTCGTATTGAGGAAAAGAAAAGCAGTGGATGGTGGAAAGGAATGGCGAACAGCCCTTTGATGAAGATGATCAAGAGCCAAACAACAGGTAACTTTTATTTATGAAAACTTTATACACAATTGCACCCCACAAACAAACACTATGATTTAATTATTTGAAATTATATAGACCATCTTGACAAACGCTCTTCCGCTTCTGATGGCTCGGGTGGCTCAGAAAGTGGGGCGGCGGGTACGCTTGGTGGTTTTGTGGCCAGCCCGTCGCTTCATAACATTGTCTCTCAAGTAAAAAGAGGCTATGACGAAGTTGTTAGGGAAGGAGGTAAACAAGACATGCATCGTTTTTTAAAAGTAATACTAATTATGTGATAATCATAAGCAAAAAGTCTCTATAGCATTGAACGATTACTAAATTATGTAGGGTCATCTGGATTCGGAGCAGGTAAGAAACGTATTTTTACTGGCTACTCTGTTCTCAATGCTTGATCTAAAATGAAATTTCAACAAAGTGTTGTCTTCGTACTTTTATTGCTTGAACATTTGAACTTGAAGCTTGAAGCTTGACAGCTATCTGCTAAACTTCTTCATTCGACAAGTTTAGGCGTTTCTTCGAAACTGCGCCTTGGAATGTCTTCAATCTACCAGGAAGTCAAGGGAATTCAAAGATCGACTGGCCTGCTTGGCAGTGGACAAATCTTTGGCGGAGAAGCGGTGGCTAATTATTTGATTTTTTTTACGTGAGCTAATTTTAGGACGATCCACAGACTGTACAAATCAATCAAGAGAATTCCGTCTTTCAATTGGACTCCGGCTCGGCAGATACGCTGCTCCATGAAAAGTTTTGGACTGATGGATTGTTTGAGAAGGATGAAGAGGTAGCATGTTTCAATATTTATATAAACTGATCGGCTTTTTTAGACTCCATCTACTTCAAAAATCCTCGATGTGACGATGTGTGTTGCAACGCCATGTCCTCATTGCCACCTGATGATCTACGATGAGGATATTATGGCTGGATGGAAGGTATTATTTTGAGCATCAGTAGACGCTTTTTTAATCATTCTAGGAAATCTTTCAAAAGAGACCCGTGGTTATTGAGGTACTTTAAAAATTTACTCCTATGTGTTCTTGGGTCTTTCAATTAAATGATGAAATTCATGGACTGCCATGAACTTTATTATTTAATTTTGGTGGCGGTCTAATGTCTTTTTGCTTGGGTTGGGACTTTTTTAGTCACTTGAAAATAATAGAATTTGTTTAGGTCGAAGATCAAAATATGAATACCGAGTGTCCATACTGTCAAATTGTGTCGACGGGTACGAAAGAACAGCCAGGTTTAATCACCTTCCGACTTGTTTTTACCCCTTTTTTTCTAGGTTGCTTTGCGCCGATGTTGCACATCAATTTCCAATGGAAGAACAATTGTCGAGTGAGTTGGTATCAGCCACATTTGAAAGGCTCTGCGGACACAAACGAAGCATCCAACGACCAAGAGGTTCCAAAAGTGCATTTATTTGGATAATTTTTTATTCAGTTACCCCCGGCACTCACTGTGGCATTCATTTCACCAATTGTCCTTCGACGAGAACTTGAAACTTTGGTTGCACAGGACATGCTCTCATTCAAGGTACTATTATTTTTTCCTAATAATTTGAAAACATTTTAGAATAAGTCCCTCATGGAAAGCCATCCGATAGTATTTTGGAACTTGGTCTACTTTTTGGTATGTCTGTGTCTCTGTTGTGTCTTTGTAGCATAACCTTTCTGTTTTTTTTTCTTAATTTGTGATGTTATTGTTTGTGATTGTTGTTACGTCGTTATAGATAGGTGTATATTTTTTACTGACCTATAAAATTTAGCGTCGACTCGCTTTGCCATCTCATCTTTTTTCGTGGATTGGCTCCAATGTGCACATCAGATGCGTTTACGATCGACCGACTTTTCATCCCAGTGCGCCGCCACTTTACATCAGCAATCAAGCATATTCGGTGAGTTTATGGTAGAAGATTTCTAAATTGTTCTAATTTAGAATTTGACATTGCTAAATTCGCATACATCAAGGGAGTCTTCTCGAAAACAAGTGACAACATCTGTTGGTGAAAGCAATATGTTTAAGGTAAGAGGCATAATAACAATTGTTCATAGTTTGATTTATTTAGGCTATCCAAGCTCTTGTGAATGAAAGTCGAACGGTTGATGATGGAAATGTGGTTTTGAGTGCCCATTTCCCTATATTCAGGTAAAAAGGTTCATCTTTATTCTAACTTTCTTTGCTTTCAGGGATATCCAATTCGCCTCAATCGACGAGTACGGCCGGGCGCTTAATCGATGCAATTTGGATGACGCATATCAAACGGAGTTTGATCGACTTCCACCGAGGTGCGTAAACTTGCATAGAAACAATAGTCCTTTGCGTTTTTAGGATCAAACCACTTCTCCCTATCCAGGACAACCCGTCACCACTTTTGAACAGGGCCTGCAAGATGATATTTGTGCCATTGGATCTCTTCTGAAATTATGATTTTTTTTTAAACTACTAGCAATTTCTAATTTGTATGTGATATTCGTTTTTTGAGTTTTCTTTTGCTTCCGCTCAGCACTAGTTTAATTAATTTTGAGAATTGCGATGTGTCAGTTTCTTTCCCCACAAAAGCTGTGAATGATCTAGAAATGAGTTGTGATTTCGCTTAAATTTTTTTCCTTCTTGCGTTTGAATCAATTGCCTCATCTTCTAATTTAGTAAGCGAATAAAGAATTTATTATTGTTTTGAGTAGATTTGCATTTGAAACTGTGTCAAATCTGCGATTTAAATGACGAAATATTTATATCAAGGACAAAGTGAATAATTTAGTAATCGATAATTGACAAAAAAGTTCAAAGGTGAGATCAGCAAAAGCTTTCATTTTATTCGGGTCTTAGTGTTGATCATTAGACGTATCTCCATCGTCATCATTGCAAATATCCTCAGCCATTTGCCAGATCTAGGTAAAATCAGATTAAATATATTGAAATTGGTAGTTACCTGCATGATGTTGTCTTCGCTGACCGAGCAGACAACCCACGGCTCATTTGGATTCCACGAGAAGTCGGAGATTTTCGCTGTGTGCCCTCCGTGAATAAACAGCAGTTCGGGTGGCCCGTCCTGAAAATGAATTCTTCTCTATTTCCTTTATTCCTTTATAATTAATCAACGCAAGAGATTAGCCAATTATACTACCTAGATATCAGTGCATTCTTTTTTTTTACCTCGGCATCCTCAGGGCTTTGGTCCTCGCCAATCTTGCTCAAATCCCACACATGTAGGCGACGATCCGTGCCCGATGAGGCCAAGATTGTCTCGTTATGGGGAGACCATTGTACCTAAAAAATAGTGCTATTAATAAGTAAGTTTCCATTTCATTTACCTGGAAGATCTCATCCTTGTGCGACTCGAACGAATGAAGCTTCAATTTGAGGTTACGGAGATCCCAAAGTGCAACAGTCTGTAAATGAAAATGCTTTTCTCACAAGGAATTAACTATAGCATCAAATTTAAGCATTTAACTCTACCTTATCAGCAGATCCAGTAGCTAAGATGAACTCCGAGTATGGATTAAAGGAGAGGCAGTTCACTTCGGCTGTGTGCGCGTCAACTGTATGTGCTGGCGTCTTGGTGTTGTTTGAGCTAAAAAAAGTCTTTTTTGAGCATCATACAATTAGTTTTGTTTGAGCTTTGGTGAACGAATCGATCAAATTACTCACCGAGTATCCCAGATCATCAACTTCTTGTCATCACCGACCGATCCGAACACCGAGTCGTGCAACACGTGCCAGGCGACATCTTCAACCACCTGGAATAGGAATCGATGCCAATTATCGAGAGATAATCAAAACAGCACCAAATTTTAAAAAGTGGTCTTTTTGTCGAATTGAATTGTTTTTTTTTGTTTTAACTGTTTGTATTGAATTATTTTTTATAGGAACCTTCGTCAACCACAGGACGACCTCTTCAATACGATGAGGACACAATACAACTATTTTTTATACAATATATGATTAAAATTAAGATATGGAGCTCGAAATAGTACACGGTTTTGTGGGTGTCTACTAGACTTGGGAAATCGGGTCGGGACAAAGGTTGACCCGAACCGACCCGGAAAGTTTGAATTTTCGGGTTGATCCGAACCCTCCCGGTTTTCGGGTTGACCCGACCTGGCCCGATCAGACAAAAGCTGACGCGATTCCCTGATGTCTAGTGTCTACGGAAATACAGCTACAGTCCACTTTTGCTGCTTTCATTTCTTTAAAGCCGTCTATAGGAAGATAAAGGGAACTATTAGAATCGTATTTTTTAGGAAAAAGGTATGGCTAATGTGATGCCAACAAATGCGTCTACTTAAAGGATTTACTCGCCCTAACGTTTATCAAGCTGTTCGATGTACTTCGCTATTTTCATGCTATTCGAGATGCAGCGTTTATTCAACTGTTTGCCTTTATCAATGAATTACAAGGTTTGTTTATATTTAGCTTAGTAAATTTAAAGTTAAAAGTTAGAGCTTTATGACGATTTCGAGAAATCCTTCATTGGAAAGGTTGTTTATGGTCATTTCAATTTTCCAAATCACTCAATTGAAGCGTGAATTTCTTATGAGTCAATCATTCATGGAGAACAGCTTGTTAATTCATCACAAGAAAGCTACAATGCTCTGCTGAAAGTTTGAATTTCTGTCTATTTTGTATTCGAATTATTTAGGCTATTTCACCGAATGGTTCTGCTCGATATGTGACCCAAAAATTGCTTGATTTGCAAGAAACCTAGGGGAAACGTGTTGAAGCACCTTCATCTTTACATTTGACTTTACCCCAAGCGTCTCCTCAATCACCAAAAGTAATTCACGGTCAACATCTACGAAAATTTACTGTTGGAAATGGCCCATTGGGCAAAAATCTCATTGATCATTTGCAGGCTTTGTGTTGTTATATTCATGGTGTCTAAGTTGTTTGTTTTACTTTTTGATAGTAATTTTTGTTTAGAAATGTTCCTATAATCTTATAAACAATAAAAGCAATAAAGTGATTCTTGCTTCAGCTTAAGTATATGATGTGTTGTTTTTGATACTTTTGTACAAAAATTTGGAGACACCAAAAACGACCACTTTTTGAAATTTCACACTGTTTTGTCTACCGTAAATACTGTAATAGTACCCCACCCCCCTCGTACAGTCGCGTAGTCGCAAAAAAGCGCCCGTACTTTCAAAAAATGTGTCTTTGGTATGAAAAAATAGCTGAAATTCAGGGCTATTTTTTGATATTTAAACGAGCATTGTAGCATAAACCAGTGTCGAGAAAAACTCGTTCAAAGCTAGACTACGCAACACTCCACACCGTCATTATGGGGGTGGGGTACTATTACAGTATTTACGGTAGCTCCCTAATTATCATAACCTGATTATCTGTAATAAATGCCATTATAAATATCACAAGCCCGATAGATGTAATCTGTAAAAACACTGACCGATTGATGGGCATGGAATTTGTTCTTTGCGTCGACGAAAGATCCGGCAGCCGTTCCACCGCTGACATTCGATGAGATATCCCAGAGGCACACCGTTTGATCGTCGCTTGCCGAGAGGAGATGTCCCGCCAAATTCGGATTCCACGAGAGACCATAGCCTTCTTTTGTGTGTCCGCGAAGTCTGAAAAAAGTATACTTGTGTCATTTTGAGTTCTGCTCGAATGTTCGTCACAACGAAGTGAGTTCATTTGTTCCAAAAGCAGGTTTTCTAGGCTAGGAACGATCAGAGTCCAGCCAAAAGCAAGTCTGATCCTGGCTTTGCTGCAGCCTGGTCCCTCTAGAAACCAAGACTAACTTCTGGCCTAACCTACAGGCTTTAGAGTAGGTTTCTTGTTGAGGAGCTTGAGCGCTAATAGTTTTTTTTTCTAAAAAACCAAGCTTACTTGAGCGTCGGCTTGCATTGACCGTCATTTGGTGGAATTTGCGGGAAATTCTGATAGTTGAAGACGTAGACCTGAAAGAGAATTGTACATTACAACTCAATTTTGACTTTAGAATAGGTATAGTAATCAAAATCCGATTTCTAATTCAAATCAAAACCCCACCTCAGTGTTAGGCGATTTTGTGGCTATGATGTGCGGATTCTGGGGCATATAGCGAGCTCGGTTCACTTCTCCATCGTGATTGATGCGCCTGAGAATGATGTGATTTTTGATTCCTGCAATCTTCACTTACTGTTCGATATCGATCTTTCCCGCTTGACTTCCGAAACCGTTGAACTCTAAAAAGAGGATGAAATGAAGTCAACGATCATCACTCACCAGAATGATCAAAATCGAAACGATTCGCGTCCACGCGCACATCCTCGTTCGGGATTCGAACCTAGAAGCATTTTTTTTGTAGAAATGAAAGCGTTTATAACCTTTGCAATAACGAGGTGATTTTGCTCGTCGGAGGTGTGAGTGCCGAGGATGAGACGATGCACCGTGTAATCCTGACCATCAACCTAAATTTCGATTCCATTCAATTCAAACACCAACTTCACTTTAGACAAGTTTTCTTAACAATCCGAAAGAGCTGTTTTTTATCTAACTATCAACTCTGCAAACCTTTTGCGTGTCTGGCAACCATTGAGCGGTGAGTGATGGCCATTCGAGCGCGTGCGACATGACGAGATCGTAGAGAAGCGGGGTATTCTTGCGCCATATTCGATGCTCCTCATTGATTTGGCGCTCCTCAGCGCTCAGCTCTTCGCTCATTTCTGAAAAAATTGCAAGATTGTATTGCTCACATTGAAAATTGTGCGTAAAAAAAAGTAACTTGAACAAGTTGGACAATTATTTGTAAAGTTCAAACATGATCTAATTGGGAGTGGGACAAATGCTATCTTTTTTTGCGCACCCAGACATTTGCGAACCTTGCCCATTTAGCGCACTTTTTTTCGCGTTTTAAAAAAGCTCTAAAAAGCTAATATTAACCAATTTCTATTCCAAATGTTGTTTTTCTACGTAATTTTAGGGCGTAGAATCGAAATTTTGACATATTAGAGTTTGTGGAAACAAACGGACGGAGTTATACAAAGAGAAAAATCGACAAATCTAGCCATCTGCAATTGGATCTAGCCGTTTTGTCTTTCAAATTGGTTCCACAAGCTCTGATATGTCAAAATTTCGATTCTACGCCCTAAAATTACCTAGAAAAACAACATTTGGAATAGAAATTGGTTATTAGCTATATTAGCTTTTTAGAGCTTTTTTAAAACGCGAAAAAAGGTGCGCAAAAAAAACTCCTTGTATAACTCCGTCCGTTTGTTTCCACAAGCTCTGATATGTCAAAATTTCGATTCTACGCCCTAAAATTACCTAGAAAAACAAAAAAACAACTTTTGGAATAGAAATTGGTTAATATTAGCTTTTTAGAGCTTTTTAAAACGCGAAAAAAGGTGCGCTAATGGGCTAAATGCGAAAAAAAGGTGCGCAAATGTCCGGGGTGCAAAAAAAAAGGTCGCCTTTGTCCCACTCCCTCTAATTAGATCAAAAGACAATCAAAGTTCGATAGCTTTATGAAATAATTAAAAATTAAAACAAGAAATCAGAATTTGAATGGATAAAGTTAAAAGAAATGAAAAGGTTTTTTTGAAAAAACAACTCGACTCCGCTGACTCCTTTGTACGTTAAAGGAAAGGCGGTTGGGGAATGCGGGAAAAGAAAGCGCTTAAAATAGAAGGCATTCATAAGAGACAATTACATTTTAAAGAGCAGATTTGCAGAATTAAAGAGCAAAGAGAATTGTTTGAATAAAGATGGACTTTAATTGAATATCTGAGACAATGACTGACAATGACAATGATAATGATAAGTATCTATTAAAACTAATTTGCTCTGTCTTAATGATTACTAGTGTGCTTTCTCTTCAATAGGCCTCTTCACTAGACGTGGCTAAACCTGTGCGCGTTTGCTTGAATGAATAAAAAAAAGTGGGGGTAAAGCTTGTGAAAATGTTTCAACAAAAATGAAAGAAACAATGTGTTGACCCAATCACTTTAATCATTCAAAAAAACAAAGACAAAAAGGAAATAAACTTTCACAAGAATAAATGAGAAAATTCTGGGGAAGCAGGCGCTGTTTAGGGGGGTGGAACAAATGCGACCTTTTTTTTTTGCGCACCTGGACATTTGCACACCTTTTTTTTGCTGGAAAAGGCCTTAGCAAAAGTCGTAGAGCTTTAAAAATGTTTTCATAGAAGGTGTATGAACTAAAATGAGGATATAGTGTAACGTGCTTTATCTTCTGTGGAGTCTCAATGTGGTTTATGTCTGCTTCTTTAAAGAAACAAGACTTTATTTAACACCTGAATCACCACGCAAAACACTACGTTCCACGTTAACAACACCACGTACAACAAACAAGAATAAAACACTCACTGAGAAATGAATGAAAAAAAATCACTTAATAAATGAGAACACGAACCACTTGCAAAAGGGAATGCGAAAGAAAAATAATCACTTGATCAAGAGCAAGAAAAATGAATCAAGAAGACTCAACTGAAAGAAAAGAACGAACGGAATAAGATAGGAAACCTTTTATAGCCTGTTATTTGTGCAAAAGTTACTTAGTCAACGGTTACGTACGTTCCCAAGGGCACGTTATAGAATTTAAAACCTTTAACTGACGTGTGTGAGGATCGAGAGTTCGATCAGAAGGGAATCGTATATGTAGATTCAGAATTTTGACAAATCACACCTCGCTGACACGTCAAATTTGGGCTAAAAAGCAAAAACTACGCAACTTAACGCTTTTCCGCAGTTTTTCCTTAATAAAAAAAAAAAAAAAAAAAAAAAAAAAAAAAAATTTATTTTTAATTTATTTTGGTTATTTATTAAAAAAAATTTTTTTTTTATTTTTTAAAAAAAAAAAAAAGGTGAGTATTGGGGGGGGGGGGGGGGGGGGGGGGGGGGGGGGGGGGGTGTGGGGGGGGGGGGTGGAATATAAATAGAAAGAGGAGGATTTGTTAATGCCACAGGAAAAAAAAAAAAAAAAAAAAAAAAGGGGGGGGAAGGGGGGGAAGGGGGGTGGTTTTTTTTTTTTTTTTTTTTTTTGGGGTTATTTTTTTTTTTTTTTTTAATATTATTTTTTTATAAAAAAATATAAATATATTTTGGGGGGTTTTTGGGGGTTTCTCTTTGTTTTCAGGATTGTTTTCTATATGTTTTTTTTTTTATTGGGTTTTTTCATTTTTTTTTTAAATAAAATAAAAATTAGAAAATAAAAAAAAAAAAAAAAAAAAAAAAAAAAATAAAAAAAAAAAAAAAAAAAAGAGAAGGGGGAAAATAAGGGGGTTGGGGAAAAAAAAGGAGAAGGGGGGGGGGGGAGGGGAGTAAAAGAGGGGGGGGAAATAGGGGGGGAAGGGGGGGGAAGGGGGGGGGAGAAGAGGGGGGGGGGGGGGGGAAATAGGAAAAAAAAAAAAAATAAAAAAAAATATAAAAAATAAAAAAATAAAAAAAAAATAAAAAAAAAAAAAAAAAAAAAAAAAAAATAAAATAAAATAAAAAAAAAAAAAAAAAAAAAAAAAAAAAAAAAAAAAAAAAAAAAAAAAAAAAAAAAAAAAAAAAAAAAAAAAAAAAAAAAAAAGAGCTCACCGAAAATCCATATTTGAACCGGAAAATGCTTCGGCTATTTGCCTTGATTCTGATTTTGAGTATTTCTGGACTGCTCGCCGTACCGAAGTGAGTTTTAAAGCTTTTAGCTTAAAGCTTAAAGCTTTTAAGAGCTTTAAACGATAGTACACATATTCTCAAATATGTTTGTTCGCTTTTGGTACTTGTCACAAGATTTTGACTTTAACCAGCTCTGCATCAATGATCTATCCTTAAATCGAATTCAAAAATCAAGCCATAAAATAGATCTATCCTTATTCCAACTCACAAACCAATCCATAAAATAGATCTATCCTTATTCCAACTCACAAACCAATCCATAAAATAGATCTATCCTTATTCCAACTCACAAACCAATCCATAAAATAGATCCATTCTTAAATCCAACTCAAAAGCAGTTTATTTTATCTAATATCATGTTGTTATCCTTAAAAACTTGAAACCTTGATTGTTAAACTTGTGAGTTTTCAAATCTCAATGCACCATTCAATTCCAGACGACGAGATGATGATCCGAATCCTCTCCACATCAGACTCACCTATTCCCGGAATCGAATCCTCGTTGCTCCAATCACCATCGGGACGCCAGGTTTATGCTAAAAGATATACTAACTAATAAAAAAAAGCAAAAATCCATATCCTTGTCAATGAAAACAATCTATCACTCTTTAAAACAATCTATCACTCTTTAGATCAATCACTGAACCTTCTGGTTGACTCAACTGGGGCTGACAGCATTGTCTTTGATCAGGATTGTCTGGTGAATGAGAGTTTTGTACTTTTAAATGTAAGTTCTGATTTCAGAGAGATGATGGGACGAAATGCTCAAATGATCAAGAACAGAACTACACTCGGACACTTTACTCACCTTCGTGAGTTTATTTAAAGTCAATTCATCTATTTTGCATCTTTTCCCCCCATTTTTAGTCAGTCCACAACTTCGAAATCGCTTGGTTTCGGGTGGAAATATGGGGATGACTGGTTGTCGGCAAATTGTGACGCATTCAGCGATTCCATCACTTTCGCCGATTTCCCTATTGGCATGGCTTTTGGATCAGCGAAAAAGGTTCGGAAAGAACAAGGAAATGTTCTGATTGTGATCGTGATTTCAATTGAAAAGTAGAAGATCTTATGTCAAATGCAGCAGTTAAACTAATACGAGATCGAAAATGGTTACAAAGTATTCATTGGTTAAGTCTTTGAGCATCTTTAGCTAGAGATTTAGCTACAAATTTAACAATTTTATACGGCCTCGCCATGTTGAAACACCTAAGCCTAAGCCTAAGCCTAAGCCCTAAGCCTAAGCCCTAAGCCTAAGCCTGAGCCTGAGCCTGAGCCTAAGCCTATTGCTAAGCCTAAGCCTAAGCCTGAGCTTGCACCTTAGCTCCGGGAACCGGCTGAGATCCAAAAAATGGGGGTTCAGCCTAAACCCAAATAGACTTAGTGCGAGGCGCTAGCCGCTAGCCTTCGCACTAAGTCCAAACCTAAGCCTAAGCCAAAAGCCTAAGCCTAAGCCCTAAGCCTAAGCCTAAGCCTAAGCCACTAAGCCCAAGCCTAAGCCAAAGCCTAAGCCTAAGCCTAAGCCCAAGCCTGAGCCCGTCAGATCGTCAGCAATGTTGGGCTCATTCAGTCTCTGGTTCGAATCTAGCAGATGAGAGGGATATCTTCCCTTAACCGAGTGCTGTAGGTAACCACATCCATATGGTGAACTGGTTCCCAAGACTGACCGGTCTTCGGAACCCCTAGGCCCCTCTCCCCACGGGATTGGGATAAACAGGGATCCAAATGGGTAGACTTTTCTGAGGCGCAAGCTCATATAAAGCGGGTAGCCTTCTCCTCCTAGATCGTCTCCTACGTCCTACAAACGATAGAATATTCCCTAGGTCTTAATGTGTCAATTGTGATTATGTGTGTGCAAGATAAAACAGCGGTAACCTCGGTATACATTATTATTATAATTTAAATACTAGTACATATCTAGTACTATTCATGTACTAGCTTTGAGTTTAGTACAGGTTGTAGTACTTGAGTACATTTGTACTTTTGTACTTGAGTAAAGTACTTTAGTACTTGAGTATTAAGTACTTTAGTACTTTAGTACTTGAGTATTAAGTACTTTTGTACTTTTGTACTTGAGTATTTGTACTTGAGTATTAAGTACTTTTTTTTTGGTATCACCTTTGTACAAATTATCTAACAATATTAACGTAAACTAGATCAATTTCATCTTTTTCTTTTCCAGTTGACTGGTGATTGGACAAAAGTGATAGCTGATGGGGTTCTTGGACTTGGTTTACCTGGATCGAACAATCTCGGTGCATCAATCATCAAAAATCTCACATCTACTTATCCATCAAACACTCAAAATCCAAATATTGTCACTTTATGGTTGGATGAGTGAGTGAGAATTAAGAAAAATTTGAGTTTATTTTACAAATCCAGCTTCGGTCAATTGTCCAAGGGTTACTTGACGATTGGGGATTATGACTCGAGGAATTGTTTCTTGGATGATTTAGTCAATGTCAGTCTAACATCCGGAGTCGCGTGGGAGTTTCAGATTCAGGGGTGAGTGAAAGGAGATGGAATTGGGTAACAAATAAGGTGTCGACAACTGAAACAAATATCAAATTTCAGTTGGAACTATGGAAATCAATCAGCAAAAGGCAGCATCACTCGCCTAGACACCACATCGAGATCGATTCTCTTCCCGAGAGCTCAACTCGCCGTGATTGCGCAAGCCGTTGGCGCGATTTACGATAACGAGATTCAAGGGGTGAGTTGAGAAAAAGCTGAATCCAGGATCTGGGTAGCTCTGTGGTGTATTGGTTAACGACGCTGTTCCTACGCTGTTCTAGAAGCCGCTGTTCCCCCGTAGGTTTGAGTCTGGGGATTCATGGAGTGAGTTGAGAAAAAGCTAAACTCGGTTGGGTGTTGAAAACTAAAAATGGACCGTATTGGAACCGTATTGGAACCGTATTGGAACCATATTGGAACTAAAAATGGACCGTATTGGAATCGTTTTGGAACCATATTGGAACTAAAAAGGGACCGTATTGGAAACGTATTGGAACCGTATTTGAACCGTATTGGAACCGTATTTGAACCGTATTGGAACCATATTGGAACTAAAAATGGACCATATTGGTTAACGTCGTTGTTCCGTCGTTGTTTCAAAATTCGTTCCCCCGTAGGTTCGAGTCTTCCAGTGGGGGATTCAAGGAGTGAGTTGAGAAAAAGTAGAACTCGGAATGGTATTCGAATGGCCTCGTGGTGTATTCGTTAACGTCGCTGTTTCCACGCTGTTCCAAAAATCGTTCTGATTGAGTTCGATTGTACGTGTAAGGTGTAAGCACTTAGCCAAAGCCTTGCGCTTTGTCTAACTTCTATATTTTAAACTCTTTTTGTTTAAAGTGTCTGTATATTGAAGAGCTAAGTTTTGTCAAAGCTATAAAACAAAAATTAAAAGCAAAACATTTTCTACAACATTTTAGTACTATATTCCATGCGAGAACGCGGTTTTCCTTCCCGATTTCTTCCTGACAATCGGCAATAAACAATTCAATATCCCATACGTGGAATACGTTGAATCGGTGAGTCAGCAAAAGAATCTTAAAATCTAAAGCAATTGTTCAGTTTAAAAGCTCGGATCGTTGCGAGCTGCTCTTCAACGAGAACACGATTTGGGAGCAGACTCGGTTTGGGCCACAGGTAATACAAAAGTACAAGAATTTTAGGTGGAAATTGATCTGAAAACTGTTTTGTTTACAAGGGAAGGGGTCAACTAGATGTGCTGTAAATGACACGAATCATAAACCAAAGCAGAACAAACCTGAGCACGATGCTGTTTTCCGTTTTTGCTAAACAGCACTGTGAAAAGTTATACGTCTTAAGAAGCTTTAACAATCGGGCATAGTCGTTAAAACCGGCTCGGGAGGCCGGGAGCTGTGCAGAGGCCTGGGAGCTATGCAGAGGCCTGGGAGCTATGCAGAGGCCCGGGAGCTGTGCAGAGGTGGTCGAGTGGTAGTAGGTTAGAATATAAGGCAAGACCTGCCGGGTTCGAGTCCGGGTTCGAGTCCGGGTTCGAGTCCGGGTTCGAGTCCGGGTTCGAGTCCGGGTTCGAGTCGGTCGCCCGGCCGGGTCCGAGCCGGTCGGTCCGGCGGTTCGGTCGTTCGCGGTTCGAGTCCGGGTTCGAGTCCGGGTTCGAGTGTCCGAGTCCGGGTTCGAGTCCGGGTTCGAGTCCGGGTTCGAGTCCGGGTTCGAGTCCGGGTTCGAGTCCGGGTTCGAGTCCGGGTTCGAGTCCGGGTTCGAGTCCGGGTTCGAGTCCGGGTTCGAGTCCGGGTTCGAGACTTTTTGGAGCTGATTCTGTTACTCGACTGACTTTTTAGGTTTAATTGGGTTCGGATTGTTTCTTAGATGATTTAGATGATTGATTAGATGATGATGATTCAATGTCAGTCTAAAATTTGGAGTCAGGTGAGAGTTTCAGATTCCGGGATGAGTGAAAGGAGTGAAAGGAGTGAAAGGATATGAAATGGTTTTGTCATTTTGGTTTGCTCGTGTCATTTTGGCTATCCAGTTGAAATTCTCTTGTTAATAATTGAAACAATGAAAGGTCAACTAAGCTCTTTTAGATTCATTTAACCTTCCCCTTTAACTAAAATCCTTTAGGTTCGTTTGGGTCATCCATTCATGCGTGCTTATTGCACGATTTTCGACTATGCAACTCCAGCGATTAGCTTTTCAAAAGCTCATCATTTTCAATAAACAAAATAAAGTGTTTGAGATTTGAAATGGCAAAGAATTAATGCATAAAGCCAGTTAATAAACAAAATTGATCAAAGACAAAAGCTTTGTTTCTTTAAAAAGTGGTGAAGATCTTAAATGGCAAAGAATTAAGGCATAAAGCTACCGTAAATACTGTAATAGTACCCCACCGCCCACGTACATTCGCGTAGTCGCAAAAGTTTCTTAGTATTTCATTTTTTTCAAAGCACTCGTACTTTCAAAAAATGCGTTTTTGGTATCAAAAAATAGCCCTGAATTTCAGCTATTTTTTGATATATGTTGTAGCATTGTAGCATAAACCAGTGTCGAGAAAAACTCGTCCAAAGCTAGACGACGCAACACTCCGCACCGTCATTATGGGGGTGGGGTACTATTACAGTATTTACGGTAAGTAATAAACAAAATTGATCAAAGACAGAAGCTTTGTTTCTTTAAAAAGTGGTTAATCTTTAGGAAATTCTTTTGAATCTTCCCAGATTTTCCCTAATTTTCATTGAATTCAATCTGTAACTCAAATTCAATTAAAAGAAAGTAAACCGGGCAAAGCTGAGAGAAATGCTAGCTATCTTTTAGCTATCCCAAGTTAGCTAGCTATCCCAAGTTAGCTAGCTATCCCAAGTTAGCTAGCTATCCCAAGTTAGCTAGCTATCCCAAGTTAGCTAGCTATCCCAAGTTAGCTAGCTATCCCAAGTTAGCTAGCTATCCCAAGTTAGCTAGCTATCCCAAGTTAGCTAGCTATCCCAAGTTAGCTAGCTATCCCAAGTTAGCTAGCTATCCCAAGTTAGCTAGCTATCCCAAGTTAGCTAGCTATCCCAAGTTAGCTAGCTATCCCAAGTTAGCTAAAAAGCTATCCCAAGTTAGCTAGCTATCCCAAGTTAGCTAGCTATCCCAAGTTAGCTAGCTATCCCAAGTTAGCTAGCTATCCCAAGTTAGCTAGCTATCCCAAGTTAGCTAGCTATCCCAAGTTAGCTAGCTATCCCAAGTTAGCTAGCTATCCCAAGTTAGCTAGCTATCCCAAATTAGCTAGCTATCCCAAATTAGCTAGCTATCCCAAATTAGTTAGCTATCCCAAATTAGTTAGCTATCCCAAATTAGTTAGCTATCCCAAATTAGCTAGCTATCCCAAATTAGTTAGCTATCCCAAATTAGTTAGCTATCCCAAATTAGTTAGCTATCCCAAATTAGCTAGCTATCCCAAATTAGTTAGCTATCCCAAATTAGCCAAATCTTTTACATAAAAAAAAACAAACTCTACTCACTAAAAACCCCTTGCAAAAAGTCGTTTTTAGACATTTTCGGCTTTTTTTTTTCAAAAAGCAAAAAGCAATTTGCATATTTGGCTTTAAAAGCTTAAAAAAAACATAGCACAGACAAGCGCTTCTAGGTTGAAAAAGAAAAAAATTGACAACAAATGAGAAAAAAAATTGACAACAAACATTAAGTGTACCTAGCGAAACGTTTTTTGAACTTATCATGGGTTTTCTGTGGTCAAAAATCGCAAATTTCTCTCTAAATTCATGCAAATCTGGGGGAAAAAAGAATCGAGGAAATCGACAGTTCAAAAGATCCGAATGCGAGATGGGCAGTTCATTCTAGACGTTAAACTTGTTCATTGAATGACTTTGGATTGAATTGACAGTGTCTAGATTAGCTACGGTGTCAGGAAACTAGTATAATTTGGAGTACTTTGACTTATTTTCGATTATTTTGGCTTATTTTGGCTTATTTAAAATTACTTTGGCTTACTTTGACTTATTTGGACTTAATTGGACTTACTTCCGCTTGCTGTGGCTTACTTTCGCTTAGTTTGGCTTAGTTTGGCTTATTTGGACTTACTGTCGCTTAGTTTGACTTACTTTCGCTTACTTTCGCTTACTGTGGCTTACTCTGGCTTACTTTCGCTTAGTTTGACTTACTTTCGCTTACTGTGGCTTACTCTGGCTTACTCTGGCTTACTCTGGCTTACTTTTGCTTCCTGTGGCTTACTTTCGCTTAGTTTGGCTTACTTTCGCTTACTGTGGCTTACTCTGGCTTACTCTGGCTTACTTTTGCTTCCTGTGGCTTACTTTCGCTTACTTTGACTTACTTTAGCTTTTGACTAGTATCCTACCGTTGTTTTAAGACCAAATAACAAATCTAGAATTTTTTTTGAATCTAAAATCAAACACATTGTCAGTAGGATTTCGAATCAGTTTTGATGTTTTTAAAAAAAAATTTCTACAAATTGCCAATAAAAATCTGAAAGCCTGTACAGCCAATAAAAATGGCCTGTACAGCAATCTTTGAGGTCGTTCGATTTACAAAAACATTTCAAACAATCTCAACAATCTCAACAAATCCATTTTACGATCGAATAAAAAAATGGGATAGTTCAATTTTTGAGTTAACAAAAAAAGTTCGGAATTGAGGTTTAAAAAGTCACCCAATTTGGGTAATTGTGTACTTTTATGGTTATGGTTTCCATTTTTTGATATTTGGTGAGCTTTTGTTGATATAAAAGGTTTGTGTAAAGGGGAAGATAAAGAAAAAAGTTGAAGTAATTTCAGTTTGAAGCGATTCAAAGGAAATGGTGCGTTTTGTTTTGTTTTGTTTTGTTGAAAGTTTTGTTGAAATTTCTTTCTCTAACACCATCTTTGTTAGCTGTGATGCGAAAAAAGTGTCCTTATTTTGCTTTAGATTAACTTAGAAATAGGATAAAAGCTTTAAAATAAGATAAACGATCATTATCTGTCTGAGCACTGCACTCAAATTTGCCTTTCCTTCAGTATCTTTGCTTTAGATCTTTACTTTAACTGTAGGAAGCTTTAGGACGTTTTAGGAAGCTTTAGGGAGCTTTGGGAAGCTTTAGGAAGCTTTAGGAAGCTTCAGGAAGCTGTAGGAAGCTTTAGGAAGCTTTAGGAAGCTGTAGGAAGCTGTAGGAAGCTGTAGAAAGCTTTAGGAAGCTTTAGGAAGCTTTAGGAAGCTGTAGGAAGCTTTAGGAAGCTTTAGGAAGCTTTAGGAAGCTGTGGGAGGCGGAAAGCAGGCTTTAGGAAGCCGGGAAGCTGTGGGAAGCGGGGGCCAGGAAGCTTAGGGCTTTAGGCGGGAAGCTTAGGAGCTCGGGCGAACGGAAGCTGTAGGAAGCTTGGAAGCGAGGAAGCTGTAGGAAGCTTTAGGAGAAGCTTTAGGAAGCTTTAGGAAGCTGGGCGGAAGCTGTAGAAAGCTTTAGGAAGCTTTAGGAAGCTTTAGGAAGCTGTAGAAAGCTTTAGGAAGCTTTAGGAAGCTTTAGGAAGCTGTGGGAAGCTGTAGGAAGCTTTAGGAAGCTTTAGGAAGCTTTCGAAACGATATTATATCGATTTTTCTAGATTCGTACTCTTATCATACTCGCAATTTTCATCATCGTAAGCGAATCGGCCGTCCCGGAGCCTCTTCCATTAACGTACACAAAGCAGAAAAAATATTCGGCTTGTCAGGTGATAAAAAAATGAGTTCTAAATTCTAAATTCTAATGCAAAAATACGAATTCTAAAGTGTTAAAGTACTAAAGTGAATAGGTTCAAAGTATTGGGTTGGTGAATTGAAAATTGCGGGACTTTGAACTAAAATCTCTCTAAATTTGGTTCCTTATCTCTCTCTAGATCTGGTTCCTTATCTCTCTAAATTTGGTTCGTTATCTCTCTCTAGATCTGGTTCCTTATCTCTCTAAATTTGCCCACTTCTCTACAACTTTGGTGAATTGTAAACTGCGGGACTTTGAACTAAAATTTATTCAACATAAAACCATCAACCATTCATCAAACCATTCATTCGAAATAATTTCCATTATTATTGACGACTTCTGCTCATTTTACAGGCAATTTGCGGACTTCTCTTTTGTGGTAGGATTTTGGTTTGTGTGTGAGACAAGTGTGAGACTCAAAAATGGAGGACTGGAGATGTCCCAGTTTAAGCACTTTCTTCAAAAGAAACCCATTTTGGTGTCAATAGAAAAGTTGTAGAGAATCAAAAATGAGGCTTATATCCAAATTTCCAAAAAGATACACTTAGTAGTTTCGCTTAAAATGCAAGTTTTGTTGCAAGTTTTGTGAAAATTCGTAAATTTGGCATTTCTTGAAAACCAGTTTTTTGAATCGTTCTGAAAATTTGGATATAAGCTTTATTTTTGATTCTCTACAACTTTTCCATTGACACCAAAATGGGTTTCTTTTGAAGAAAGTGTGAGAACTGGGACATATCAGAATTGCCGGAAGTTTTCAATTCACCAACCAAATAGGAACCAAATAGGAATGAAATATGAACCAAATATAAACCAAATATGAATCAAATAGCAACCAAATAGAAACCAAATAGAAACCAAATATGAACCAAATATGAACCAAACAAAATATGAAAAATAACTTTAGGATTACTGTGCAGGACAATCGATCTCAACGAGTACAGGTTTTGACTTTAAAGAGGCAAAATGGACATTATGCAATTGTCCGATTGGGCAAGGATCGCATGTGTGAGTGGTTGAAAGTTCCTCGGCATTGCATCATTCATAAAATTTAGTTGGCAAGCCACTCCGTGCTTTGATCAATGCGTGGAGCGATGTGTGACGACGTTGGGAGTTTGTTCGACCAAATTCACGTTGAACCTCTTGTATCGCGGGTATTTTTTTGAAGAACCACGATAATTAGGCCAAAGTTTAAAGCACGAAGTTAAGGTGAGCTTTTGTGGCCAAGTGGCCAAGTGAATAACGAATTAGGCTACCGCTCACGGGATCGAGGTTCACTCCCTCATCCAGCTTTTTGTTTTTCTTTTCAAGCAACTTCTAGCATTTTGCAGCTAAGTGTAAAGTCTAGACAAAAGCTCAACTTTCATGTTTTTCTCTAGGAAATCTGTCTAGAACCTCTAGAACCTAAAGCCAAGTCTGAGATCTGATCTGATCTCCAGATCCAGCTCTACTAATCAATAGAATTCAGCTTTCAGCGATTCAGCCAAGGAGAATGATAAGAGCT